GGGGGGAGAGAGAGAGAGGGAGAGTTTCGCAGAGAAGTGGCAGAAAACGCAGCGTTGGGTATGTTGTTATACCTTTCCAACGCCGTTCCATCGTATGCTTCAGGAAAGAGAGGGACTTCTTGCTCTCTCTTATTCCTGCCTTTTCTGCTACGGCTTTGCAAGGATATGCTGGTACTGTACAGCATACAGCCAGGTCGGCATCGGTGAATAACCACGTGCTTCCAACGTGACGGTTCGTGGGACATCGTGCTCGACGTTTCGGATTTCAAGAACCTACCATACAGCATGGGTTGTCAGAGCATAGGTAGCATAGCTTCCACAGCTACCTTATGGTAGTTGACCGACGATACTTTATTGATTTGTGTATACGGCATAAGTGTTGTTCTACTACAGGGCTCTCGGTTCGATCGTGTAAGTCAGTACTGTCTCGTTCCTATACGAGTTGTATAGGAGGAGCATTACGACAGTCCGTCCTCGCACGGGAGAGAGGCTATAGATTCCCTACTATTCTAGAGATCGGGACAACTTTTCGGTCCTATGCCGGACAGGTTGCTTTGTCGTCTCTCGTCTAACGTCTATCGTTGAGAGAGAGAGAGAGAGAGCTTTAGCGCTGAGTTACCTTAGTCGTTCAAGGTGACGAATATCTGGATATACATGTATGTAATATACATGTATACCCACGAGGTACCTCCGCTTTCCCGACAACTTGGGAAGTTGAAGCAGCGTTTAATCAATATTTAGGCAGGAATTGAGTAGGAATTTGAGATCAGGATTACTAAGTTTAGAGCACGGAGTCGGGTCGTAGGAGACACGGAGGTACCTGAGTATATAGCTCACATGAGGTCCATGCACACTGTATACCAGCTACAGTACTACATACCTATAGAGTCGCTGTTATGGTTCTTGAGTAAGTGTGGTAAACCTAGAGGTAGAGCAGGTGGAGATGAAACGGACCGACGGAGACTTTGCCGATGCCCTAGTTTCACACCCTGGCACCCTGCTTTTCCGCCCTCTCCGATCGCTTCTACCTACTCCACCTCACTGTGTCTTGGCGACGATCCTTCAGCTGCGCCCGCCGCCCGCTCATCTCCGATTGTGCTCTGACTATAGACTGCAGTAGGTATCTGGGCAGTACCACTTCCACCTCGTCCTCCACCATCGCCATGACGATTATTGCTCTTCATGCTGCACGGTACATGTAGTTTGATGCGGGGACCGGCTGCATCTCGGCCGGCTGGCTTCATGGCACGTGTGGTATGTCCATGGTATGTCCATGGCCATCAAGACGGGCATCTCCACTGACTCCTGAGACTAGACTCTCCACAAAATACCATCCATTGTGACTGGCACCGACACAACGGACAGCCCGGTGCGCCGGTCGCCGATGGTCATGATTGCTGCATATCATATGCGAGGCGCAGAAGGCTGAATCTGGCTGGGCTTGGCTGGGTCGAAAGGAAGACATGTCACATGTCGGAGCTGTCGCAGACTGAGCCTCGAGACGCTTTCTTGACTCGCGCTGCGACACGAGCTCATGTTGTGAAGGTTTGAGACAATGGTAAATGCACGCACGTGACCAGCACCGTGAATAATGGGAGTGGTGTGGAGTGCAGTGCAGCATAGGAGGTAAGGTATTCTGACAGTTTTCTACACAGACCTCTTCTCGCCCATAGGAGTCCAGCCGAGTCACGTCTGGCGTTTCCACTCACTTGGAGGCCGCCAGAAGGGGAAGTTCGATGTGACTCTTGGCATATCATGGCGATTCAGACGTGTGCGGTATGCGAAGGAAGCAAGTTTCCATCAACGCCTTCGTTCTACGCAGCTTGCAGCAAGAACCTACTTCCTAACGCACCATCGAAGAAGCTGCATTTTATTAATAGTACAACGAGCCAACACCGAAAGTTGCCGCAATGGAAATAAGTACATAGCGCAAGCCACTCGAAGTATAAGCTCCGTACCTGATGGTCTTTCGGGGACAGAGAGACCTGCCAAGCAGCTACTTCAGGCACGATTTGCACGTCATCCGGCACTTTGACGGCCTTTGATCGTCCTCGAGCGAGCGCCGCCCAGAAGAGAATGGTATGGTGCAGTCGGCCGACTGGTCTCAGGATTTCGGTGTCTCATAGCTTCCAGAGAGTCACGGCTTACAATTCTGGCTATACCTCAAGCTAGTAGATCTCCCGGCTGTCGTATTGTCATCGAATAATAGACATGCGATTGCGTATCCAACAGGTGCCCAGGTTCCCAGGGACCACAATGACGGATGCTATCACCGTGCAGTGCCATCCAGCTTTTTGTCCGACACGGTAGCCGTGCACTGAATTGCCACTTTGGGACGGGCATTATGCATAGAGCAAGTTAGGAGGTAGTTCTAGATCGCCATCGCACCTGGACGATTCAGGCTACCGTGCTTGACTGACTACACCTCTCTCTCTCGCTATGATTGTCTGACCCTTCGTTCTAGAGAGTCAGTCATACTGCCCCGTGCACCGGCGACGTTAGGCGCAACGTTCGTCGAACGAGAGCACAAGCGAAGATGCTCAAGCCATGCAGGAGCCAGACACTGCACGAGTGCGTTCGAGGCTTCTACCGCAGCACGAAGAAGAAGGGGTTGCTGCTCAGTATAAGAACTCCCAAGAATCACCATCAAACAGAACATCACTTCCATCATCCATCCACCGCATCTCCTCACTGGCTTACACTACCTGAGCAAGAGTCACACTCACTCATTGGCCTGCTTCTCCCTCACTACTAGTTCCAATCGTATTCTTCCCAAGGACTTCATCTACAGTCGTACGACAAGATGCAGCGTGCTGCAATTGCCTGCGCGGCACTCGCCGCAGTGGTTTCTGCCAGCCCAGCGCCAGCACCACAACTGGACTATGCAGCGATCGCTGCCGCTACACCTGTCCCACAGGGCCCGGAATATGGCCTATCCAACCAGACGGCCACCGTCTACACCAGCGTGACCATCACTGGCGCCGTAACTGCAGCGACCTATGCCAACAACAACCAAAAGCGTGATTACGTTGACTCTTCTTACACTCCATACTACCCGGCTCTGGCCACCTCCTACACGACCGATCCAGCCCTCGCCGCAACCAAGACCACGACTGCTGGCCAGGCCTGCGTTACCCAACCTGAGGCAGGAACCTACTGTGGATTCATCAACCCTCTCGACGCTTGCGCACCTCAGCCAGATGGCTACGGCCCCGTTCCATCGCCTGACACTGCGAGCGCATTCCTCGCCTTCCCAAAGCTGCACCAATCTGCACAGGCTGCCCCCACCTCCGTCCCATCCAAGGATGGCAACCAGTACTCCCAGGTCTTCAAGGACTTGCAGGGTGCGGTATCCGGAAGCTCCTACCTGAGTCTCTACACTCTCAGCACGTACAGCGTTGCCGACTGTGCCGCCCGCTGTGATGCCACCGATCTTTGCACTGCATTCGTAAGCCGTTGCAACGGTCATGATATTCCTGGTGTCTCTCGCTAATCACCTTACAGAACCTGTTTGCTGAGCGCGACCCTTCGCTCAACCCAACTAACAACGACTCTACCTACGACCCTGGCTACCAAACTGTCTGGGGACAGGACTGCCCCAACCCTCCATCCATGACTTCGTTCAAGTGCACCCTGTGGGGCTCTAGCATCGATTCCTCTATGGCGACGAACACCGGCTCGACGAGGTCACAATTCCAAATCGTCGTCACTGGCAGCAACGGTTACGACAAGACTCAGAAGGTCACTCCACCACGATGCTCCCTTCCTCCAACCACGTCCACTCAAGCCCCAAGCCAGGCCACCAAGCAACCAACCTCGCCCAAGCAACCAACCTCGCCAGCGCCACAAACATCCTTCCCATGGAAGCAGCCCGAGAACTGTGGTGGCAAGGGAATCAACTCTCCCAAGTACCACATGGGTGGTAAATTCTTCCCCGGACCTTTCAACCCACAGGTGTGCAGCAACTACGCTCTTCTGCAGAATGAGATCAACACCAAGTCCGGCAAGAAGCAATGCCAGATGTTCAACGCGTAAGCCATTTCCTCTTTTGACATTCGCTTCACTCTTCTAACTTCGCAACAGCCAATACCTTCACAAGGACGGTGTCGCTTTCGGAACGTACTGCTCGCTCTACAGCAGCTACCTCAGCTCCCGCCAGTACGCCACCATTGGTGTCACCTGGAGCGCTGGTTCCAAGTTCGAGTGCAAGCAATCTTGGACTTACACCCTAAATGTGAGTGTCGCAGCCAACTGGTGGAACCCATTCAGCCCAGCTTCCTGGTTTCCTTCGGGACCTTCGGGATGGTGGTAGATTAGAGAGAGTGTATGAGCGAGTGAGGAGGTTCATGACGAAGAAGATGGCAAAACAACAACAGCACGAGAAATGATACAGTACCCTTTGCATGAAAAGGAGGAAAAAGCAGAACAGAATATAAAAAAACATCAGCATACATTGAGATGGAGTTGTTTGATTTGACATTTGGGAACACTAAGAAAGCGAGCGAGGTGTATGATGGATGGATGGATGATAGAACGGGAAAAAAAACTGGGAACGGATAGAAAAATCGGGGTTGACTGTTACAGCGTTGCTTTTTTGGTTTTCACAAGAACAACCTCATAGCAGGCCAATATGCATCTGATATGCACATTACAAAGTTCTCTCTTTGCTGACATGACCTTTTTTTACTCTTCCTTGTAGTCTGATATTCAGCTTCCTACCGGACCGAAGAATACAACGATGGTGCAGCCGCAGCCGGAGCAACCACAGCCGAAGCCGAAGACGACTCTGCCGAAGATCACCGACCAGCCGAAGAAGCAGCCCGAACAGCCGAAGAAGCAGCCCCAGTCTGCGCCGAAGCAGCCCGAACAGCCGAAGACTGTCCCGAAGTATACCGAACAGCCGAAGAAGCAGCCTCAGCCCGCGCCCCAGCCAAAGAAGCAGCCATCGCCTCCCAAGAAGCAGCCTCAACCTGCGCCACCCAAGAAGCAGCCTCAGCCTGCACCGAAGAAGCAACAACCACAACCACACCAACCGCAACCACAACCATACCAACAACAACAACAGACCAAGAAGCCCTCCTCTGCTCCTGCTCCAAAACAATATGGCAGCGGATCTTACTAATTAATTAATTAATTCATTCATTCTCGAGCGACCGACATACGCGACCGAATTACCGATCTAGCGACAAATACGAGGATTTTTTGCTTCTTGCTTCTTCTAGTTAGTACCTAGTAAAGTAATGATTTAAGTATTGCAGTCACAACAGGATCCTTCTCTTTCTAGAGGAGGAGGAAGTACAGAATAGGAGAAAAGGGAAAAAGGAAACAGAAAAAGCACAAGCGAGGAAAAAGGGAAAGGAAAAACAGGACTTTACCTTTTTGTTGTTGTTATTTGTATACATATATGTATTATTCACTTTACGAGTGAGTGAGGGAGGTAGAAAAGAAATATCAGAATTATCTATTTCTTTTCTTAATGTTCGTTTGTTCTGTATCACTCGTTGGTCTGTATCATCATCTTCTTTGGTTGATGATGTCTAGGTATCTATCCACCTTAACTAGGTTACCTATCCTAACTACCTACTTCTTATTTCTCAGGTATAGTAGTATAGTGTATACCATTTTTCTTCGTCTTCTCCCAGAGAGGAGCTCGGACTGGGGTAGTTATAGAAACGAGTCTCGATGGCCCTCTGGTATATATATCTGGTGCATACATGCATGCATAGGTGCATGATACGAGAAGGAAGGTTGGTGGGCTTTTCTGATCTCTCTCTCTCTCTCTCTCTCTCTTGTATTTACACCCCACAGACTCTGATGAGAGAATATCGGCTTGATTGATGGTACCTCATACTCATACCCTTCGATTGACCTCATCCCACCCCATCCCATCACACGCTCCCCAAGGTCGATTCTCTCTTAGGCGCAGTTCCGCAGTGTGGGCGTACCGCTTTGTCCACGACAAGTGTCGAGCTCGAGTGGAATCATCATCGAAGCCAGAATCCTTCCAGTCTCTCTCCAGACTGCAACATCATGTTTCATATCATGCTTTCACTGACTTCCCCAGCTCTCCACCTCCGCAATACCTCCCCAAACTTCTCGATCTGCGCCTCATCAGTTGCCCAAGATGTCAGCAACCTCACCACAACCATCCCGTCCAGTCTCGATTCCCACTCATAGAATTCAAAACTCTCCTTCAACTTCTCCACGACTCCCCGAGGCAAAGCCGCAAAAACCTGATTGGTTTCGCACTCCGCCTCCAATGTGAATCCCGCCTCTCCAATCCTCTTCGCCAACAGTCTCGCAGACCTGTTCGCTTTTTCCGCCAACTCCTCGAACAAAGTCGTATCAGATCCCTCTCGATCCCGGAACAGAGCCTCAAACTGCGTCCCCATAATCCTTCCCTTGGCAAGTAACGCACCATGCCTCTTGATGTAAAACTCAAAATCTCTCGCTAAAGCCGCATCCTTCACCACAATCGCCTCACCCAACAACGCCCCATTCTTCGTTCCCCCAATCCAGAAAATGTCCGTCAGTTCCCACACATCTTTCCATTCCACATCATTATTCGGACTCGCCATCGCCGTCCCCAGCCTCGCCCCATCCATCAACACTAACAATCCCTCCCTCTCACAAACCTGCTTGATCGCTTGCAATTCCGCTCTACGATACACGGTGCCCATTTCCGTCGCGTTGGAAATGTACACCATGCGAGGTTTGGCCATGTGCGGGTAATGCCAGTTCTCTGCTACGACCTTTTGGATACTTTTCGGCGTCAGCTTCCCCGTTCGGAGTTCGGGTTCGACTGTGAGGATTTTGTGACCGGTGGCCTCGATGGCTCCCGTTTCGCGCATGACGATGTGGCCGGTGGTGGAGGCTATGACGCTTTCGTGGGGCCGGAGCGAGGCCGATATGGAGATGATGTTTGCTGAGGTTCCCGAGGGGACGAAGAAGACTCCCGTGCTCTGAGCAGCATTTTCATTTTGGGGCACTTGAAGTAAGCGGAGGATGTGGCTGCGGGCTTGGGAGGTGTAGATGTCATTGCCGTAGCCGGTTTGTTGGGTGGTGTTGCTGGTTACCAGTGCTTCTAGAAGGAGAGGGTGGGCGCCTTCGCTGTAGTCGTCTGAGAAACAGTATTTCGTGGTCTCTAATGGGGCTTCTGAGAGAGAGACGGTTTTTGCTGGCATGGCGGTGGGTTGGTGGGTTGTGGTGGGAGAGTGATATTTCGAGTGAATGTGACGAGGTGGGAGCGGGCGGAGATTTCAAAGGTGACGTTCGTTTTTCAGACATTTATTGTCTTGGAGATGGGCCGATTGTATGCGACAATAATGAGCACCCACCGGGCCGAGCGCCAAAACCACGGAGGCGGTCGGTATACCCGCCACCAGGCTGTTGGGATGCTGATATGCACAGTACTCGCTTGCAGTCACAAACCTCCGATATGGATCGACAATAAGTACATCACATCGACGGACCCACGACGTGGATGCTGATTGCCTTGGAAGCGGCCAAAGCAGTAGAAGGCATCTGAACGTACTGGAGCTGGCACCTTCACCACGATGCCTCAATCCATCTGTTCGATCTTGTTTCGCGTGCTGTGTCGATATCGATTGACTAGTGCCATACACGGCGGCCGAAAGAGAGAAAAAAAGAAAAGGATTGATTCGCAAGCACTTATCGTCAACCGCTATCACTGATTTGGGCCTTGCTCGTTGCTCCGGACTCCGCGCATCCTTAGATGCCCGCGCCTAGACCTATCAGGCCTGCGATGGCATCCTCAGCAGCAATAAGCACTGGTCAAGTGTCTTCCAGGGTCTCCTGCGCGGTATAGCCCATATCAGCCGACAGCTTTGCCGCATCCTACCTGGCCTCCTGCTCTTGGGAAGCACTGCTCACCATGTGATTGTTTGCTGGCTCAATCTTCTCAGCGTTTCCCGTATCAGCCAACAACTCCGCCGCCTCCTGTCTAGCCTCCTGTTCTTGCAAAGTCCAGCAACCTCCTCTCTCTCCCCTCCTCCTCTTCGTCGAGCTTGTTCCGACTAGCAGATGCTCTATATGCTTTACGTCGAGTCGTACGCCAACGGATGTCCTCTTGTACGTAGCATATCGGCTACTACATAGACGCCGTGGGTTACAGCCGGGCAATCATAGCTGCAGGACTTCCAGTATGCTGCGGAGGCAAGGTTTCGGCATTGACACTAATCTCAGCTTCAGGATACCGCTGCTAGACCACTTCCATCAGTTGCCATTGTCAGATTCAACCCGGAAATGCTGCTTTGTACTAGGTAGAATGTGCTTTAAGAAGCTAGCCAGACTTGGTGAGGCCTCGAGAGGGTTCTATTGCTGCTGAGAAAGAGAACCATAGGGCCAGACGGCCAGAAGCCCTAGCCTACACTGTACAGCTCCGAAAACGCCGAGGAAAGTCGCTCGCGAGTAAGGAACAGTGAGATGTTCCCATGGCATGACACGCCTCGGCCTACACTGAAGTAGGCACAGTGATATCAAGCGGAGACAAGCCAGACGATGTGAGAGAAAGAAGGCATAAACATCTACGATGCATGCGTCTCACTCTCATGAGGTGGAAAGGTGGAGATTAGGGAGCTCTAAATGAGGAAGTTTCCGAAAACCAAGATTTGGCCTCTGCTAGAGCTCTGTCATTTCCAAGGGGTTTTAATTTTCCGTCTTAGGTGGTGATCCCGACAGCTTTCATTAAGGGACTTTACAATTTTCAATCAAATCATTACCAAGGCACCTCAGTACCTAGGTACATCACCACATCACTAAATCAGAAAGTGGACTTTTTGGTAATTTCATTCTACACATAAAGCAGTACGCAGCACGGAGTACGTACGCTATGGCTAATGATGATCATGATACAACCCGAGGCAGCAGCAGCAGCAGCAGTAGTGGTGGTAGCAACTTGGATGCATCTCCTCCCTTAGTGTCTACGAAGAGCAGCAGCCCCACCACCACCACCACCACGACGAATGCGAAACCAAAAGTCGATTTCGAAGATCCCGATGCGCATCCTACTATCACCTTGCTCGATGGTCTCCGCATCCTTGTGGGACTGGCTTTACTCAGCGGTCTGCTTAGCTACTTCGTGACGGGGAATAGTGTTGTTTGGGGATATAATGCTTGGTGGACGCAACCGAAAGCTGTTGTTGCGAGTTTGGTGAGTGGAGTGTGAGGGGGAGGAAGAGCGCGCGAGAGAGAGAGAGAGAGAGAGAGGAAGAGAGAGGGACAAAAAGCTAACAACATCACTCTAGCGCGGCCCCGTCCATCTCACCGATTCTCAACTCCTTCGCTACAACGGCGAAGACACCTCTCGTCCCATTTATCTCGCTCTCAACGGTACCATCTACGACGTCACCTCCAACCCTCGCATCTACGGTCCCGGAGGCATGTACGCCGTCTTCTCCGGCCGCGACGCCGCTCGAGGCTTTGTCACGGGGTGTTTTGCCGTGGACAACGTCCCCGACTTGCGAGGTGTGGAGTGGGGGTTCATTCCCCGGGATGTGCCCACATACGAGGAGAAGACCGACGCGGAGTTGACGGAGTTGATGAGAAATTATCGCGAGGATTGGGTAAGGGATGCGACGCAGCAGGTGCGGGATGCGGTGGAGCATTGGCAGAAGGTGTTTCGAGGGGAGACGGGCAAGGAGTATTTTGAGGTGGGGAAGGTGGTGGGTAGGAAGAAGGAGACGGGGCCGCTGAGGGAGTTGTGTAAGCCGAGGCCGAAGGATGGGCTGGAGAAGTGGATGCAGAAGAGGAGAGTGGAGAAGGCGAAGGCGAAGAAGGAGGGAGGTGATGTGAAGGTGGGAAAGGACGAGCTGTAAGATGCTATCCTAATGGACATGTGTGGATTCATCATTTCTCCAGCCCCGTCGAACCTCTACGCGGAATGTCCTGGTGGCATTCTTACGCTTCTTCATGCCGGACACCATCTTGATGCCGAGTCTGTGGCATCACTCGAGCAGTATGAATGGCCTGAGATAGCTGACACGGTTAAGCCAAACGCCAGCGACCAACGCCATTGACAGAAACGCATGCACTGTCTGGCAATTGCAGAAACACGAGAAAAGTCGCCTTCGCCTAAGGTGAATCCTACACTAGCACGAAGCGCAGACTTCTGAGTGCGGAACTGGAATATGATTGGGGCAGTGACTGCTTCTAGCTTCTTCTCGTCCTGAGGAAGCCAATCTCCGAATGCCCATCATTCAGAACACGAGACTACGCTGGCTGGACGAAGCCGAGAGAATCAGTCAGGTAGCGATACAGATTTCTCGCCTTTGGAACGCCGAGGCAACCACCCGCTGCCAGTGGAAATCTTCAAGAGGGCATCGCTTGGAAGTTTCGGTGGCAAATCACATGAAGTCGGGAATATCAACCACATGCATGGATCGCATCTGAAACGAGAACGAGGGACAGCATAAGGTTTTTCTAACGTTTTGTGACAGTGCGTGTGTGTGCAGCACTCGACGATGGAAGACGAGACAGGATTTGAAGAGCCATTCTCGCATCTCGATGGCCCTGCACCTGCATTCCGCCAGAGAGATGATACCTAGCTACCTACGTCCTAGGATTCTAGCGTGGAGTCAACCTCGGCGCGTAGAGATTGCATTATTTTATGTGTTCTGGAAGATTCATCAACTCTCTCGTACGTTCCTCAATTCTCTGCCCGGGGCTCTCTCCGTAACTCATGTCGGGAAGACCTTCCGTCGCTCTGTGCGCAGGGACAGCACAATGGCCGATTGATGGGGAGACTTTGCGCTGAGCTAGAGGGAAGCTTAATCGTGATAGACGCATCGTGCGAGCCTCCTGGCAAACTCTTCAGTCTTCACAGTAATACACACAGTTCACACACGCACTTTAGTAGCAGTGAGCCCGACCGCCGCCTCTAGGAGTCGCATATGGTGGCTCGATGGATTCGCAGCCGCCCAAGATCAAATGAGCCGATCGGCCAAAGGTGTGTAAAGCGCAAGATCTCGACCACCCATAAGACGCAGTACATCTCACGCGACAATAAGAATCGACTGAGCCAGTCGCCAATATCAGCGATCCACATGACAGCTTCTGTCAGCCAAAAAATAATTCTCTCTGGCATGCGAACCGAGGTGTACCAGAGTAACCAGACTTCGCACCCGTTTAGGTGTCGACTTCTACGAGGAGACCAACCAAGCACATCGATGTCCATTCTGCAGGCTGGGCTGGGTTCAAGCTATTCCTGTGCATGGGTAGTCAACATCCGAGCAGAGCAACCTGGTTTACCTAAAGTTGACTCGACAGAAATGCTGTTGCCTGACGTGCCTGAATTGGGAAATGAGCCTATCAGAGGCGATGAAAGTCGACAACTTCTTACCATCTCGGTATGACGTGTTATATCTCCGCAGCGATCGCCAGACAGCCGAGAACGACGGTTGACGGCAAATACCGATGCCTTTCCTTCACATGCGCGACCCTCCTCGGTGTTTCAGTAACTTCAAGTGCGGAGTGGCCTGGCCGATGTTACATATACTCACTGTCGTACCAGCAATGGACCTCGATGACCCCAAAGCCCTATGCGACACACACTTCCAGTAGGGAATCATTCGTCAACTCGTCAAGATGATGGACAGACGCCCCCAAGACTCGATGAAGTCCACCTGGCGTGGCGACAAGACTCAGTGGCGCTTTCCACACAAATTTCTCGTCTTCATCGATGCCTTTCACTCACATCCAGGCCAAGAGGTTCCCATACATGCCAAGACAGACAAGCTTCCCTACATGACTGAATGGTCAGTTCATCTCTGGATCCTCTTGCACGCAGCATGGCCTATGGCGCTTCAGCAGATGTATATTTCCTACACAGGACATGACCTCCACTGGCTTGCTGTCTTCCTTCTTTACACCGTAGCGATGCAGATCAATTCAATCCACGAAGTCCGACTCCTTTCACGGCTCGGTTACAAGTACGGCTATCTGGACGGCGACAAGCACGCTCGCGACGAGGTGCCTGATGTCGGTGTAGCCAAGACACTCACATCGTTGGAGTTGACCACCTCCGTCCGACCCATGCTGGCAATCTTCTTCTCCTTCCAAAGAAATGCCACCGCTCTCCAACTCAGCCCCTGGCTCATCGTCGAACTGGGCCTCTACGGCATCGTACTCGACGGATTCTTCTACCTCTACCACCGCTCCTGCCACGAAATTGATTCCCTCTGGCAATACCACCGCACCCACCACCTCACCAAACACCCCAACCCCCTCCTCTCCTCCTACGCCGACCATGAGCAAGAACTGCTCGAAATCGCCCTCATCCCCCTCGCCACCTGGGCCGTCCTCAAATACGTCTTCCACCTGCCCATGGGCTTCCACGACTGGTGGATCTGTCACGAATACGTCATTTTCGCCGAAGCCTACGGTCACAGTGGACTTCGCATTTACTCTCACGTCCCCTCGACGGCGTCTCCCCTATTGAAGTATTTTGGTATGGAATTGATCATTGAAGATCATGATTTGCATCATCGCAAGGGTTGGAGGAAGAGTCAGAATTATGGCAAACAGACGCGCTTGTGGGATACGTTGTTTGGCACGTGTGGGAAGCGGATTGAAGTGACTGAGGAGACGGTGGATATGAATTATACGTTTAATATGCCTTTGTATTGAGTTGGGTTTTGGTTTTGGTTGTGGTTGTGGTTGTGGTGATGATGAGGAGGATGAAGAGTGTCTCGATGTTCTGATTTCCATGAGGGGAGAAAGATAGAGTGTGAGGTGTGTGAGAGTACTGGATTTTGTTTTTGTCTCTGGGCTTTTTCTTTACATGATACCCACAATTCATTGCCCCTTGGAGTTTTTTCGTTCGCACCTTACATATAGCAAATAAAATCGAGTCATGAAAATGATTTTCACATATCTTATGAATTCTGCCTGCTTTCTGCTTCCTAAAGACTGTTCCCCTCGGACTATCCACTACTACCGTACGTACGATAACCCTCCAAAACACTCCTCATCAGTTTCAACAACACTTCTCATCCTTCAACTCCTCAATCATGACTCCAATAAAATCCCTCTGCTCCTCCAACCATGCCCTCGTCCTCTTGTAATCAAACTCCACCGCCCCTACAGCCTTTCCCTCCATCCTCACCTTCTTCAATTCACGCCGAAGTCTCTCCTCCAAATTCTCCAGCCGATACTCCGCATACTGCTGGTAGACAGTTGGAACGTGGCTGATTCTCCTCACGCCACCGAGGAAAGAATCGTCTTTGGCGTGAGGATCGCGAGGTCGGAAGGATGTGACCATGGCGATGCGTTCACGACCGCCATGGGCGGCGAGGGCGGCATGGGGAATGTAGCGGCCTTGCATTACTACTGCAGTGCCCTATACAGCAGAAGGGGCAGGAATCAGTTAGGCAGCTGGGTTGCAAGGTAGGAGATTTCGGGAAGTCAAATAATCTTTGGCCGTACGAAAATGAAGTGGCCAAAGAGAGGGGAAAACAGAACATACCTTCGACGGCCCCCTCACTTTCAAAAGCTCTCCATTTCCAGTCTTCAGCATCGTTTCTCCTCCCACCATCTCCGAGCAATCACTCAACATGACCACACAGACGAACGGAAAGCAATCTTCGTGCCATCCGAACACTTCTTTCTCGTCTTTTTCTGCTTCGGTACCACGAGGGGGAGGGGAAGAGGGAGGGGGAGTAGATGTATCACCATCAGGTCTCACAGAAACGTTGCAATGTCCAGTATCGTATTCGAAAACAGGAATGAGATCCACACCAGCGACTTGAGAAACCGCCGCGAGGACTTGAGGACTGTTCCAGGCGTTGTGGATGAAAGGGGTCAACCTGTTAAGTGGATGAGAAATGGATTGAACCAATATACAAATAGTTGAAAAAAGAAAAACTCACCTCGGCCCAGCTCCACGGATCTGATTCGATGCAAAAACAGAAGAAACATGATACTTGTCGAGGACTGGTTGACTGAAAATCTCCGCTCGCATTTGTTCGATAGCAGACTTGGAGAAGAGAGGGAAAGGGTCCGAGACTGCGTTTGGTGAGATGCCTCTGTCTCCGAAACCGAGTTCTTGCATCGTCAAGATCTTCTTGGGTGGCTCGAACTGGACATGTTTGTGGGCATCGAAGGCTTCTTTGACGGTCTCGCGTGCTTTGTTGATGATGGATGGTGGGAGGTCGGAGGGAGTACGTTTCTTGCAGTGACCGCCTGGTGAGTGAAGGGGTGTGTCGGGGTGTGCTTGCTCGCAAGTCATGATGTTGTTGTCGTCGTCGTTGGTGTTGTTGTTGGTGGTGGTGTTGTTGGTGGTGGTGGTGGTGGTGGTATTGTTGTTGTGGTTGTGGTTGTGGGATCAAAGATACATGTAGACAGAGCGCGTGAAGGTAATCACTCTGTACCTACCTACCTATGGAAGGAATGCACCGTCTCACTAGCGAGAGCAAGAGCTGTTCAGGAAGGAGCAGCCGCGTGTTGTAAGCATCGGATACAGTAGCCGCGACCGGAGAAAGGGTTATAATTGTAAAGAACCATCGACAAAACAGCCCACCAACTCCAAATTCCAACCTCACTTCTTCACTTCACCATTTCACCACTTCACCACTTCACCAATCTTGCAACTACCAGAGCCTCAGACACTCACCGGAGATATGCTGGATGCGATAGTGATTGGCGCTGGCCTCGCTGGCCTGCAAGCCGCTCGATCATTACAAGAAGCCGGCCTTGCAGTGGCCGTGCTTGAAGCCAGAGATCGTGTGGGAGGGAAAGTATGGTCTGTACCCTTGGCTTCTGGCCGTGGTGTCGCGGATCTTGGAGCAGCTTGGGTCAATGACCAAACCCAGCCTCGGATATCCCGCTATCTCGAGCGCTGGAACTTGAAGCGCGTCGAACAGCGTCTGGGCCACACTGCCGTCATTCAGGTCAATGAGCGGGAGCAAGTCGAGTTCCCATACGGGATTACACCAGATGTAAGTTTTCAGAATAGCGCTAGTTCTAGCGATACTCGGCCTCAAGGCTGACCAGACAGTTCACTACAGCGGAGAAAAAGACCCTCGAGTTCGTCCGCGATCACATTCAGGCCGAATCACTTAGGCCGGAGAAAGCAAAGCCAGAGGACGATGCCATCAGCCTCGACCAATATGTTCGGAACCTGGGAGGAACAGACAAGACGATCCAAATGGTAAACCTGTGGGTACGCGTCATGCACGGCGTAGAGTCTACAGAAGAATCAGCAGCCTTCTTTATCGATTACTGCAGACGCAACAAGGGTCTGCTGTCAATTCGAGCAGATGACAAGAGTGGAGGAAACTTCCAACGTCTCCATCGCGGTGAGCAACGTCGAACCCTCCTCAGGCGGTACAGAGCTGACTCTCAGCAGGCACTCAGTCTATCGCCCATGGACTCCACGAGCTGGTCGGCACACAAAACGTGTACTTGTCCTCGCCCGTGAAGTCCATCGACGACAGCCGCTCGCATGTCGTCGTGACGACGAGAACAGGGACTGTGTTCAAAGCCAGGAGAGTCGTCATTTCAATCCCGAGCACAATGTACCGGGATCTGACTATATCACCGCCTTTGCCGGTGGGATTGTCAGAGCTGGCAGATGCAGCCACCATGGGTGACTACAACAAGATGATTGTTTGTTACGACACGCCGTGGTGGAGGGCGTCGTCCTACAACGGCTTCTTCATGAGTTATGTTGGCCCCAGTCCACTGGCACGTGACACGAGTGTCGACGAAGTAGGCCTTTACTGTCTCACGTGCTTCGTGAACGGGAACTTCGGGCGCACATGGTCTACACTAGCTCCTCATGAGCGACGAGCACGCATCTTGAAGCAATTGGCCGCCGTGTTCAAAGCAGGTCCAGAATCCGAGGTGTGGAAGCCCATCGAGATGTTCGATCAGATCTGGAAGCATGAAGAATTCTCCAAAGGGGCGCTAGTACCCATTACCAGCTTGACACACTTGACCAAGCATGCGGATGTGTATGGAAAGGCTGTTGGTAACATCCACTTCTGCGGCACAGAGTATGCTACCGAGTGGAAAGGGTACATGGAGGGCGCATTGTGCTCTGGCGAGAACGTATCTCGGGAGATGTTGAGGGCGATGGGAGCCGATGCCAGGGTGAGACTGTAGATGGAGGTTCATGGTATATCTTCATGCTATCATCTGATGGGAGGTCGTATCCTTCAGATGCCGTCCAAGCAGTTGCCGTAGGTACAATGGTTGCGGTGGTAGATAGAGTGGGATGGATTGAGCAACCAGGGAAGAAATAATTCAATCCATGATGATTGCTATACGTATTGATTGATTATTGCATGTTCTCGGACACTTCTTGTCCTCTTCGCCCGTCTTTTGTCAGTGGGAGAGCAGAGCAGAGCAGAGGAGAGGAGGGATGTGACATCGGCCCGCTAGCCGTCTCCCGTCCTGCCTCGATTATGGTCATCAACATAACGTTATGCAAATTTCACAAATGGACATCTAGGTACTCAGTCTGCGTACAAAAATGCCATATTCTCATCAAATCTCACCCCGAAGAGTGCACGTTATCACTTCATCCTCACCAGAGCAATCCTTCCCCCCGCTCGAATCGTCTCCCCAGGCTCCACCAACACCTTTTCCACCACCACCTCACTGCCACCATCACCATCATCCGGCACACAAACATTAATCTCCAACTTCATCGCCTCCAAAATCACCACCACTGAATTCCGCCTAATCACATCCCCTTCTTTGACCTCCACCTTCCAGACATTCGCATCCACGGGCGCCTCAATCAGCTTCACCCCTGGGTCCCTTAACAAAGACTCGACCTGCCCCTCATCCGCCTGCGCCCTCTTCCCCTTTTCCTCTCTCCATTTCGCCAGAGATGACTTTTCCGCACGAATCATTTCTTCTTGCACACGTCGTTGTTCTGCGCGAATGGCGGCGACTTCGGCGGCTGTGCTGGTCAGGAGGTCGTTGTGGGCTGCCATGTCGAATTCGGCGGGCGTCCAGGAGAATTCGTATTTTCCTGCGTGGAAGAGGGCGATGGAGGTGGTGAGTTCGGCTTCGCTGACGGCGTGGAAGGTGAGGAGGTCGAAGTCTTGGAAGAGCCAGGGGCGGGTTGGGGAGAAGGAGGTTTTGTAGCCGTAGGGGTCGAAACCTGAGTTTTTTTTTCCTTTTGTTAGTATTTGATTGTTTTTTTTTGGGGGGAGGTGAAGGCTGGGACGATGGTATTCAATATTGTTGATGTGGATTTTGTACTTACATGGTATGGTTCGTCCAAGCATTTGATACCCTCCCGGTGAATCAACGGGATAGATACTTCCGCAAGAACCACCCCAGCCAAAAGTTCCTTCGGGCGTAAAGACCCGACTGGGATTCGCTTTGGGCGACGACATGCGTTTCCGCGGATCGACGGGCAGAGAGACGGTATTTCCGCAGAAGAAGCCGACAAGAACGGCCATGTGGTCTCCATTGAGCATATTGTGCTTCAGCTGTTCCGGTGTGAACGCATTGTTTCTCGCCACAAAGTCGAGATTATCCGGCAGATAGGGGGCGTGGGGCCGTTGCGTTTCCATGTACCGCTTGGTGGCTTCGGTTTGTTCTTTGCTTTCAAAGGAGAGCGGTAATCGGAAGCGTCGACAGGGCACTTTGGTCTTGCTGAGGTCTCCGATTGCGTCTTCGAGAGCTTGGAGATGCGTGAGGAGCTCTTCGCGATTCATGCTCGCTCCATTGTAGCATATGGCGAGCGAAGTGCAGCCGCCGACGGTAGTAACGAGACTGCTTTTGAGCCATTCTGGAGCAGTTGGTGCAGTGATGGCTTTCTCCAGAGCAGTGACTCGGCATCGATAGTTGAGATCAAACTGCTCATTGCCATACTCCACCAGCACGTAGTCGTCGCCGGCTTGACGATAGCGCACTTGAGGCTGGGTTCCGGACGCTGCACGCTCCCACAATACCGCCTTGCCGTATTTACCACTAGCTTCGAAGCTTGGCCGGAGAGGCTGCACGGGGTCGAAATTGCCAGTCACAATAGCCTTACTGATGCCCTCGATGTAGTCGGTGACATTCTGACGAAGGGCCAGGGCTTCTTGCAGAGATACGCGCTGATATCGTAACGTATCGCCTGCTTTGAGTTGGCCTAATTTGTAGTAATCTGCTCGAATGCATGTGGCAGAGCTGACAAAGCCACCAAAGTTCGGACAGTCCAGGGCAAAGATACATCCTTCGTCTCCAGTCCAGTTCAGCGAACCGCACGAGTAGCCGTACTCGACGAGGTTCGAAGGATGCGACCCGCCCTCGCCACCGTCTGCTCGCGCCCATTTGGGGACCGGTCCCACGAGCCTGATAGCACTCCTGCTTGCATTGTGAGATACTTTCCAATCTGTGCTATACAGCATCTCGATGTCCTCTTCCGTAAGGTAGCCCTCTTCGTGTGGACCAGGCAAGGCATTGATCACCCACGGGGAGCTGTACTGAGGTCGCAACGACTCAGGCACGCTGGGATGGCCGCCGAGCGTCGATGGTATTTCCTTGACTAGGCTGAGCTGGTCACCGGGGGCTAACTGTCGTCCTTGGTAGCCACCAATAGCGACAATGGGCGATGTCGATTTGCTGCCAAAGTATTCTGCGACTGACGGGAACCCGCCGTACACAGCCAGGTAGCTACGACAGCCTCCCGCTGTGGTCTTACCAATCTTCAGGACTTGCCCGCGCTTGATATGTTTACGCGTCCACATTGGTAGGTCATCACCATCCAATTTCGCCTCGATAGGCGCTCCAGTCAATGCTATAACCGCGGCGCCATGGAATTTGAGCTCTGGACCAGATAGTGTAATCTCCAGTCCTTCTTGTCCACGTGGGTTACCCACGAGGGCGTTTCCAACAGACAATGCAATTGGGTCCATCGCGCCACTACGAGGAATGCCTTTTCCGATAGTGGGCCGACCTTCCAAGTCCTGCACCAATGTATACGCACCGGCCGAAACCACATCGATCACGCAAGGCTCGTATACGAAGCTTTGCAAGAAAGAGGTAATGGTACGCCCGGACTGGAAGACATCACTTTGAACGATGTTGGCGAGGAAGTCCAAGTTGATGGGCGGCCCGCTAACTATCGAGCGAGAAAGTAGCTGACATAGGCCCTTCCTGGCTGCTTCGCGAGTCTTGGCATGATTTATGACTACCTTGACATTAGCATACTGCACCAACGATTTGCTGACGGCGGTGGGTACCTTTTGCGATCAATGGATCATAGTTGGGCGAGATTCGAAGTCCCGTTCTCACCCATGTGTCAACTCGTGCGTTCTGCAGTTCTGCCCAGTAGACTTCTGTTAGGAGACCAGGGGAAGGCGCATAGTCTCGAAGCACGTTTTCCGCGTACACTCTGGCTTCAATAGCAGCACCAAAGGGGCCCGTCCGCTGTAGAGATTTGAGATAATCTGCCGAGAGGCCGCCATGTCCGGCGAGCTGTGCATCAGCTTGCTTCAGCATCAGCTCAACGAGGTCAATATCATAGCAAGCCTCTGTGATCGGATGCTCCACCTGGAGTCGCGTGTTCATCTCCAAGAAGAAGAACTCGGCAGTCTCATCGTCTACTAAGAACTCGACAGTCCCAGCCGATCCATACTTGACTGATTCAGCAAGACGGACCGCAGCACTACAGATCTTGTCCCGTAGCCCCGGATGCTTCTCGACAAATGGACTTGGACACTCCTCGATGACTAGATGCTATTAGCAATACCTCTCACTCTATAATAGCGAGATGAAGCCTACCTTTCTGATGTCGTCTCTGAATTGAGCACTCGCGCTCTCCAAAGTGAACAGCCTGGCCGAGTCCGTTGCCAAAGATCTGGACTTCAATGTGATGTGCCTCTGGGTAGAAGCGCTCGATGAAGACACCAGAGTCCTTGAAGAGAGCCTGACCACGAGATTGTGCTTTTTTGAAGCCGTCTCTCACCTGTTCGGCATTCTGGCATGTGATGAGACCTGCATCGATTAGCATGCCACGTGTGGTTAGTTTTCAGAAATGATCGTACCGCTGCCACCACCACCAGCAGTGATCTTGAGCATCACCGGATAGCCCAGCGTTTCGCTCTGCTTAACAGCGTCATCTTCGTTCTCGACTAAGCCTTCCGTACCGGGCACAATGGGTACACCGGACTTCTTGGCCAGATCACGGGCCGTGTGTTTGATGCCGAAAGCCTTGATGGCGTCTTCATTGGGCCTATAAGTGATTGTCAATATTTCAGTACATCATTCGCCTTGACATTGAGAGAGCAGCATCCTTCCACATACCCCACCCATGCTAGGCCTGCATCACTGACGGCCTTTGCAAATGCGGCATTCTCTGAGAGAAAGCCGTAGCCAGGAATGATGGTATCGCAGCCTTGCTCCTTTGCAATTTCTATGATCTTGTCGCCATCGGTATAGCTCTGGAGAGTCGGAAGCAGAACCGCCTCGTCAGCGTCGGAGACGTGGAGTGATGCTGCATCCGCAGAAGTGTAGATGGACACAGTCTGGATCCCGAGTCTCTTCGCAGTTCTGATGATGCGGACGCCTGAATACGTCGCCGCCGCTGTCAGTGCTGTGCCAAGAAATGTAGAACTTGTGCTCTATGTCATCCACTTTCGGCAGTCGAGGCCATACGCACAAATTTCTCCTCGATTGGCGATGAGGATCTTCTTGACTTTCTCCATGTTCATGTTGCTTGTGCGTTCTTCACATCGGCATCACTTCTTCTTTTTCTTCCTCTTTCGTCCAGCAGATGTATTTGGTCGTGACTCTGAACAAGTCCCCGCTGCTGTGCCAACCGAATGCCGTAGGCCCGCGTCCAGGTTGATGAGGAGCTCTCGGGAGCTGCTGTCCCACTGATAAGCATCACATTATCCTCCTCCTCGTTCGCAACGAGGGGCATCCATACCAGAAACCAGGCACGGCCAAGTATAATTCCGCTTCTCACGCCTATCACTTTCACAATACGAGTCCGGTAGTACTACGTCCTTTCTCACTTCCATTCTTACCTGGTACCTTCAGTCAACCAGCGGTAGTTCTAGTAGTCTCACTCCTCCTCATCCACTATTCTCTTACAAGCCAGAGCATCGCCACACCATGGCCCCCATCCAGAAGAAAGTGCACATCAACGTCGATCTCGGTGAAGGCTACGGCAACTTCAAAGCCGGGCCAGACGACGAGTTGATCCCTCTCATCGACCATGCCAACATCGCATGCGGTGTAAGTGATGACAATCATTCAAACCTCTCACCACACACGAACGGGCTCATGATTAGTATCACCAACCGCAATAGTTCCACGCCGGCGATCCGCTCATCATGCAAGAGACCGTCCTGAAATGCAAACAACACAACATCCTCATAGGCGCCCATCCCGGCCTTCCAGACATTCAAGGTATGTAGACGCACCACATTTCCTCCCTCCTCCAAGCATAAGCAGCAAACACAAAAGCCAATCATTTTAACACTCCCGGTTCACTCCCCACCTCCTTCACAGGTTTCGGTCGACGCGAAATCAAAATGTCCTCAGAAGAATTAACCGCAATAACACGCTACCAAATCGGCGCCTTACAAGCCTTCCTCTCCGCCTTTGACCTCTCCCTCAATCACGTCAAACCCCACGGTATCCTCTACGGCATGATGTATCGCGACCGAGAGATTTGTCGCGCCGTCTACGCAGGCGTGCCTCCGGGGACAAGAGTGTTTGGATTAGCGGGGACGTTTCATGAAGAAGTGGCGAAAGAGATGGGGTTGCCGTTTACGGCGGAGTTGTGAGTTCTATCTACTCTTTCTCTTTCTCTTTGTCTTTCTCTTTGTCTTTCTCTTTTTGTGTACATGTACCTTTTTTGCATGAGTAGAGAGTCTCTTCATGGGGGCAAAGTCTTTGCTCTTGTGTTTGTCATAAAAGAAAAGGAAAAAAAGGAAAAAGAAAAAAAGACTTTCTGACTGATATGAATCACGACAACGTACAGGTATGGCGATGTCAAGTATTCTGCAGATGGGAGATTAGTGATTGATCGGAAGAAGAAGCCTTGGACTGCCGAAGAAGTGCACAAACATGTCTCGAGTCAAGTGGAAAACAGCTCGGTGACGGCGGTGACGGGAGAGGAAGTCGAGCTCCCCATTGGGCAACATGATGTCTCCTTGTGCTGCCACAGTGATAGTCCCGGAGCACTGGAGATTGTGCAAGCTGCGAGAGAGATTGTCGATGCTTTTAATAACAAGATGAATTATCTATAAACCGCTATTGTGACAGCCTTCGAATTACTTTTATGATACAATTTGCCGGCTCAGTATGGGCCAGACTGTACAGTTTGTTCCGAATCGCTTGATATAGTAGTACACAAGTCGTGGTCACGTAGACTGCTTCCGTGGCTGCATGTTTTCTGCTCCACCACGAACGCCATTTGCTGGGGCATCCCCAGCCATTGAGTTGGCAGAGCCGTTGCAAAGTTTGAAGAGACCTCTGTGAGCCTTGTGAGCCGAATGTTGCACATTCAGACCATTAAGCCCAAGCCTTTTCTAGATGCAACCGCCAGTCACTGTGCGACGCGGCGGATCTCCTGAACCTGCTTGCTAAGGTTGCTAATGGTTCTCAGAGTAGGATCGCTAGGAGAAGCCTCTGAGATGGCCATGTACGCGCCTGAGAGACGCTGCTGGAGGACATCCATGATCTTTGGGGCCACGTCCAAAATGTCTTCGTTGCGAATGTCAATTTGCTGAAGCACGCGATACAACCAGTCCAAACGTTCCACCACGTACGACTCGAAGCTGGAAGTGATAGCAGCAGAGACGGTGAGGGCAACGAGAGGCGACAATCGAGATAGATAGGTCGGGTTCACACGCACGAAGAGCTTGTCGAAGATCTCGGCTTGTCGGTCAGATGAGATCCACTAGAGGATTGTGTTAGTGAATGTGTCAAGTCGAGCGAGTTATGCTAGGTTTACCTGAATGGTGGCTTCTTCATACTTGCCATCCACCAGTAGCTGTGTCATATTATTGATCTCAAAATCTTCAGGCTCAGGTGGAGCCTGTTGGTCGGCCGGAGGGGAGGACGCAGCAGATCTCGTGTGGTCCCCACGGCCAGAGCGTGCTTCACGCTGCAACTTCATGATTTGCTCCTGGAACGCCGTCTGGCTGGCAGCCATGCCTTGAAGGGTGGCAGAGAGGCTGCGGACAATACCAGATAGTTCCTCAATTTTGAGGCTGTCCTGTTGCCGCTGCGCCTCGGAAGAGTTGCGGTGCTGATTGAATTTGCTCTCCAGGTCCCCGATCATCTTCTGCGCTGCTTTGGTCGTCATATCTGGTAGCTGCTTTTGTAGCATTGCAGAAACCTGCTGCTGGACTCGCTGGGCGACTTGTGTAGCGGTCAAGTCAGAGATGGCCTTGTGAACCTCCTTGTCTTGGAGTGCTTGCTGGAGAGTGCTTGACAGGTTGGCCTTCATTGCAGCAGCCACGCTGGCATTGAGCTGTGGCGGAAGGGATTCGGCGATCTTGCGGTCAACAACCTTGCTGGTCACTTCTGTCAGAGTGGGGATCACATCCTTCTCGATGCGGGTGGCGATGATGCTGCTGAGGCTGCGATCGACGTTCTCGGTGAGCGTCGATGACACCAGGCGAAGCAGGGCGTCCTGCTTAGCACCAGCAGCGGCGTCATGCACACGTTTGTCGGACTCGATGCGCTGATACAGAGAGTCGAATTGCTTCGTCAACACACTCTGATAGTCGCCAGCTTCAGCAATCGGCGCATTCGCCTGCGTGGAGGCGTGTGAAGCATTCGCTACGGCAGCCTCTCTCGCCTTCGGGGAGACGATGACACTGCGTGGAACCTCTTCGCTGGATTTGCTGCCAGCTGGCGATTTGGCACGCAGCGCGGCGTGGCTGTACGAGTCGGCCGTGATCAGTGGCGGGTTGACAGGAATTTGCGGCAACGGCTTGCTAGGTGGCTCGGGCGAGTTCATCCGTGGTGGGTTTGCATGAGAACGAGGCGTTGGGGATGGCATATTTTCCCGCTTGACAGCCTCTGGCGCCGGCGCGGCCTTCGGTGCTTCAGTCCTGCTGGAGATTGTAGACCTCGTAGACTGCTTGTTAGCAGTAGCGTCGCGCTCGGAGCGTCCTGTCGGAGAATGAGCCTGCTTTGGTAAGTTGAGCTCTCGCATCTCAATGACGCCCTCCTTGAGTGCATCTTTAGGGTTGACCATCTTGTTGTGCAGATCCCAGCCTAGATCGGCGCGCTTCACGCTGATACCAACAGAACCCTTAGAGTGCATGATGTACAACTCAAATAAGGTCTCATCCGCCGTGCCGGCCTCACTGGCGTTGTCGACTGGCGTTCGCAGCATATCCAGGCTTCTGAGCTGTCCCACCTTGGCAAAAGAGAACTCCCTAAGTCCACTCATAATAGCAGTACTCTCCGGCTTGGGCAGAACTGGGTCATTGTTCGCGATCATGCTGATGTAGCGAGCCTGATCCATGATAGGAATGTTGTACTTTGGCGCGCTGAGGTGCAGGAAGTATATGCTGTTGCGGGTTGGATGGCCGATGGCGACGATACCAGTCTTGGGGTGATACGTCAAGCTACAGATGCCGTCACTGTCCTTCTCGTGAGGCAAGCGGATCTCCTGCACAGCTTTTCCGAGGCCGAGGTCCCAAAGCTGTAAGATGTGGTTCTGCTTGAAGCCGACAATCATGTACCGAAGTGCTGAACCACGGCTGACCGGCTTCTCTTTGTCGAGGAACATGATTGACGACACTGATGGCTTCTCATCGGGCTTGCTGCCAGAAGTGATAGCAGTGTTCTGCCATATTGGCTCACGTAGTTCGATGGGGTCATGCGTCTGAGACCCGAAACTTCTCTTCTCTGCCTGGGAGGTGAGGTCACGAATGTCCCAGAATTTGAAACGCCCGACCTTATCAAGGCTGACTATGACTGTATCGTCCTCTGAGAAACAGAAGTCTTTGCCGGCCTTTCCAGTGTTGATTCTCAGGCCCTGCTCTGCAAAGTACTTCTCGCTATCCACTCGGTGCGTGGCAGCGTCGGTATATGTGCGATTCTTCACAACTCGTGGCGCGATGAGCAATATGTGTTTACCACGTGCAATGGCGAAGTAGTCGGTATGACGGGAGCTCATCTTGGCACGTGTCTTGACTGGTGATCCACTGGTATTCTCTTCGGGCGTTGCCACGGCTGGAAGCACAAAGCCACGAGCCTCAATATCGTCGTCCGCAAAAGAGTCTCCTCGTGACTTGACTAGCGACGTCCAGAAGACGGAGCCATTCACACCAGTTCCGAGCACGGTCTCCACATCGTTGCCCGACTCGCTCGACAAGCAAAGCTGAACATTGAAAATGCGCTCACCGCTCGACCGGAAAACTTGCTTATGATCGCCAGAGTCTTGTCGAATGATGCGGAAGCCACCATTGTCCTTCTTTGTGGCGACCTGTGCGTAGACAATGTGTGTCTGACTGGCGGTGACGAGAGAGCGATCGATCTGGTCGAATTCCTTCTTGAGTTGTGCAATGACCATGAAGTTCTCTTGTCTTATCGGCCGGGCATGCTTGGGACTGCGAACCTGGATCGACACAAAGGGCTTCATAGGAAAGTTGTGCACCTCCACCTTGTACTCCGCTTTGCCATCGTCCTCGGCGCTCTCCCAGTTCGACTCCACATCTTCGTTGTTGGCAGTCTCTTTCTTCATCCGCTCATCGCTGCTGACCAATGGCTCTCGGCTGTCAGCAGCCTTGAGCGCGTGTGCAACCTGTCGCTCCACCTTTTCTCCCACATTCTCGAGCTTCTTAGACACGCTCTTGATCTCGGCGGATGATGTATCACTATCAACCTTCCTGCTCTTTGATGCTGGCTGAGAAGCGTCACCGTTCTGCGTGGATGAAGAACTGCGATTGTGTTTCAGGATCTCAATCTTCCTCGGAGCGGCAGTCTGTTCCGTTGGCTGCGGGGTGCGAGATCTGTTCAGCGGTGACGAGGTGTGCAATTGGTCAAAAGGGTTGACGTAGCTGAACATGGAGGCCTTGTTGGTAGGAGGGGCCTCGAATGCGGTGGTGCTCGCGGCTGGGCTGCCAAACTGGCGTGCTGGGGTGGACTCCCGTGCTGATTGCGTCGAGCCAACGGAGGCTTGTCCAAACTGTTTCGCTAGATCATCAACGTCTGCTTGAGGATTGGGTGTCCTGCCATTCCGCGATTCTGGTAGGGCGATCGGCGTAGCTGAGGGTGTCTGTGCTTTGGATCCCTTCAGCAAGCCGAGCAAAAAGTCTTGCGGGTTGCCGCTGGATTTCGATCTCAGCTCCTCAGCGTTGTGTGCTGATAGGTTGCGTTGGCTCACGGCGTTGCCAGAAGAGGAGCGCTGTAGGTTAACCATGACGTCCGCAGCAGACAATGGTCGACCTTCAGGGCGTGGAAGCACGCCTTCCCGATGTGGCGCGACGGGGATGTGAACTGAAGCGTGGCGATTCGCCGTGACATTCGTAAGGCCCGCCATTGCGCCCGTCTCAGATTGCTGTTGCGGCTGCGGGCTTGACCCGCCGTTGAACTTGAGCAGGTTCAGCAGGTTATTTGTGCGATTGTCAGATCCAGCTGCTGGGCCGGCGTTTGGTGCTGGATTGGCGGAACCAAAGACGTTCGACGCGTGCTGAGAATTGAGAGTGTGCGGCGGCAGCGAAATGAAGGGCGATGACGCTGCTGGCTGCTCGTATGATGGCGGTGCAGCTGGCGCTGGCGATGGCGCTGGTTGTTCGTGGCTCTGTTGCTTGAGGCGAGAAAACAACTCGCTGAGGTCGGCCATTTTTTCGAGAGTTGGCGCAGGCGCGCGCTGCTGCTGATATTAAGGCGTTCTCAGGACGGTGTATGATTCGAAGTTCGCTGCAAAGGAGTGGAGTGGCTCGCGGTTTGCCTGCAGTTTGATGGTGTCTTTGGGTGTGTTCGAGAGGTAGCGAGTCAAGCACAAAGTTGGAGTGAGGCCTAGCTGAGTTTGGCTCCTTACACACACAAGCACGATGACGACGTGGTGTTTTTCACGGGCACGTAAATCGATTCAGGCAGCCTTGCGATTCGTTCTTGATGCCATTGATGCCCGTCACACATTCACGCACGATTCATTAGTGGTCTTGCAGAGTCACATATACAGGCACAGTCCACGAACGGGTGTTCTCGAAGACGGAATGAGCTCATACACTTGACCCCTGCCAATTCAATGGCTTGGCCGACGAGCTACAGGTACCTTATGGTACATGTACCTGTATCTTTTTGAGAACGAACTCTGAGGATCAAGAAGCTCAAGAGGTTCAACAGGCTCAACAGGCTCAAGACGCAAGTGAGACTGAGCAGATGCGCATTATTGAGTAAGGTAGTCTCGCTGCTATACAACGAGTCTGGGGGTATCAACTTTTTATCAATCAATACATGTAGCACCCAATCCTCCCCCTCGTCACTCTTGCTCACATCTGTGCACTCCATACACTTGTGATGCAACATGTTCTCTGACCTCTGACCTCTAGCGTCGAGCCATGCCCGTAAGAAGCACTCCACAACTCTGTCCACAAGCTTGTTGCGGAGATCATTCAAGTCGTTCGAGTACTTTCCGCCGGGACAACGAATTTCGATTATTTTGCGCCACCCATGCTCTTTCTGCTCGGCTTCTACTTGATCGGTTCAACAATCATATCGAAAAGGGTTCGAGCGGGGAGAGGCTGATCGAATCTCTTCACGGTCCGCGTGTTCTACACAGGTAGATTGAATCTTTTGCCTTGTAGGATCCTGCGTGTTGTGTTAGCCATGTGCAAGACAAGCCAAGAAGCCAGATGCGTGACGATACATACTTTGTGTAGTAGATCCAGAAGAAGTCCGAGTAGAGCACTGTCTGGATGACGCCCGCGATCACAGGGATAGGATCCCAGTAGTGGTTTTCTGCGAAGAATCGCCAAATCCAATTTGGGATGTACAACGCCCGGTAGGCACCCAATGCGAACAGGTAATGGGTCGTGATTGTTTCCGCTTCACCTGTTCTTTGCAGCATGAAAAGCTGTGGCAGAATCGCAACAGATTCGAGCCAGATCGAGAATGCCCATAGTATCTGAGGATCCATGTCAGCTCCGCTGCCCATCTCTTCTACTCTTGGTCCGCGTATTCCGTACCTCAGTAAACGCATATTTGTATGGAAACAGTATGCCCATTACCGCAGCTCCTCCAATCAAATATTCGACCTTAAATGTATCCTGATTTGGGTCGTGTGTTGGCTTGTAGTCGTTGAGCATAAGGTATATCGTGTAGCCCTGCGCGCCGATGAAGATGATTTTGAAGGTCGTGTTCCAGAGGCTGTGCGTCGGGTCCGTCCATAGTAGGTCTGTGAGCTCTGATCAGTTTCGTCTGGCGGATGGCAAGCTGTATACGCTGACGGACCAAGATATCTCGTGATGTAGACCATCAGGTAGAGGAATTGCGATTTGAAGGATATGCCGGATGCACTCTGTAAACAGCCATTTAGCGATCACATCCGCACGACAGTGGTAGAATTGCAGCCGCATACGCTTGATGATTTCATCTTTGCAAGCAATATGAAGATGGAGGCCAGATGCGACAAGTCGCCTATGTGTTCAATCAGCAGCATATCCGCGACTTCCACCACGCACGTCTCGCGTCCTTACCAAAGATACGGAAGATGTTCATGGTGCTTGGTCTGTGGCCGAAGCCAGTGTCGTCTCGTGTGATGTTAGTTCTGGATCCAATGGCAGTCACTTTCAGCGCGTTCGAAGGGACGGTTTGATAGAGGCAGCCCCTTGCAGCGCAGTGTTTGGGAAAGTTGTCCAAAAGTTGTCCTGGAGCCAGTCAGCCACGGGCAGCTCTCAACGACAAGACCAAGGACGACCCTTCATCGAAACCTCCGCCTACGCCTACTGCGCCTAGCTCCACACTTGCCCCTGCACACGTTCACGCAGGCCGCGTCGTCATCCTGGTTTCGCCTTCTCGACTTCAACTTCATTACCTTAGCTGTACCTGAACAGGTATAACAAATAATGCACAAAGCTACACGAAAAAAATAGGTACCTCATGAGCGAGCCTCAGAATTAATTCTTCCTGGAAAGAAAGTCTCGACGCGTCTCGACGCGTTCAAATGCTTGGTTAAGAAATCCAACGTGCATGATGATTGATGAATATCTTAAGGTATCTGAACAACACGAAGCCGCCAGCTACATATAAGGTATCGCGAGAAGACCATCAACACAATCGGCATCATTTTCACAGGCAGAATTCGTACGAATCCGGAAATTTCGAGAAAGAAGGTCATCTGCAATATCTGCGCTCTTCCGAGTTGGCTCAATTTGCTCATCAATCAGCATTCCAAGACGATGACCTCTTCATTCATTGCCCCTCCTTCGTCGAGCACATAAAGTCTCAGGTCTACATCGACGCAATCTCCAGAACAAGTTGCCCTGCTCGAACATCAGCTTCGCGGCATCAGCTTCCCGAAAATGTCTGAATGACGCCCGAGCCTCAAGAGGTCTGCATTTGGCACACATGTCGAAATATTGCAGCCTCGAAAAGACACTGTCCCCGAATGGGCTTTCCCCTCACTCCTAGACTATCTGGCTCAGAATCCCTTCAAAGGATCAATGACTGCCAGCTCCTCGCAAATTCTAGTAGAAAGCGAGCTAGCTGATCTTATCATCACAACATTCCTATGAACTGCCGGCGGAGTCGTGCGATTGGACGTAGCTACATGTACTTGTCAAACTGGCGGAAAGGCGAGAACCAGCGAGGCTCCAGGAAAATGAAGATTGCGGCCGGGCACTGTCTCTACTTCCAAATGGTTGGTAGTTCCATTGGTCGCAGAAACGCACGACGTTTCAAGGCATACTGTGACAAGCTTGTATGTTGTGAGATGTGCAGTTCTATAATGGAAGTACCATGTACTCTTGAGTAGGCATATCAGATGCCTGATAGCACAATATCAATATAGATGATGATCCCGTGCGGAGCCCAGACTGGGCTCATAAGGTATATATGCCCATGGCAAAAGAGCTTGCACCGGGAGCAAACCTACCAGGTAGGTAGGTGCCTGAGGTATATCAATAATGAACAGAAACACGGTCGGTTTCCACGACAGCTGGATTAGCCCATCACAAATCCTTGTTTCAACATCGAATGAAATGCTCGATACATCAAAACGTAGCAACAAAAACCAGTGCCAGTATCTAAGTATTGCTCAGTACCTGTAGTGGCCAGGTCATGTTCGCGAATTGGGAACACTCGGAAAAGCTGCGATGGTAAAGTTAAGATGGAATCTCTTGGCAGGAACTCGAGCCTCCAGCTCCTCCTTTCTTCATCGCGTGTCTGCCTGGCAACAAACATCATCCCCTCGCGCATTGCCAGCGCAACAAACATCATCCTCTCGCGCATTGCCAGCGCGCAACTTGCACCATCTAATCATCTCTAGCGCGACTCTATGCTGACTTGTGGAGTGGCCTCAGCACGAGCATCAAAGTCACCATTCACGCGCGCAGGACGACAACGACTCTGGAGAGCGCAAAGACGACAACTTCTACCAACGCGCCGGCTTCATAGCCTTTGCACTTATCAAAACCAATCATGACAGACCGACTCCCACATAACCTGCTGGCGCTGTTCCAGCCGCGCCCGCCTCTCCGATTTATGCCACCTGCCGATTTTGCGCCTGGAGACCGCAGAACACATCGCATTGACGGCGTCGCCCAGTTCGTCCCTGCGCTCAAACAGAAAGTAGAAGAAGCCAAGACTGAGACCATCACCGAGTGTGGTCTGCAGAAGCGCGACCGCATGATGATAGAGAAACAAGCGAAACAAAAATGGCTGCTCGAGGAAGGCCACAAGGAGATGTACAAGCCTGGCGAGGATGAGAACATCCGTGGCGATGCATTCAAGACACTATTTGTCGGCAGACTCCCCTATGATTGTACCACCAAGGACCTTGAGAAGGAGTTTGGACGCTTTGGACCCATTGAGAGAGTGCGAATTGTTACGGATCGCAGCGAAAAAGCGAAGGGCAAGCCTCGAGGATACGCTTTCATTTTATTTGAGCGCGAGAAGGATATGAAGGGTACGTGAGCAGTCAGCTATTGCCTTGGTCCATCTGCTAACTTTCTACCAGCTGCCTACAAAGAGTGTGAGCGACTCCAGATCCGCGGCCGTATGGTTCTAGTTGATGTCGAACGAGGCCGGACTGTCACTGGCTGGCGCCCACGCCGATTCGGCGGTGGACTTGGTGGCCGGCACTATACGCGAGCTCCTCCACGAGCTGCACCGGGCTTTGGCGGTCCACCTCCAGGTCCTGGTTTCCGTGGCGGAGGTTTCCGAGGCGGCTTTGGCGATCGCGGCGGTCGAGGAGGTGGATTCCGAGGCGGTCGCGGAGGCGGCGGTGGCGGCTTCCGAGGAGGTGGAGGGTACGGCGGTGTGGGATATGGAGGACCAGACGGCGCTCCATCCGGACCACGTCAAGGAGGAGGATTCGGAGGAGGCCGAGACGACCGTGGCCCACCAAGAGGCGGCGGCGGACGAGACAATGCAAACTTCGAGCCTCTCCCACCAAGAGGAGGCGACGACCGCCGAGGAGGTGGAGGCTACCGTGATCGAGACCGAGACTTCAGCAGTGGCTCAAAGAGGCCATTCGAGGGGGGCTACGATGACTCACGACAAAGACGACGCTACTAATGGTAGCATGGAGCGTGGTAAGATTCTTCCCACTAACCACTCCACACCCAAGGGTAAGTATACTGATCGGTGCAGCTCATGGCAGCCACTCACTTTGCAGGTTGCCTCAAGCTGCACTCGGTGGGATGTGCTTTACACACCCTGCACATCACTTCGATCCCATAGCGGCCAGCTCAGTTCAGAAGTCCATTTTAACGGTGAGTCGGATTACCTCCTCAAGGGTAAGGTACCGGCTCGCGCGCAAACGACAATACTGTATGATACACCGACGGAACCACAGCAAAACGCGCGATGGGCGGACAGGATTTCGGGAGGCTCCGTTTTCCTTTTACTTGTGTTACTGCTACTTCTTTGTTGCTGTTGGGTGTTGTATCCATTATGAGGCACAGACAAGTGTGGCATTGCCAGGCTTTCGCAAGCAGATCGGCATGTACCTATGTAATAGTAGCCTCCACTCAGGTAGGTCATTAAGAATCGTATGGCCACGAGCATGACCATGACCATGACCATGACCATTGTGTGTTCAGATCAAGATCAGATACCCAGCACACCTTACCCCCAGTCCCGTCAAGAATGAGTAGATATGACCTCAGTTGATGGTATCAAGGCGAAGCCGATATTTTCCGAAGCTGTACCTTTGTAGGAGTGCAGTGAGCTGAGTGAGGCGGGACTTCGGCGTCCACTCAATTGACGTTTACCGCGGGGCTTCAACCCTCCGACAAGTGCCCCTCATCACACCAGCGGCGCTTTTTCTGGACTTGCTTTTCTCCTCGACAACAAACACAACCACAACCACCAGATTGATCAAGCAAAGCACACTGACTGCTTTTCACCAGACCAACCAACTCATCAAATCCCACACAATCCACCGCAATCATGGCACGCCAATTCTTCGTCGGCGGCAACTTCAAAATGTAAGTCACCATCCATCCATCCACCTCCACAGTCCTCGTGTTGTGTGACCTAAACAACTCTTATCGAACAGGAACGGCTCCGTCAACACAATCAAAGACATTGTCTCCCACCTCAATGCTGCCAAAGTCGACCCAGCCACCGAAGTAGTCATCGCTCCACCAGCCCTCTACCTCCTCCTCACCCGCGAGCACCTTCGTCCCGGAATCGAAGTGGCCGCCCAAAATGTCTTTGACAAGCCCAACGGAGCCTTTACGGGAGAAATCTCCGTCGAACAACTCAAAGACAGCAACATCACCTGGACCATCCTCGGACATTCGGAACGCAGAGTCATTCTCCAAGAGACGAACCAATTCGTGGGAAGCAAGACCAAAGTCGCACTCGACGGAGGACTGGGCGTCATTCTCTGCTGTGGAGAGACGTTGGAGCAAAGAGAAAGCAACAAGACCATGGATGTGGTATTGGCTCAACTCAAAGCCGTATCCGACACGGTCAAAGATTGGAGCAAAGTGGTTGTCGCCTACGAGCCCGTCTGGGCGATTGGAACGGGTAAAGTTGCAACGACGGAGCAGGCTCAAGAGGTGCACAAGGGAATTCGGGAGTGGATTGCAAAGGAGTTGGGAGCCGAGGCGGCAGAGAAGACGAGAATCATCTACGGTGGAAGTGTGAGTGACAAGAATTGCAAGGAGTTGGCTAAGCAGGCGGATATTGATGGTTTCTTGGTCGGTGGTGCGAGCTTGAAGCCCGCTTTTGTGGATATTATCAATGCGAAGCAGTAGATGGATACGTTGCTGCTTGGCTTTGAACTGTCTTGATCTGATAAAATCCGCCAAAGGAGGAGGAGGAGTAAGAGCATGAGAAGAACGTCTTTTCTCACCTCTCGTCTTCTTCTACAATTGGATCAAGAGATGCGCAAAAAAAGAACGAAAATCCCTACATAGTCAGTAAACGACCGAAGAGTTGGTTGGTTCAATTTATCATGTACATAGAATCGTGGTGGTCATGCTACCCAAGGTACCTGTATGATATCCGCGATTCCACCCGATTCCGACTCCAGAATTTCCCATCTTCTCCATCCAGATGCTGTCACAATACCTACATTACCTAGACACTCCATCGTTACTGGCTGGACAGACCCGTGTCCTAGGTATATCTGTGTTTTTATCACTAGTAGGTCGGAAGTCGAACACAGGGACACGGGAAAACAGTACCTCCTTACACGTACCTTACATGTATGTACCTTACCTTACCTAATCTACGACCAGCAGCAGTTTCGTCACGAGAACGGCATGAATGCCACATCGAGCTAGAGCTGGAAAAACAATTGTGCTGGTTGCTGGTTGAGAGATCTCGATGATGAAGGAGGAACCTGGACCAGACTTTGAGAACGGCAAAGCTCTCCACCTACCTCCGTACTCCACGGACTTGCTCGGCTTTTTCTGAGATCGATTCACCTTGGCTGCATACTAAGTACCTATGGTCACGAGAAGGCGTTGTTTTTTCAATATTGAGTGTGCTTGGGTTTCTCAAACGCTACAGTGAGCGAAATCGTGCAAGGATGCATCATAGAAGGTGAGAAAGGACAAGGGTATGTACTGGAAGTTTGACAGTTTCAAAAAATGTTGTTTTTGCTGGCTATATCTCTCTCATGTTACTCAAAGTAAACTCATGATCGATCCTCCTCTCTCTCAGCGCGAGGATGACAACTCATAGCAAGTCATGTATGCTAGGTGTGCAAGCTCAGCATGCGGAATTGAAAATGCAGCCCTGCAGGACATTAGAAACAGATGCGCAGTAATCGTGGCGACGACGGCATGTGTAGACTCACGTATCTCATCCCATCATAGGTTTCGAAGGAACGAAGCATCTAGATGGAGTGCTTGTTGGCAGAAGCGGCACCCTCGTGCTTGGTCTGGTCAAGCTTGTCGCTGATAGCGCCAGTGGCTCCGCTGACACGGTCACCAATGCTGGAGTTTGGTGTGTTGCCCTTGGCCTGCTCCTTGTTGGCCTCCTTCGATGCCTCAGCGGTCTTGCCCTGGACGGTCTCGGCAACGTAGTTGGCGGCGTTGGAGACAGAGTTGGCTGTAGGAGAAGAGAAGAGAGTCAGTGAGGGGCACTACGAGGGGTTGACAGCAGTGTCGGCGGGGGAAGAGAACATACCGATCTGGCCGACGATGCCCTCGTTTGGTGCGTTGGCGTTTGGTGCAGACATGTTGATGGAGGTGCTGTGGTTGGTGGTTGGTGGTTTGAGGGTTGAGATGTGAGTTGTGGAGGGTAAGATGGTGTTGTTTGTGGGAGAGGAGAGGCAGTGGAATGGAATTGTGGTGGGCTTTATGAGAGGGCCAGAATGACGCAACCGCGAGGGACGATCGGGAGTGGCACAAAATGGCGATGTGGGCAAGTGGGCAGGTGGTGCTGTTGCGCTCCTCGCCGGACCAGAAACAGCGTTGGCGCCACAGACTGGGAAAAGTTAGAACGAACCACGTCTTGTTTTGCACAAAGCTAGCATCTACGAACCAATCCAATCTGCTCCTGAATAGCCACCCCAACCGGCCTCTCGACGCGAACACTCCCGCTCCGCCTGTCATTGGCTTCTTTGTGCTCGTACCTCTGACCTCCTGGCATCTTCCAGTACCTGCGGCCTGCAGGCTGTGCTTGGTGGTGGTCATCAGGTAACCTGCAGACCTTCAGGCCCACCGAGACTCACCAGCTCATCTCCCGTACATGTGGCGGTTGTGTCATAGCACCCAGTATAAACAACGGAACGGCTGCTGCTGCTGCCCGTCGTTGACATGTGACTGTTCACATGTGATTGCCACTGGTGCCTGTAAATGCGGTATCTCCATTCGGGCAAGAGAGAGGGACCACCTACGTCCTCTGTGGAGGTTGTGTAGCAGACGCGATGGTATGGGGGAGGTAGCATGTCCCTACCGTACCTTTCCCTACCTTCTACGTCGAACTTGTTCCACTTCGACACCTCTAGAGCGCGAGCATCAAGCCATTGGACGGCACTTTCCATCGGTTGCTATAGCATCTCGATCCATATACCTTGCTGGCCTTGATTGTCAGTGTGGCTATGAATGCTACCACCCGGACGGTGTCGATGCATGTCCTTCGACGAGATCGTACGTAGCGTCTCTGTAAGATAGGATCAGCTACGCTGCTCTCAGCACGTTTGGTCAGGAAGTTGAACCTCATGGAAGACGGAGGGCCAACATGGCGACATTACCTACTCGAGCCTTGTACGTCTGAAGTCGAGCTTGAACTAGGATCCTCCTTGGCGGATAAACAGACGCGAAGAGGCGCCGGCTCTGTGTACTTGGAACGTAGTACACCCAAGTTACTGCCTCAGTCCTCTGGTGCTCTTCGCCTCGTCCGAAACAGACGAGAGGCCACTGGAACGACTGACTGACTGACTGCCCCAGATAGAAGCAGCGATCGGCAGCTATTCACTTCTCCTCCTTCTGCTGGGGATGTCGCATCATACACAAATGCTTCAACGGGTCTGGGTAGCCATATTTCGTCGCATCCCAGGGCAATTCATCAACTACTTCAAATCCCCACTTCTTGTACAGTCCAACTCCCTGGGGCGAGCCCTCCAGATACGCTGGTAGACCCAATTCATCCGCCTTCTTACACCCCCACTCCATAGACAACGCTCCGACTCCTTTGCGGGCCTGGTCTGGTCGCGTCGCAAGCACATATAACAGCACATATGGCTTCCCTCCAAAATGCTTCCTCCTATATTCTTGCACCACGCCATGAAAATCCTGCACCACAGCCAAATTCACCCCAGGTGGATCACCCAACTCCGCCGTATCCCTCTCACTCTCCTCTTTTTCCCTGTGAAAATCCTCCTCTGTCCGCTCCTCGTTATATATTCTCCAATTGCTCACTCCAATCACTTGTTGCAAAGGATCGTCATCGGGTAAATCTGTGTCGACGACTTTGTAAATCTGTATGCGACCGGGATATCTCTCTGCTGCTCGCTTCATGGTCGCAAGGCTAACCGCGGAGTCTTGGGCGCTGATACCGTGGGGGAACATGACGGACATGATTCCTGGACGGAAAGCTGCTTTGCAGATCTCGTAGTAGATGTGCCATTCGGAGGGTGGCATAGGGAGGAGTTTGCGCGGCATGGCTGAGAGGAGTGGAAGAGAGGGAGGGGAGGATAATTCTATTATTTTGTTGCTGTGTGAATTATCTCTTAAGCAATCTTTGTCGGCTGAACTTTGAACCAGAACTAGATGTACATGTATGTACTTCGCGCCTTGCAGACTCACTGACGCAGTCATGACTCTGTCTGTACTGTAGGATTGCGCCGGCTGGAGTCTGGCGCTACGGTGGTATGATTTGTTGCTCCCTCTCTCTTTCTTTCTTTCTCTCTCTGTCTCTCCCTCTCTCCCGCGTTCCATCTAGCTCACCTTGAGGAATCATCATGCTGCCACCATCTTCGAGCTCTCAGCCCCATACATGTACCTGGCCTGGTATGGTCGTACAGCAGATTTCCTACCGCATGACGTGCATGTATATATTTCGTCGACGTTCGCCCGTGTGAAGGATGATGATCGGCATTACCGAACAAGAGCCTGGCACGGGCCAGCTTCGATTTCGCCCTCTCTGTAAAGAACACTGAAGCTCGAGCTGATCATATGCCTAAGCATAGGTGGTATATTCTAATGCTACCTTGTACCCTTTGGCAATCCATATGTCAATAGCAGACGCAAGCGATGTTGTAGGATCCCCAACGCGAATCGGCCAGCGGGTATCGAGACACAGATGGACGAGGAGCCTACTCTCTACCACAAGATCCGCAGGATGGCAGAACGAAATATAGCGGGTGATACCATTTGAAAGAAAGCCTAAGGTATTCCTGACTACAAATTCAGAACTGGAGTCACAGTGGAATTCCTTGCGAACCTTTGCAGGCGGAAGTCTCTCTCGAAACCTTTGCGATCTATGCAGCCGAGAGCGAAGATGGAGTATAGCGGTAACAACTAATTTCTTCGAGCCTGAGGATTCGTTATTCCATCTCACTGAAAGAAAGGTCGGAAATAAATCCGTTCCGGGTTCTCCCTGGCCTTTGCGGATACCCCACACTCGACTACATGTATGTATATATTAATATTATGGACCTGGGATTCTCGTTTCCACGGACGAATAGACTGGACTGGAAAAGCTCGTTACCGAGAAAAGAGCCTCCATCCTAGATAGATGAGATTACTGCTCTCTCTGGGGTTTGCTGCGGTCTAGAATTCTCGAAGCGGGCCTAGAAACTGGGTCAGTAGCGAATGGAGAGAAGAAGCAAACGGAAGAGTCGCCCAAGACTCCGGTAACATGCTTTCTCATAGTGCCCATACACTCACTCTACTACATCTCTAGGTGGCCTGGGGCAGAGACCGGGTATAGCGGCGACGATGACTTGACATACTGAGCCTGGGGTGCACGATACTGCTCCCAGCGTATGGCTCACTCTTTGCCAACCACAGGACATGATGCACAAATGGCGACGCTCCAAAGTCAATGGAGGGCGAAGGCCAACGTTAATCTACAAACCTAGTGACCGGAGCATGGAAGACTGCGGTTGCGACCGCGAACATGCATCACCTGCAGGCATGTACACTCCAAGCACCGCAACAGTTGGTGCATTTCCCCTCATCTAAAATATTGTACTAGCCGCTACTGCGATGAATGAAATGTTACGTTGCAGCGCATGTGACACTGCAGCAGCTGGTGTGATGGTCCTCCGACGACCAGGCCCATTCGACGTGTCACTTCGATCTCGTTCGAACTGCTAATGCAATGATAGCAAGCATGGCAGGCATACAGTTTTGGATGCTATTGCTCTTTCGCCACGCATGGGCTCAACACGACTATGCTCAGTACGTCAATCCATTCATCGGAGGCGAAGGCCCTACGCCTGGCCTGGCAGCTGGTGGAGGGGATATATTCGTCGGCGGAGCTATGCCATTTGGTATGGCAAAAGTCGGGATCGATACGTACGAACTGAACCTGACGACCCAAACGATCAATGGCGGTTGGACTTCGCAAGGTTTAGTGACCGGAGTCAGCATGATGCACGAGAGTGGAACAGGCGGCGCTCCGAAGTACGGTATCATCTCACAGATGCCGTTGACGACTCTGGATGCACCGGTCAATATTCTCGACAACACCACCTACTGGCAGCAACGGACTGTTGTCAACGACACGGCAAGTGTGGGCTACTACTCCACGCAGCTGGAGAATGGAGTCACACTTGAATTGGCAGGCGCCCGGCATAGTGGAATCATCTCTTACGACTTTCCAGCTGGCGAAAAATACATTCTTGTGGATCTGTCGCACTTCTTGCCCGATACGGGTGGCTCCATTACTGCACAGTACTATGCAGGAGGTTCAATCACGATACAGAACGGTGGCAAGCAGTATGTGGGCTGGGGATCGTACGGTGGTGGTTTCAGCAACAGTGCTCCAGCAACTACTTACTTTTGTGGCGAATTCGAGCAGCCTCCGGAGGAGGCACACACGTTTCGTGGCCGGAATACTGCACCTGTGCAGCGCCAACATGTTCTGTCAGATGAGCCAATTCCACATCCAACGTTTAGGGGTCGCGACACAGAGGAGAGCGGTCCTTTGAGTGACCGTGTAGGGGCAGTCTTTGTGTGGCCGAGGGGAGGTGCATGCACCGTCAAGTCTCGCATTGGAATATCTTTTATATCTACTGAAAAAGCATGCTTCAACATGAATGAAGAAATCGCTTCCTGGGACTTGAATGTTACCGTCGCCGCAGCGGTGGAGGAGTGGAATCGAGATGTTTTCAGCAAGATCCAAGTGCCGGTCGACGATGCGCAGAATCGGACTGATCTGATTCTACTCTACTCGCACATGTAAGCATCAATTTTCTGATTGCACATTGCAACTCTAAGCTGACCACTTCTTTGTTTTCTTTCCCCAGGTACTTCACACATCTGATGCCGTCCGACCGTCGTGGAGAGAATCCATTGTCGGATGCAGAAGATGCCTGGGACGACTACTACTGCGCTTGGGACATCTTCCGGTGCACCACGTCGTTGTACCATATTCTGCAACCGGAGTATTACCAAAGCATGATTCGTGGGCTCATCGATATCTGGAAGTATGACGGGTATATGCCGGATGGACGAAGTGGAAACTACAATGGTCTGGTGCAAGGTGGTAGCGATGCCGACAACATCCTAGCTGATGCCTACGTCAAGAATCTGCCCAATATCAACTGGACCGAGGGCTACCAAGCCATGGTGAAAGATGCGGAAGTCGTGCCATACAACGCGTTCTCGTATGTCGACCAGAGCGCGGGTATTCAACAGGGTCGTGGTGCCCTGAAGGATTGGCTCGAGCTCGGATACGTCTCGCTCGATCGCAGTACGCGTTGCATTTCGAGGACCGTCGAATATGCGCTCAACGACTTCAGCCTGTTCCAGGTCGCCAAAGGAGTGGCACCACAAGACGTAGAGAAGTATCTCAACCGAAGCGCGAACTGGCAGTCGATCTGGGCCCACGACCACACACACAAGAGCTTCACCGGCTTTCTCGCGCCTCGACTGAGCAATGGCGAATTCAATCTCACCGACTACAATCCCGCACAATGTGGTAGATGCAATTGGAACGCAATCACCTACGAAGCCACCCCCTTCGAATACGCCTTCACCATCCCACACGACATGCAAACGCTCATCGAATTCATGGGCGGTGCAACCGAATTCGAGCGTCGACTCGACTACATCTTCCTCCCCAACACATCGGAGCAGAACCTCGGAGACAACGGCGCCGGCATCAACACGCTCATGAACATTGGCAACGAACCCGACTTTGCCACGCCTTACGAGTACAACTACATCAACAAACAAGCCAAAAGCGTGCAAAAATCACGCATGCTGAGCAACCAATTCTTCAAAAACGCCCTCTACGGCGTCCCCGGAAACTCGGACGCCGGCGCGCTGAATTCCTGGATGATTTGGCAAATGATGGGCATGTACCCCGTCGTCACCCAACCCATTTATCTCCTCTCCAGCCCGTGGTTCCACGATATGAATGTCACGGTGAATGGGAATGCGACGTTGCGCATCACGGCGAATGGCTTGGATAATCAGAAAAGCTATTATGTGCGCAGTGTGGAAATTAATGGGAAGTTGTGGGACAGGAATTGGTTCGAGCATGATGAGGTGATGGTCACGGGCGGGAGGATTCATTTCGAAATGGGTGGTGAAATGGTGTTTTGGGAGACGGGGGATGTTCCGCCTAGTCCGGGACATTATATGAAGCCGCGGCCGTGAGGCTATAGGTAGTTGTGGTAGGGATGATGATGATGTGGTATAGGATAAAGTAGGATGTTTGTGTGTTATATCATCATCTGTGCTTACCCATTCCACTCAATGTTCCACAGGCTATTGAACTACAGCAGTCAGGTATGATAATAATCCCCACAAAGATCCTTCAAGACAGCTAACGCGAATGGTTGGTTGACTGGTCTGCGATGGGTGACGATACAGACAGAATCTTTGCCCGCTCCGCCTCCCTCCCTCCCTCCCTCACAGTCTCATCACAACTCACCCAATCTCTCACTCTCCAGTACATTTCCCTTAAAATTTCCCATCATGTCAGATCTTCCAATATTCACCCCCATTCGCGAATCCCCTCCTTTAAACAGCCACAGAAATCCTCCACCTATTCCAACCCGCCAATCGAAGCAAATCACGCTGTATGGAGCGAAAGAGGCATAACTCGGCTCCAGCCACTGCAGCCAGCCACTGCAGCCGGGTAATTCCTGCCGGCTATAGCTACAGGAGGCCGGGGAGGCTGGGGAGGAGCAATCAGTCAGCTGCATCAGTATAAGAACATCTCTTTTCTCACTTTCTCTTTCTTTCCTACATCCACCAACTTCTCCATCATTACTTTCATCAGTATACAGTCCCAAAGAAAACCCCCCTCAAGATGGCCACTGCAGCGCAAATTCAGCTGGCGAAAGTCTTCATTACAAACCGTTTCGGCTACTCCATTCAGGATCTTGGATTAGTTGCAGAGGCTATGGATACGACTGGCTTTTACCGAGCCGGATCCAACAAGCGTCTGGCAATCGTTGGGGATGCCGCTCTCAAGATTGCTATCGCAGCAGCCTGGTATCCTACTGGCGCACCACGAGGTATACAGAAGCTACGCTACGCCACATAGGCAAATTTGGACGATTTTCTCACGTATACTTAGGCGAATACTCGGTTTACTCGTCGCACGTCAGCAATATCAACTTGGCTACGGTTGCGCGACTTATTGAACTTGGCCAGCATTTGATCCTCAATCCCGGACACTTTGGTGCTGTGAGTTCAAACACTCTCGCCACCGGTCTGGAGGCTTTCTTTGGTGCCATCTACCAAGACTGTGGAGGCGACATCTCGATTGTCAGTGCCGCAATGACCGCCGTTGGCATCAAACTCCCTGGAACCGATGACAACTAGGTAAAGTGACGGCCCCCCTCAATAAGCTAACGTCCATCCCCCCCCCACTAGGTGCTCCGTTGTCTAGCTCGACATTCTTGTTGATAGACACCGATGAACCCAAGTTCGCCGATGAGAGGGATCCGGAGGTACCTCATGCCGGGCAACGAGTTCATCATCTCGCGATGGAGTCTGAAGAGAACTTCTCTTCGGTGCAACGCAAGATGGAGGACATGTTGTCTTGCATGAGGGACCCCCGGGCGCCCTCACATGGGCGAACTCGGGTGCATCGATGTAGTTTGAACTGGTGTTCGATAGGTAAGGGAGCAAATTTTGCCATCTCAGCACACTACTTGTGCTGTTTTGGAGCTCCCTACTGACTCATAAGGAGATAGTGCGTTACGACCACGATTCAAATACAGCAGCAGGGGTATTCAGGAAGAACTGGTTATATAAGACCTTTGGACCTTTCTTTAACTCCAAACTACCAAATAGGCAATGAGAATAGTTCGAACACCCCAGCTTTAATGTTTTTTTTTTCAATTCGCTACGGGAGTCCTCCTCTATTGAACAACCGGAGGCCTTGTCAAGCTCTCTTTGCTGCCCTGTATCGCTCCAATATTGGACTCTGGTAAGAATTCTGCGCTCGGGATCTAGCACGGGGACTACTGCGCTTCGCAGCTGCGAGTGCCTTTCTCCATCTCCATCTCCATCTCTATCTCCGTCTCCTTGTCCTTTGTTTTGTCAGAGTAGCCCATACGAGGTCATTCCATACCAACAACTCAACAACAGTCTCCATACAACAAAAATCAAAACCCCCCCTATCCAACCCTCCCAAGAATCCTATCTGCCCCCAACCCAATCAACCTCCTCGCAAGCTTCTCCCCCACCCCCTCCGCCTCCTCAACCGTGCCCACCACCTCACAAATCCTGTCCTCCACAATTTCCTTTTCCCTTTTCCTTTCCTCCTCATCATCACCATCAACAACACTCAAAACCTGCCCCCTCAACTCCAACATCCCCGTTTCTTCATCCCAACAACTTTCCACTGCAACAGGTGCACTACACCCCCCATTCAACTCTTTCAAAAAACTTCTTTCGGCACTACATGTTAGTAATGTCGGGAAGTGGTTTAATGGAGATAATAATTTGAGGATTCGTGGGTCGGAGTGGCGGATTTCGAGACCGAGGGCTCCTTGGCCTGGTGCGTGGAGGATTTTGTTTTCTTTGACGCTGTTGGTGCTGTTGGTGTTGGTAGTGGTGTTGTTTTGTGATGACAAGTATTCACTAATCCGTCCTTCTAAACCAATCCGTTTGAGACCTGCGGCTGCGAGGATTAGACAGTCGTAGTTTTGCTTGCTGCTTTTATCATCTCCTGCTGCAACATCATCGAGTTTCCGCAGTCGTGTCTGTAGATTTCCTCGAATTTCGACGCATTTTAAATGGGGGTAAAAATGGGCGATTTGCGCTTTTCGTCGAATGGAGGATGTGCCGATGATGGATCCGGGGGGGAGTTGGTGGAGAGAGTTATAGGGAGAGTGGAGTTTCATGACGAGGACGTCTCGGGGATCTTCGCGAAGGGGGATTGTGCTGAGGATGCTGGATTGGTAGTTTGATGAGTATGTGTGTTTTCTTTTTTTTTTCTTTTGGATCTTTTGGGAGGGAGATGGAGTGGGATTAACCTTACCATGATGAGGGGAGGGTGGTGGGCATATCTTTGGAGAGAGAGAGAGAGAGTCAGAGCCAATATACAAAACATCATACTCGTCAAAAAAGAAAAAAAAACACAAAAAAAAAATAAAAAAACAACTCTACCTTTCAAACAATGCACAACAACATCCACCTTCCCATCCACCAACAACCCCTCCAACTCCTCCGTCCAAATACTTTTCGAATTAAAATCCAAAAACGTCTTGACCTGATTCTCGTCGGCCATGGTACTAATCACTTGCATTTTGTACTGTGGTCCAGGAGAAACTGTCTCCAGTTGCGCGATTATCATTTCGGCTTGTGCAATTGCAAGTTGTGATTTTCGTGTGCCGATGTAGATGATTTCTTGATGACTGTCGTTGTTCGTTTGGAGGGTGTTGTTTGTTGGAGGAAGGGTGGGGTTTGGATTCGCCATGGTGGGTGGGGGGTTGGGATGGGAAGAAGAAGAGGTCTTTGCTTGATGAGAATGTGGATAATTGTGCGGACGAAAGGGCGGAGGATGTCGAGGTTGGATTTCTCATTAAGAAAGATGACGGGTAGAAAAAGAGAAAAAAAGAGTACGGAGTGCAATCCGTTGAAGAAAATGGCTGAGCCGTAGTATTGCCAGGAGAGTGGATGCCAACGAGTTTTTATAGCATGATTGTCTGTGGACTTGTAGATGCGAGTCTTAGTCTTCCTCACGCCGCATCGAAAGTGAGGTGATATAGAGCATGCTGCCCTGAGTTTCAAGTCTGCTCTCGTTATCTATTAGAATTAGTATTGCACCTCAGCTGGCAATGCTGATTCCCTCGTACATTGATTGTATTATTGTATTGTCACCACTCCTTCAGCACCACTACAGTCTAACGTGAAGCGAGTGATGTGATACATGTTAGTTAGAAATCGAAGAGCTGAAAAGGAGGGACGGAATGCCTTATAGTGTCTTATGGTTTCGCAGGGCGACGATTCCTTTATTATCATTCTATAGTCCGTATAATTAGTCAAATATGCTCGCAAGTATAGTACGGCTCGAACATGAATCTCGTACTTGAGCCGAACGTGTACAATGAGCATTGATATACGGCACCATGTCTTGTCAATAATTCAGGGGTTCAGCGTAAAAACATGCCTTGGGCTATACAGTAAGTACCGTACCTAGGTACCTACCTTCTTCTAGGTAGTTTTCCGAACAGGACGGCAGAAAATGGGAAATAAAGTGAGCGTAGGCGACCTCGCATGAGATTCTCGCTTACTTGTCCGGGGACGACGACGACGACGATAACAGTCCATGTTGGTTGGTGCCATTGGTGGGGTAGACGAATGGATACTCCCCCTACTAGTCTCGCAGCTCTCGCTAAAGTGAGAGACTGCAAGCAAGGGGGGAAAGGAACCAATATTCTGCGGCGATCTGCGCGAATGGAAATGTGAAATAGCGGATATTCGTCAGTATAGTCGCAGCAGCAGCAGCACCAGGACTGGAGACTGGTCAGAACCGACATATGAGAGGAAGAGACGACGTTGCGTCTAAGTTCCGCTATCAAATCTAATGCCCTAGGAGGTAGTTAGACGGTATATTGTTGATTAAGACACCACCCCCTTTAACCCCCTTCACCCTTTACCCTTTACCTCACCTGATACCTCACCTGAGCCTCACCAGGCTCACCTCACTTGTCTCTCGGAAAAAAAAAAAAGAATAAAAAAACCTGCAGCGGACCGCGGCATTCTCGTACGTCAGGCATATGGACCGTGCATCCGCGTGCCGTGCTCGTGCCCTTGGTTCTCGCGTGCAGACTGCATAAAAAACAAAACCTTCCCGACCTAAAATGCATACCAGCGACAATCATAGGTACATATACATGTACATCTGCACCACACCACACCAACAAGTAACCATACATAAACGAGACTAGGAGGTAGGTAATAATGCCTGCCTACCTACACGAAGCTTACGAACCGCGCTATGAGCTGGCAGGTGGATCTCCCGTCTCTCTCTTTTTTTTTTTCTTTTCGGTGCATGCCAATGCCCTTTACCCTGCGTATGCGTATGCGTATGCAGCAATGGGAACTGAAAGACGCCATTCAGTACCGCTTTGAGAAGTGGCGGGGATGGACGAAAGCTCACTTATGACCGGTTCAGGCTAGCTAGCCCCGGCCAGGACCAGGCTAGGCCAGGCCGCAGTGAAAGAGTGAGTGAGAGTGAGTAAGAGTGAGTGAGTGAATGGGTCGGTTTTCCGTGGTACTGTGACGGGCTCTCTCTCTCTATTCACCGCTAGAGCAGAGCAGTATGTGAGGTATATGTACATATCCAGGCGCCCTGCTGAGAGGACAAGAGTTGAACGAGCCCCGGCAGCAATTTTGACAGCGGTGATTTTCTTTTGTGTCTCGTATCACTGCAGCCAAATAACTATCCAACCAACTAACTAACACACTAACACTATGGCGGGTGACGAGGCTCTTGTGGATGTAGAACAGCTGTAAGACGAACCCGCGCACTGTATTCTGTCGAAAACTTTTGAGTATATCTTTATCACTGACTAATAGACAAAAAAATCCAGAAAACGCGACATTGACTCTCAAAACACCACATCAAATTACAATTGGAAATTCGAAAACGGTCGCCGCTATGCCTCGAGTGAACTCGGTCATTACTACATGCCCAACGACGAGCCCGAAATCCAACGACTCAACGAACAGCATTGGATTCTCACACAGGTAAAAGGCGGCTCATTACACTTTGCACCTCTCCCTCCAGCAACCGAAAAGGCCAGTCCCAAAATCCTCGACGTGGGATGTGGAAGTGGGATTTGGTGTGTAGAAATGGCAGAAGAATATCCTTCAGCCATGATAATCGGCATGGATATCAGTCCTATCCAACCCGTGCAAAAACCCGCAAACGTCGAATGGATTACCCTAGACATGGAATCCTCATCATCATCATCATCAGAAACACCCTGGCCCTTCCCCGAAAACTACTTCGACTTAATCCATCTAAGTCTCGTCCACGGCTGCATCTCCAACTGGCCCACCTTCACCTCCAAACTCACCCACCATCTCGCCCCAGGCGGCTGGCTCGAACATCAAGAATTCTCGCTGTGTAAACAATACATGCTCGACACCCACACCAACCTTCCCCTCCCCATGCCCCCCAACCCCTCCGACTTGCTCCCCTTTTTCCGCTGGAACAAACTCATGGAACAAGCCGGTCTCGCGCGCGGCAGACCTCTGCAATTAGGCCCTCAACTCACTTCTTTCCAACGCGCCGCGGGTCTAGAAAATATTCAAGAGAGAGTTTTCGCGCATAAATGGGGTACGTGGATGGAAGATGAGCGGGAACGGGCACTGGGGGCGAGGACGATGGTGAATACGATTTCGGGAATGGAGGGGTTTACGACGGTGTTGTTTACCAAGACGTTGGGGTGGAGTTTGGAGGATACGAGGGGGTTTATTAAAGAGATTAAGAGGGATATGAGAGATGATGGGATTCGGAAGGTGGTGGATTTGCATGTGGTTTGGGGACAGAAGAGGAAAGATGGGGGTGGGATTGAGAAGGTTTTGCCGAGGGGGAGGAATGGGGGGAATGGTTGGGGTGGTAAGGTGGAACAGTATGCTTCTCTTGGTACGGGTGTGGTACTTGGGGCGGTGGTGACTTCGTTGGTGTCGTGGTGGTTGATGCGGAGACGATGAATGGGAAGTTTATGATTTTCTTTCTTTTTTCTTCTTTTCAACGTCTGGATTTTTTTGACAATCCACTAGCCGATGCGTGCATGCAGATATCTACGATCAGATAGATTGCTTTTATTTGAATTACACCCCTTTTTTTTATCCTTCCACCGCATCTCGCTCGATACTACCTGCTACATGCACCTACGTCCCTACTACCTTACGCCAGTGCTTTCAACGTAACGCAACAGTCTCAGTAATGATAAGTATACAGATAGGTATATTCTTATCTTAATATACACTCCTTCCATTGGTTCTTACTCCCTTTTTCTGTTCTTTGCGCATGCTCTTACGCACTCAAAAAGTCTTCCCAACCCTACCTCTCCCATCTCTCATACACACACTCTCCGTTTCAAGCATGCAATCACGCCTACAGCTCATCCCTCACTCCTCCCTTTTCAGCCCCAGCACCACCACCACTACTACTGATATCAGGCATGGCCATAATCTTGACCACCAAACTCGTCCAACCGGTAAAATGCTGTGTACGCTGTCCCTCTCCCGTCTCGGGGTTATATTGTTCCCACGCGAATCCCGTTTCCTTCCAAGAATTGTACACGGTATTGACCAGATTCTGCCGTAAAGAGGTGTACAGCTGTGAAGCACGGACCTGTGAGGGGCCGGGCTGGAGGGCAAGAGTCTGTATGAGGACCAAATGGAAACGAGGAGGTTAGTGAAAAGTGCGGGAGAGAAAGAGGAAAAGTGGTGGAGGAGAGACTTACGTATAATTCCTTCACGATGAGATAATTCAAATTCATCCACACGGGACTTCTCCAATAATTCTCCTCGGTACCATAGAGTGCGTCGTTCTTGCTCAAACTGCGGATCCCATGTGGACTCCACAGTTCTTCTTCGTCTGCAATGAGATCCAGAATCGCCGGTAAATGTTCATGTTTGGCGTCGAGGAGACCGGTCATGAGCGGGAATATGCTAATGTAGCCTTTGTGGCATACATGCGTGGTTTCCTCATAGTCGTCAATGGTGGTGTCGCAGTAGGTGTTGTGTTCTTTGGACCAGTGGAGGTCGTCGACGTTGCGACGAATGGCTTCGGTGATTTTGCCGTATTTGGCTGCGTCGTCGTTTTCGCCGAGATAGGTTGCGATGCGTTGGATGTTGCGACTCATGAGGCCCATCCAGCTGATCAGATCGAGGTGGAGCTCGCCGGGGTGAGGGGGCTGGGCGCGAGGGTAGTCGTCCAGACCTGAAGTCAAGATGTGGCGCGGTGTTCTGCCTCGCCATCGGTAGCCTTCCTTGGAGCTGAAGGCTTCGCGATCATAAGTTTTGAGGTCGCCGTACTGGGTCTTGCGGTACCACTCAAAGTTGCGCTGTAGGAGAGGGTAGAGTTCTTTGAACCAAGACTTGATGGACTCTGGGCTCGCCACGTGATGGCCTGCGACGTGACCCAGTGTCTTGAGATTCAAATCGGCACCGGAACCAGCCTTGTGCTCAATCTTGTCCAGGATGGCTTCGACCACCATGAAGAGCGTCGGTGGATTGGCATAGTGGGGATATTGGGTCAGGAATTCTGGAGGCACCTTACTTTGTGCCTCCGGGCCCAAGACCTGTTCACGTGCAATCCAACCATCTTCGTCCATAGTGTTGTACCATGAGCTGACGATCTGCATGGCAAGCTCGGTATCCCAGTCCAGGATGGGCAGCAGATGAAAACCTTCGTCCCAGAGGAAGCCGCGTGGGAAGAATGGTCGCGAAGGGACAGAAGTGAACAGCTCATATGGACCTTCGAGCTCCTGTGCGTTTCGCGCGCGCGCCTCTTCTGCTTCATTCCAAAAGCCCTCATTCTCTTCTTCGTACTCTGGTGCGTACGAGCGATCGATGAGCTGCTTGCCATGAAAGTAGCCAATACCTCCAATCAGGTTGCTAAACAGAGACTTGCTGAAGCCAAGCCATTTGTCGTCTGTGAATGGAGCCAGGGGCTTATGTACCTCTAGATACTTCTCCTCGAAAGATTCCAGCACAGTTTGGATAGACTTGGTCAGCTCCTGGGACGACGCGGGCTTCTCAGCGGTACTCGGAGTGAACAGAATGTCAAACTCAAAGGGCCCTTCAAAGGTCTTTTGCACAATGTGCATGTTGCCTGGGCCAGGCTTGTTCTGAACAGTGTAAGTTTGCCAAGGCGGCGGCATGTTCTCTTGGGTGTATTCTTCGATATATGCCTCGATAGTAGTCTTCAAAGATTGAAAGAGAACAGCTGCTTACCTCGTCAGATGCTGGAACCTGGTTCCCTTACGGTCTACGCCACTCACCTTTCGATTGCCAGAGCGCTTCCTCGGGAACTTTCGTGGAATGCACAAACGTGTGGTCCAGAGGTTTGGCTTGGGATGAAGCATGGTTGTGCAACGGATGGGATTGTGGTGTAGGCTCAGTGATGGCTAACCTGAATTCACCCAACTGGCCCACATCGCCTTCCAATATCACATCACCCGCATAACCCAACTCTTCAGCGTCCTGGCTGCCCAGGGGAGTAATGCTGCCCAGACCTTCGGCACTGACGGTAAACCAGACTGCAGTCTTCATGCTGCTATCGCCCTCTTCTCTCGGCGTTCCCTTGATTCGAGCGCCCCAGCCCCCTTTCCCATTTTCGAACTTGACAAAACTCATCTCCATGTCAATGCCATTGCCCTTGTCGTGTACCGTCTGCACACCTCCCGTTCGCGGATCGTAGGCGTTCCAGCCGTAGCCCGCCATACCCTCATTTTGCTCGCATGTGAAGCGCATATTGTGCTGAATAGTTGAGAAGTCCTCCACTCTTCCCCAGAGGAGTCCTGTCAGAATCGACTTGGGCAATCGTGGTCGAAGGCCAAAGTACAGATTGGGACGATATGGGCCCCAGAGCAAGCTCTCGTTGGAGGCTTTGCTGAAGACGGAGCTCTCTTCTGCTGCGGCCAGCACAGCACATGTAGTTGCCAGCAGAGAGCTGACACTCCATGACTTTACCATTGTAGCGTTGTCGTTGAGGAGAAGCTCACACGACCAGAACGAACGTGTCAATGGAAAGCCACGTTTAACCTCAAGGTGCGGCTCTGCGACTTTTCGATGTACGCAGGGGTCATTGCAAGCGAGAAAGCTTAAATATTATGAAATATGGGGAAATCCTCTTCGCCAGCACTCACACTCTCGACCAAGTGCAGCAGGGAGGCAAACAACCATGGATCTCCTCCAATCCGTGCGAAAAGAAGGGTCGCGTGGAGGAGTCAACTTCAGCTGGGACGATGTCAAAGGCGCGACGAACCGCGAGAACTATCTCGGCCACTCGTTAATGGCCCCAGTGGGTCGCTGGCAGCAAAACAAGGACCTGAACTGGTATGCCAAAGCAGACGATGCAGATCTCACTCCGGAGCAGAGAATGGAAAAGGAGCGTGAAGCGAAGCGCGAAGAGATGCGCAAAGTGAAAGAGGCAGAAGAGGATGCTATGAACTTGGCTCTAGGTCTGCCTGTTCCGGATAGGACGAATGCGAATCTGCAGCCGTTGGGAGAGAGTAAGATTAGTCAGAAGGATGTCAATAAAGCTGTGAGGGAAGCTTTAGGGGACGGGGAAGATGCGACGGATGATGCCAAAGCGCTGGGTTTGAGGGAGAAGAGGGAGCACAGATCCCGCGACCATCGGAGGAGAGATCGCAGTAGAAGTCGGGAGAAGAGGAGGAAGAGGAGACATGATGATGATGAGAGGGGTGAAAGACGACACAGACATCGACGATCAAGGTCGCGTTCGCGGTCACGAGATGACGAGAGGGAATCTCGTAGGCACAGGCACAGATCGCGCTCACCGTCTAGAGACAGGCGGCGCCGAGAAGACAGTCGAGAGCGAGAGTATGATGGCAAGTACAAGCAGCGAGACAGAAGCCGTGAGAGACACGGAGACAGGAGACGACGGCATGGCGAGGAAGGTAGGAGGAGGAGTATTGAGGGGGAGAGAGTGGGAAAGGGGGAGAGGGATAGGGAGAGGGAGTGGGAGAGGGAGAGGAAGCGCAGTCCATCACCATACTCCAGACGGCGGAGGAACGATTCGCGCTGAAACCCTTCAATTCCATTGATGAGCTGGGCACGTCGAGATTCCTCTTTGCTTGTCTCTTGCCTCGCCATGCCCATCAACGTCTGTTGAGTACCTACCTAACCGTAGCACTGAACTGGACTGGACTGGATGCACTTGCAGTTTCACGTTGGCCATGACGTAAGAGGTATGATGGGGCTTGCTCATTTAGTACTTCTTCATGTCCGGTTGACATGTTCACGAACTACATGTACCAAGCCTCTTTCTGACAACACTCATCACCTTCAACACAGGAGACATACATCTCCACCACAAACCAACAAACCATGGCATCCCCCTCCAAAGGCCCAAAATTCCTGCCAGCGAACCTGCCCACCGACCATCTCGACGCTGCGGAAAAGGCCTTGAGTCAAGTCACAGACAATGCCGCAGGTAAACCTCACGAAGATCCCAAAAAGACTCTCCACGCCCCCTCGGCGCAAGAAGAACAGCACAGTTGGATGCGCTCAATCTTTCCATACTCTTCCCTCCAAGAGATGGAAGCTGCTTTCCACATGGGAAACTACGTCCTCGACCGCAAAACGGGAGAGAAGTCTTTCGAAGAGATGTCCATCTATGTCCGTCTCGGCATGCATTTGTTGTACTATGGCTCCGAACAAGAAAAGGCTCTCCATTGGCGACGAGCCAAAGCCCTCTTGAAGGAACAATCGATCAAGATGGGCAAACAGTATGATGCTCCCGAGAGCGTCGAACACATTCGACCTTTCATCGAATCCTTCAACCTTCAAGAAACATTGGATGAACTGAAGAAACCAGACATCAAACAGTACGCGACGTTTAATGAGTTCTTCGCCCGAGAACTGAGAGACGATGCTCGACCTATCGATGAACCAGACAACGACAAGGTCATCTCCAGTCCCGCAGACTGTCGCCTCACCGTCTTCCCGACCATCAGCCTTGCCAAGAAGTACTGGATCAAAGGTATCGGCTTTTCTGTCCAAAGACTCCTCAACAGCGACATTACACGAGCCAGGATGTTTGAGGCGGGATGCATCAACATTGCAAGATTGGCTCCTCAGGACTACCATCGCTGGCACTCTCCCATCAACGGCACCGTGGATTCCATTATGGAGCTTCCTGGAACATATTACACGGTCAACCCGCAGGCGGTCAATGAGCCTGGCAGTCTGGACGTATTCTGCGAGAACAAAAGATCTGTCATGATTGTTACGCGAAAGGAGACGGGCGCGAAGGTGGCTATTGTTGCTGTGGGAGCCATGTTGGTCGGGAGCATTCGATATAATCATGGCATTGCAGCTGGTTCAGAAATTGCAAGAGGACAGTGCTTGGGAGCCTTCTTGTATGGTGGCTCTACCGTCATTGTGTTGTATCCCAAGGGTGAGGTGGTTCTCGATGAAGATTTGGTCAAGAACTCAGTGGAGAAGGGATGCGAGACCCTTGTCAGTGTGGGCTGGAGGGTTGGTGCGGGACCCTGAGCAAGTAGTCGATTGATTGATCACTGTATGTGAGCAATACAACTATTGCACAAGGTAGTAGATTAATGGAGATGCAAATACAGTCTTTCCCTGTTCTGCCATTGAGTCGACCTCATTCGGAAGATGCTTGCCGCGTAGAGTCATTGATGTTTAATCGAAGACTGCTAGTCTGACTGGAGTATAGGGCAGCTATAGTAGACTAAGTAGAGTAGTTGGGCCCTCGTTCTCTGTCACACTGTGCAGTGTGTACAATTAATGCAATGTCCTCGGCTCAACTTTCACCCCGAGGCAATCTACCCTTGTTCTAGGTACCTGGCAACCTGGGACGAGCCTCCCGCAAACCTTATTTGGGCCAGAACTATGCTCGTGCTCGTCAGTTCGCGTCTTCCACTCCGACCAAACACACGACCATATACCATTGATTGCAAAGCATATACATTGATAATCACCATGGCCACCAAACGAATCATCAGAGAACTCGAAGCCTACAACCGCGATCCCTCACCTGTCCTCTCGCGTCTCGAACCCATTTCCGACGACAATCTCTTGGAACTCACCGCAACCCTTTTAGGGCCCGAGGGAACTGCTTATGAAGGTATACACACTCTCTCCCCCGAAAAAAAAAAAGAAAAAAAAGAAAGAAGAAATTCCAAACCCCCCTCCCTCTCCACAACTCCTGCTAAAAAAACCTCCAAAAAATTCAAGGCGGAAAATGGAACCTCCACATCAACCTCCCCACCACCTACCCCTCCCACCCACCCACCATCCACTTCACGACCCCCATCTGCCACCCCAACATCAAATTCCCCACAGGAGAAATTTGTCTCGACTTACTCTCTGACAATTGGACTCCTGCCGCGTATGGAATTGTGAAAACACTGGAAGCTGTGCAATACATGTTGGACTGGGAAGTGGGCGCGGAGCCGACGAGTCCGTTGAATGTGGATGTGGCGAGGTTGATGAGGGAGGGGGATTGGGTTGGTGTGGAGGGGTTGGTGAGGTTTTATACTTGGTTTTATGCGGGGGGGAGGGGTTGATGGACTTCTTCCTTTGGGGAGAGGGGGGTATTTGAGAGATGGGGGGTTGAGAGATGGGGGAAAATATATTAATAGTTGCTTACTGAATGGTTGTTTGGTGTACGACTACAGTACTTACTACTTCTACCCGGTGTAAAGTCCTTTCTCTTTCGATTTTTTCTCTTTTTTTTTCTTTTTCTTTTTCTCTTTTTCTTTTTCACTCCTGAGGGACTGATTCCTGTCAACTTATCTGATTCATACATCTATCTACATATCTCTAGGAGTAGTGGTATCATTATAGTCATCATCATCTAGTTCACTGATCCATCTTCAAAAACAAAGCATACATCCACCCATCCGATCTAATCTGTCTGTCTGATCTCTCTGATCTCTGTCTCATCTTTTCTGTCTTCTTTCTCTGTCTGTTCATCTATCTTTTGAACCCATCTATTACATACGTAAATACCCCCCCTACCTTTACGCATTATGATAAACCGTCGCCATCACCCTCTTCATCTTCCTCCACACCATCTCCGCTCCCCCTCTCTGCTGCTGCTGCTGCAGTTGCTCTGCATCGTGAAATTTCGCATAATTCTCCTCGAGCACGTTATGTTTCACCACGATGCTCAAAAATACTTGATCGAGAGTGGCTTGGCTGACGGAATAGTATTCTAGACCGAGGGCCGCTTTGTGGGCTTCGAGGTGGGAGAAGAGGGCGCTGATGCTGTTGGAGGAGGAGGGAGAAGAGTCGCTGCTGCTGGAGTGATGATGAGCAGAAGCCACTGCGGGAGAAACGGTGGCGAGGATTTCTTTCTTGTCGTCGATAATGTGGAGTTTTTCGTCTTGGTCGAGAGAAATTTCGTCTTCTCCTCCATGTGCGGCGGCGGCGGCGGCGGCGGTGCGATCGCCCGGGACGCTGAAACGGATTTGGCCGTGAAAGGAGCGCTCTTCGGTAATGGCACCGGGGAAGGTGCGGTGGATGAAGGATTTGATTTCCGCCATGTCGTGTTCGCTGCTGTAGGGTGCGTCTTTGTGGACGCAGTGGACATGATAGGCATCGCCGTGCTTCTTTCGCAGTTCGTCGGCCGTCCCGACCGCCAACATGCGCTTCGCCATGACGGCGGCGCGGTCAGCGAGCGCATCGGCCTCTTCCATGGAATGCGTGGTGAGGAGGAGTGAGCGGCCGGCAGAGACGGCGCTGAGGGTTCGCCACATGACACGCTTCGAAGCCGCGTCCATTCCGGAGCTGGGCTCATCGAGGATCAGTACGGATGGGTTACCCGTGAGTGCGATTCCGAGTGAAAGCTTCCGTTTGTTTCCACCACTGAGCTTGCCTGCCATGCGATTCTTGAATGGCGCAAGACCAACAGCGTGAATAATCTGATCCACATTATGCTCGACATCTTGCACGCCACGGGCTCGAGCGTAGAATCGAAGGTGTTCAATGGCGGTCATCTGATCCATGGCATCAAACTGCGGACACACACCCAGATGTGTTCGAGCAGCGGCACGTTTCTCGATGATGCTGATATCTTCAATCAAAATGTCGCTGTCCTTTTCGCTCGGCCGCATGTCGCCTCGGATGAGATTGATGGTGGTCGACTTACCGGCACCGTTGGGCCCAAGCAAAGCGAAAGTCTCGCCATGCGGAATGCCGAACGATACGTTCTGCACAGCAACGAACGGGCCAAAGGCTTTCGTGACGTGCTTGACGCGAAGCTGATCGGTGGCGCCATCCACGCGCTTGGCTTCCTCGAACACCTCCGAGTCAGTATCATCAATCTGCTCCAGGTCTGCATTGCGATGCTTGGTGCGAGCGAGGAATGCCGGCGTCCACCCGCTGTCATACCATACGAGCACGAGCATCAACACTGCGCTTTGAAGAATGAGATAAAGGATGCAGCTGCCGTAAACCTTGAAGTCGCCTGTGCGAACTGTTAGCACATCCCTCAGGAAGTAGATATATATATTGTGTACTCACCTGGATATGAAGCAAGTTGCGACCCCGTGCACGTCACCGAGAACAAGTTCAACGACAGCAAAAGCGCACGCAAAAGGTTCGCCGAGGGAAAAACCAATCCCATGGTGAAAGTGGCGATGCGAATCGAAGAATCCACGTCGGCGGCGGGCACATACGTGATGATGCACATGAATGCCACGAAATACAAGAGGAAGAACGAGCACTGGCCGCCTGCTGCGAATGCAAACGTGGCGAGCTGACTGGTGGTGTACAGAGACACAACGTAGGCGGTGAGCGTCGCAGAGAGGCCGTACAGGAAGAAGACGACGAAGAGGTAGCCGGGGGCGTAGAAGACACTGGAGGCCGCAGTGAAGATGATGATGGCAATGGCGCTAACCAGCAGGACGATGATGAAATCGAACAAGGTGTATGCGAGCCACAGAGGTCCGGCACGGACTCCATTGCTGTAGTGCAGCGCCCTGACATTGCGGAGTCGCTCCATGTTGACGTAGAGCGCAAAGAAGCTGGGGAAGATGCTCATGGCCAGGCCAAAGTACAGGATGAGCTGCAAGGTACTGCCGGCAGATGGTGCCCAGGGCTCATCAAATGGCTGATAGGATGTCTGAATCTGGGTACCGAGAAGACTGTTGTCCAGTAAGTTCTGCGCGGCAATGGCAAACTGGATACCATAGTCACCACGCCATGCAAAGGTCGGAGTGTCGCCGTTGAAGAAGCCACCGGGAGTGACGAACGAGTAGTTGGCGTTCACATAGGTTTGAAAGTCTGCAAATGTATTCACCAAGACGGTGGCGGATGTGTTCACGTCCAGGATAGGATATGTGTCCCGTATCTCCGTAAGTTGCTCCTCGCCAGGACCGACGGGAATGTTCGCTCCATACGCCAGTCCAGTGTTCAGCGACAGGGTTCGTGCTTCTTGAACTTGGTCTTGGGGCGCGCAACTGAGTGCGCGGAAGTTCTTGAGAAAAAGAGTCACCAGACCCGCGGCAATGATTGGAATCAATAGGGCAGCAAGGTATGGCCACTTGTTCCTGATTAAAATCGTGACACGTTTGCGGAATAGGACCCACGTCTGTGCAAAGAATGACAGCTGCCTTCCCGGCATCAGCTGCAGCCTCTTCTCTTCGGAGACGAGGGTCCCGTCCTCAGACGGCGCTGGACTGCTCTCTCTTCCCTTCTCGAGCTCATCTTTGACCTCCTCGGCGAGCTTGAGGAATACGTCTTCAATGCTGGGTCCGTTGACTTGATAGTCTCTGACCCCAAGCCTTTCCAGCTCCGTGATGAATCGAAATGAAGCGGCGGAGTCGGCAAGATGATATACCGTCTGATCATGGTACACTTGCTTGCGCGTGGTCGCAATCAGATCGCCTGGCAATTCTTTCGAATCTTCGTGGTAGATCCGCACACGATAGCCGCCTCCCAGATGATGTTTCAGCTCTACCGCAGATCCATGTGCGACCAGATTGCCCCGGGAGAGCACAGCGATGTCATCTGATAGTAAGTCTGCTTCGTCGAGGAAATGCGTCGTCAAAATCATCGATCTCCTGCCCCGTTCTGCAAGAATGATGTCCCAAATCTTCCTTCGACTGAGTGGGTCCAGACCACTACTGACCTCGTCCAGCATACAAACTCGAGATCCACCAGTCAACATCATGGCCAGTTGACATTTGCGCTTCTGTCCTCCCGAGAGTGCTGATGTGCGTACGTTGATCTTCTGGTCCAGATCACAAGCGGAAACCAGAGCCTGGTTCTCTACTTTGGAATCAAGCTTACCAGTTGCCTTCAGCCTGTTGAAAAGCCTGACGTGCTCGTAAACGGTCAGTTCGCTCCACAGGACATTCTTCTGGGGGCATAAGCCAATGCCGCCTGCTGCGTCCATCTCAATGGTGCCACTTGTTGGTTTCTGTAAACCAGCGAGGGTGTCCAGTGTTGTAGACTTGCCACTTCCATTGGCTCCGAGCAGTACCATGATTTGGCCCTTGATAACAGACAAGCTCAAGTCATTCACCGCATACACCGTCTCCTTGGGGTTCTTGCTCAGACGTGCCCCAATGTTCCTCGACCACCAACCAGGGGGATAGTGTTTGGACAAAGATGTGATTTTGACCGTCTCTCGTGATTCACTCTCCTCATACCGCAACTGCCGAGACTTGGTCGCAGTTCCATACAGAGTGCGCTCAAGCAGTGCTCCCACGACGGGGTAGAGGAAGATCTGAAGGATGGAGAAAATGAAGAAGATGTAGCCCGGAACCCTCCACGGCGCATTCGGTGCCGCTTGAGAGAGATCAGCTGCAATGTTTTCCTGTTGCCAGTATGCCATGTATATGATCCACAGCGTGAAGTTGATGGGAGGACACAACAGCGTCGCAATGTACGCAGCGCCTGTCGAGGGAGCCGGTGCGACTTGTATGATGATGGCCAGAACGATCGAAGCGATGACCACCGTGATGCCCGACAACTGTGCTTTCCGGAAGAGTGCAGCGAACGCAATCGACCAGGAGCTCAAAGCCAGACCGGAAACGATGAAATATCCGACGCACATGCCCGTACTCGAATCGGTGTAGTTCAGGCCTGCCACAATGACTCCCATGATGATCCAGCTCGGTAGGTACAGAATGTCGAAGGAGATGTGGAAGGATAGCAACCGGGCGGCTTGCGGCATCCATCTCTGACGATTTGGCATCATTGCTTCGATCAGCTGTGACATGCCCAATTCTCGTTCCGAAGCCATCTGTCCCGTCAATTGGTAGCAAATGCCAACCATGCCGATGAAGTAGGCGAGGCCCAGAATGTCGATCAGTGTGCCCATGTACAATCGGATGATATTACGAGATCTCTCCTCGCTCGTCTTTGTGGTGAAGACAAACTCCTGGGTTTCAGGCAGAGTCGCTCCGCCGAGCGATGCGATGGCCGAATCAATTGCACGCTGCAGAGGCAATGTGTAGATTTCTGCATCGTTGTCGTCGTTGTTCACGTACACTCGTTCGCCAAATGAGCCGTCCGCTCGGATCGTGTAATTCCATATTCCGCCACTGCCTTCACTTGGCGAGGAGTCGAAGACGACGGCTCCAAAGCATGGTGATACAGCTCGGATAGATGATGGACACAGCGAAAGCAGCTCCTGTTCATTTGCGGCAAGTTGAAACGTCTTTCCACCAGCTTCAATGGGCTCTCGAATGGTCGCAATGACAGAGGCGATATCACCATTCGTGAAGCCATTGTCGACAGCCACAACCAGATTGCGCCCTCCAGCCGATGCTGCCAACGCGCTGCTGAGAGTCCGCACAGGCACAGGGTTTCCGATGCCAAAGTCACTAGGGGGCACTTTTCGTTCCCAACACCCATCAGCAATGGTTCGCGAGCCCGGAAATGGGCAGCTTGCTCGGACAAAGGCTTACCGAAGAAGTTCTTAGCATAGGCAATAATGAACATGAAGATGATGGGGGCAAGAAAGGCTCGAATCAGGGTGCCCAGCCAGTGGCGGTAGAGGACAATCCTCAGATTCTTCTCGACCAGAGCCCATGTTTGGCGGATAAACATCATCTTCTGGATGGAAAGGGCTCGCTCACTGTCGGCCAGGACCCAGGGCCGTCGTCGTCGTGTATGTATCGACCAGGACGAGAGTGTACGGTTGAATCTAGACAAAGAAAGTCAAAAAACTGTGCTGCGCGCCCATCAAACAAAACAGAGGTCGGCGGTGGCGACGCGCCGAGGAAAGCTCGATATTGGGGACTGCGGCTGAAATGTCATCACAGCCATGCAAAGCCAAGCATTCTAGATGAAGAAGCGAGCGACTTGTGTGGATGAATTGAGCAGTGAACGTGGCAAGATCTGGTTACAATCGGATGAGCAGATTCGTCTGTCGAGTGGTGACAAGTGATGAGGCCTTCATCCTTCTCGCTTCGCCATCGCTTGTCTTGGCTCTGGCCTGTGACATCTTTGATCGGCCACCAGGCTCAAGGAGGCTCGGCATGACAAAGTAATAAAACGCCGCCGCCAGCGCAGCCAAAAAGGGAAGCCGGTTGTGGCGTCGGCATTTGCAATGTCCGTGAATGGAGCCGTGTCTCTCGAGGATTGATGATGGCTTCCATTGCGTAGTGGTGGTATTTACGTTGATGAGAGAAGGATTCCAAGTTGAAGTTCTTATAGCTAGGAGGTACAGGCGATGAGAGATGGAAAAGATGAGATGAGGTCGGTCCATGGAATCTGGCGGATGGGAGATCCCTAACCCAACCACCAACCAACCCAGCATGGATCCATGAACCTTGTATTCGGCTCAAGTGAACTTTCACATGTTACGAGGAGGTACTGTACAGCCTAAACTACTTGTCGCTGTGCTGACACACGAGTATACTACTATTCAACAAGCTGCAATTCTGGTCCAAGAAGTTCTGATATACTGGAGAGTGTACTCTTAACAAGCTCGGTACAACCAAGACGAGCACCAAGACTCGTACAACAAAGCTTTCTGGACTCAAGCCCGCCGAGCGAATGGAATACTCCATGGCTGCTGCTGCTATTCCATTGTATCCACTGCTTTTCCATCATCACTTCCCCAGTGTCAGATACAAGCGATCACCTATGTCGCCCAATCCCGGCTTGATCATCCCACGCTCGTCCGTCTCCGCATCCACACCACCCACCCACAGCTCCACTCCCTCCGGCCACGCTTCCGCAGCTCTCTGCAGACCACTCTGACTCGCCAATATCGAGATGGAGATGATCCTCTGCACGCCCCAGTCCTTCAACGTCTCAATAGCCGCACACACCGTCGAGCCCGTCGCAATGATGGGATCCACGATAATGGCCAACGGAGGCACCGTCGAGGCCTCGCCCGACTTGTGGTAGGGCAGATTATTGTAGTATTCCACCGGTTGCATCGTGCTCTTCTCGCGGTACATGCCCAGATGGTGGACGGAGACGGGGTGTGGCAGCAAGTTTTGCACGGCTTCGACCATGCTCAAGCCCGATCGCAGGATGGGTACGAGACTGATGCTCGATGGCGAGATGTTTTCGGAATTGTAGGTGTAGCCGAGAGGAGAGAGATCCTATAGTAGTGACGCGCAACCACACACACACGCATACGATTAGCTCTCATGTCATGCCGATTGGTCGCTGCACAATGGGTCAGCCGATGCTGGCTGAAGAGAGGTGGTGGGACTTACTGTGCCTGTGCTCTCGACTTCGAGACCCTTTGCGAGCGCCTCGACGCCCACAATGGTTGCGATGTCATGCACCAACGTCTTGGTGTCTCTGGCGGATGTCGAGCCCGAACGCAGCTGACTGAGCTTTGCGCGCACGCATGGATGAGTCGAGACGTGGATGGAGGAGGGGGAGGAGGAGGTAGCCATGATTGATAGCAGGTAGGTAGAAGAAGTAGGTGTAGATGGTGGATGGGATGGTGAACAGAACAGAACCTACGGCGGAAGTGGTTGCAGCAGGTACTAATATGTCTGAAAGGGCTTCTTGGTTACTTGGAGGCTTGGTTTGACTGTATCTACTCTATTACATGTACCCTCCTACAGCTACCTTACCTTACGTTTCATAATCTGACAAAGCCGACGACGATAGGCAGGCGGCCATATCCGATCTCACCGTCGTCGGATCTTGCCCGTCCGAACGGCCTCGGCTGTGGCTGGAGTAGTTTGACAGCATGCTGCATGGCGCCGCGCCTTATGCCGTCCATAATATAGGTAGACCAAAAAAAATCATCGTATTTCCCCCTCAAGACGGGAGTCACCCCAATGTCTACAGTCTGGCCAAGTCGGACCACAGGCGCATCATGTATGCTACATTAGACACAGATGCATCGACAGGTATATCAGACTCGCCTTTTAGGGACTCTCTCCCCAACATGTCGTGTATTGTGTACAACATATCGCACATGTCCCACCCACATGTCGTGTCCGTCGAGATCTGCGCCGTTGGGCGGAGATTAGTGCTATATAGAAGGCGCAGTGTGTTCGCGTGTGCATGAATCAGTACTGATCAGTCCCCTGCTTTGATGGCCACACCCTGAAATTGTATTTGAGAGGGAGGTGAAGTACATTTTAATGATACAGTATATTGAAGACCAGGCCATTCCTTGTACATGTCGCGATCGCATGGATTGATCTGGGAACAGAGAAGCAAGGGACGTAAATAATGGCCGATGGAGAGTCCTCGTGGCGTGGACAGCAGGATACGAATAATCTCCCCGATGAAATATCGTTTTCGCCGACGAGAGAGGAGTTTTGTATTGCAGACTATCGACCACGACCGCCCAATCGAGACTCGACTGGCACCAGCAGCCAAAGTCGGCGGGAAAGCTATTATGACTTCCAGCGTGGAGGGGATGCAGGCTCAACAACGGCGGGAAGATCACGGTCACGACCGACATCCACTGCCAGTGTGTTGACGACATGTACGACGACAGCGGGCGGGACGAGGTCCAGGTCCAAGGGCAAACAGCGCGAGCGCGTCCTTCGAACGACTTCTGAACCGTTGGACATTGCACGTCTTGGCGAGGCTTTGCACGACACGCACGATGATAGGCCGATCGGGGACGAGAGTGGTGGCGACCAGCATCAAGGACCAGGAATGCATGTGCGAAATTTCAGCCGGATCTCTGCTGGTGCACGACGGAAAACAAACGAGACGGATTATCAGGACGAGCAGCAATTACACACTCTACACCTTCAGAACTTTGCAGACTGGTCCGCTTTGCCACCTCTCCCCTACAAGAATAATAATACCAATAACAACAACAACAATCGCCTGTCAGCAGCCACCACGGCGCGACCCAATACCCAACCGACCAAAAGGTCAGAGGACCTCGGTCCGCGAGATGCGGCAGACTCGTCCGAAATACCACGACTGTTCAACAGCAGAAGAAGAACGACAGAGGAATTGTTTGCACGACCCGTAGATCCCGTGCCTCGATGGTTGACGGAATTCTACACCATTTCCTACCTCATCTTCTTCTCCATCTGGGGCACGCTGGCACGACTGGGAATCCAATGGCTGACTTTTTATCCTGGCGCACCCATCATTACACCCGTCATATGGGCTAATATGGCAGGATCGTGGCTCATGGGTTTTCTTTCCGAAGACCAGGATCTTTTTCTCAATCATCACTTGAGTAGCACGACAGGAGGAGGAGGAGGAGGATCGGAAAAGAATCACCACCACCACAACATCCCCAAAGCCACTCTCAACAAATACAAAAAAACTATCCCCCTCTACATCGGCCTCACCACCGGTTTCTGCGGAAGTTTCACCTCCTTTTCCAGTTTTGCCCGAGATTTCTTCCTCGCCCTCTCCAACAACCTCCCCTCACCCATTTCTCACTCGGCCGCCGGAAACAACAACAACACTCCATCTCCATCTCCATCCTCCACCATCGGCCGCAACGCAGGTTACTCCGTCCAAGCCCTCCTAGCCATAATCCTCTCCACCCTCGCCCTCTCCCTCGGAGCCTATATCATCGGTCTCCACACCGCCTCCCTATTCGCCAATCTCCATTTCCCCCCCAAAAAATCTCTCCCAACCTCTCTCATCCGCAAATTCCTCGACCCGCTCTTCATTTTCCTCGGATGGGGATGTTGGATCGGAGCAATCCTTCTCTCTGCTCTACCACCCTCTCATCACAACACATGGCGTGGCCAAGCTCTATTCGCACTCCTTTTCGCCCCCCTGGGAACTCTGCTCCGATTCTACGTGAGTCTTCGCATGAATTCTCTCATTGCGTGGTTTCCCCTCGGGACGTTTGCAGTGAATATGTTTGGAACGGCAATTGAAGGAATGTGTTATGATCTTCAACACGTAGGGATCGGAAGCAATAGTCATCTTCGTCATCTTCTTCACCACATCGGGGGAGGACGTACAGCGTGTCAAATTCTACAAGGCGTTATGGATGGATTTTGTGGATGTTTGACGACGGTGAGTACATGGGTGGGAGAAATTTATGCGTTGTCGTCTTTGCTGCAAAAAGATGGTGATGATGATGATGGCAAGAAGAAGAAGAAGAATTTGAAGTTTGCGTATTTGTACGGTGGAGCGAGTATTTTGGGTGGGTTGGGGTTAATGGTGGTGATTATGGGAAGTGTGAGATGGAGTGTGGGATTTGAGGAGGCGGTTTGTAATACGGGATATCCGAATAAAGTTCATGCGGGTTGAATTTGGAGGGAGGTGAGGTGAGTTGAATTGAGGTTTTTTGTTTTTGGATGTGTAAGGAATGGTTGATGTTGATACCCCCATGTGTGTGTCCTGAGATTAGGATACATATATATACGACAACATGTAGTAATGTCTATTTGCTCCAAACTGTGAGTTTGTTCTACGATTTTCTGTCGATTCCTCTCTCTCTCTCTCTCTCTGTCTCACATGGCCGGAAAAGATCGACAGGACATTTTCTATTCTATCCTGTATATCCAGACTTGATCGTCATCTACTGCGATGAGATAGCAACAACCTCACTTTCCACAACCTCGCAACCCTTTCCTTTGCCACCATACGACGACGATGACGACGACGACGACTGACTATCTTTCTTCAACACAGCCCTCAACTTCACAAACTTCACATCCTCTTCCTCCAACTCTACCACCGTCTCAAACCCCCCGTTCTCCACCGTTTTCAAATACCTCTTCACATCCCCCCTCTCCATCCCCCCAAACACCTCCCACCCCTCCACCTCCGTCGCTCCATTCCAACTCACATAAACTTTCGTCGTCGTCTTCTTCTTCTCATTCTTCATCTTCTGCTTCTGCTTCTGCTTCTGCTTCGTCCCATAACCACCACCACCATTAGAAACTTCCACAACAACCTTCGGCCTCGACCTCGGACATCCGACCCACGTCTGTTTGAAACCACGATAGGAAATGGTATCTCTTCCTACAGTGAAGAAACCTCCTCCAGGGCGTTGGGTGGCGTAGCCGACTTGGTACGTGGCGAGGATTTGACCTTGAGGGGAGAATTCTTCGAGAACGGGGATGCCGCCGTGGCAGGAGAGGTAATTGGTTTCAGTTTGATCGTTGTTGTTGTGAAGAGAAGTTGTATTGGGGGTAAATCGTCCTCCGACGCGTTCGAAAGATCCTTGGGAAGTGGGAAAAATGGGGCCGGAGGAGTTGAGAAATCGGGGGTGGTTGGGGAGGAGGGAGACGTGTTTTGTTTGGAGGTCGATGTGGAGGAATTTGCCCGAGGCGGGGACGGTGTTGTTGTCAATGGGACAGTTGTGGTTGTCGTGCAGGCTGATGGTGATGATGTGGTCCGGGTTGCTCGTCTGCTCAATGGCTCGGATGTAGTGTTGATAGCGGAAATCCGCGTCGGGACCCAACGTGAAGCCATTCCCATCGATGCCTTGGACTCGCCAGAGGACGTTTCCGGATCTGTCGAGGGCGATGGCGCTGGAGAGGTATCGCGAGCTGAGAATGTAGCCGTCACCGAGGGGAGCGACGGAGTTGATGTGGAAGTAGCCCCAAGCTTTGCTCTGCGCCGATCCATCATAACCTTCACTCCCCAGCGGATAGACACTCGCACTCAACGGCAACTCGTCGAGATGATCCAAACTCTTCCAGCAAAACAAAATCTCATTCGTTTCCACATCAATCTCATACACCTGCGCCTCCACAACCCACCCCTCCTCCTCCCCGCCCACACTCCTCAAATCCATCCGGGTCACATTATTCCCCAACGCCAAAATCGTCCCCTTCTCCGTCAAATACATCTCGTGCAAATCCAAATTACTCTCAAATTCTTGCCCCTCGACCAAATCCACAAAATTCCCCGGCAACGACACATTCGCAACCTCCTCATAATGTCGATTTAAAATATAAATCCTGCCATGTCCCCTCCCCACCGGCTCGGGAAATGACGTCCCATTCCAATACACCAACACATCCTCGCCACGAAATTTCTGAGGCCCAAATCCAAATGCGTTACTGAGCGGTCCGTTCCAGATTAATTCTCCTGTGGCAGAGGTGATGATGGGGGATTTTTGATGCGCGGTATTGCCATTGGGTGCGAAGAAGAGGTGTGCGTCAGGGCTGGGTTTGCCGCTGATGGCTACGACGGGAGGATTGAAGTTGACGGTCTGGTAAGTGTGGTAGGGCCAGGAAATGTTCTTGGATAAATCGGCGGGCACAATGGAGCCGCTGCCGTGGACGGAGGTGGCGATGCTGAGGATGATGGGGAGGAGCATGGCGACGAGGAGGATGAAGAGTGCGATGAGGTTTTCTGCATGCAACTTTTGGGGCATATGTGGGTATTTCCTGGGAGATGTTTTCTTTTTTGAATAAATGACTTGTTGTGTACAGGTAATTTGGATTTTGATCGGCGTCTCAGTTATGTCACAGCTGGCGATGTCATCCCTGGTCGAGGAACTCTACAATACCTCCCTACGTAAATGCTGCATGGCTGAACGTTCTTACAGACTCAGAAGCCGCTCAGACGATGCATGATATAATTATGCGTTGTGCCGTCTCCTGGCCGACGGTGAAGTCCAAACATGCTTAGTCATGGATCAACATCTCATCAATCAATCAATCAATCAATCAATCAATCAATCAATCAATCAATCAATCCATCACTCACCTCACGTCTTTGAAGTGGAAGACGCACGTACGTTATCAACATGGTATAGAACAAGAGGCGCAACTGAGATGAAAATACGAGCCGCGTACATGCAAAAAGGACATTCATTCATCAGAACATACATGCCCGTATTCCCTACAACCGCACCTCGCCAACAAGGACAAACTTATGCAGATATATAAACTTCATAACAACTTCACATGGAAGGCCAACACATCAAATCCTCTTAATCTCCACTCTCGCCCGCTTATGCAATTGATGTCCAATCCAATCCCCCGCTTCTCGTTCCGTATCCGTCAGCCGTCGAGGTGAAATGCTCAAGGAAGCAAACGTGCCGGCGCCACGCTTCTTGCTCAGCGTGCCGGGATTGATACAGAGGACACCTTGTATGAACTACCGCGAGCACGAAAGGGAAAAGAGAAATGTCAGCGAAGGAAGTATTATGTGTTGGGAAAATGGAAGAAAGGGGAAAAACCATCATGACGTGAAAGGGAAAAGAAAAGAAAAGGGAGGACTCACTCGGGCAAAAGGCATCAGGGTACTCGGTAAGAGTAACACATCTGGTCGAGCCTGCCAAAACTCTCCCAGTTTGTAATATGACAAGTCGAGGTTGGCTCCCAGCGCCATGCGCTCTTCACCGCCGGGCTCGGGTACTTCATCGGGAATCGCGGCAGGTTTGGGGAGATCTTCTCTGGCCATGGGGGGGAAGATGGGGAAGTAATGGCTTTGCTCAATAATCTGCTCGCTCAGACGTGCGAGCAAGTCGTTATTCAGAGGCTTGTCTCCAGTCGCAGATTGTGCTGCGCTGCTGCGATGTAACTCCGATAGGACGTCTTGACTACTCATCCCGAAGATCATCTCGTTCAAGAAGAGTGCCATGGGGTTGGCGACGAATTGAACTTGTCTAGGTAGGCCAAGTTGGGGTTTGGGAACACGGTCTTGAGGCCACGAGACGTGTTTGCTGATGGCGTCACGCATGGAAGGTACCATGATGATTGTCATCGTGGGAACAGCTTGTGCAAGTCTTTGGATAGCGGAGCTGATGAGAACTCGAAAAACGTCTGTCAGAGTGGCTTGGTCAGGCTCGATCTTTGCGTCTGCAGGCAGATGCTGTTCAAAATCTCCTGATGCCACAACTGGATGTTCGAGGTCCAGAAAGGGCCCCATGAGCACCAAGACGTCTGCACGTTCTGTCGTGGCTCGTTCGAGGAGAGTGTATAGTGGAGCGAAAGAGAGGTCGCTTTCTGTGGTGTAGGGTCCTGCAGCCAAAAGCATGTGCAAAGGTCTCGTCTCTCCGTCGGCGGACGTAAGTCGGTCGTTATGAACGTCTATATCTTCAGGTCGTGACGCTGCTGGCGGCAACAGCGGCATAGGAAGGACTTCGCGGACGAGGAAGTGGTGTCCGCTGACATTTGTGCCTCGTAGTGCCACGATCTTGCCCGGGAAAAAGTCAAATGTTACACCATCCAGCTTCAAGGGTACTCGCATGCCTGCTCCCATACGACGGCTCGTCTCGAGAACTATGCTAGACGCATTGAGCTTGCCAGTAGGTTGGTCACAGGCAATCCTGCCTACTGCTACAATGTCCGAAGTAGACTGTGCAGCAGGATTGCCAAAGTCATTATCCTCCAGATTATGCTCTTTCTGCACCTGTTCCACAAACATATCGATCCGATCATCGAGGATTTCTGATGCTTCTGACAACTTCATGGCCATTGGCTTGTATGTGTATTTAGGCAAGTCCACCGCAGCTTTGAGCTTGATGCGTGCTTCTGCAGGAGGCACTTCTGGCACTTCCGCAGCTGGGAGATGTGCATTTATGGCCTCTACCACCTCCCCTGCATTCTTCCGCCCCTCGAATGCGACTGTTGGCAGGCTCTTCATCGTGGGCGTCTTGTTGTCCGCTGGCGAGCTGTTTAAGTTGTTCTTGACCGCCTTCGATATCGGTGTATCAAACGTGGCCTTCCTCTTCGCCGCCGGTACTCGTGAAGCGGGTGTTTGCGAAACCATGCCATCCAACATTCCAAACACGTCCTGCGTCCCTCCTGTCCTCGGTGTTGCTCCCACCCGCTTCGGTGGATGCTGGGGTTCAGGTCGCGCTCGCACCGTCCGCTCTAGCTCCTCCTGGAGAGTCTTCTTGAAGTCGCGTACCGTTTTGTAATTGAGTGTCGTGGTATCGGCGCCCATGGTAATAGCATAACCCTCCCATTTGTAGTACAAGTCTTGTGCCGAGAGTGACATAAGCTGCACAATGTGCAGCAGTTCGGACAAGACATCTTTCGGAAGAGTCTGATCGGGTGCAGCGAATAGGCCATTGATTTGTGCTTCGAGATCTGCCATGATTGTTGTCGTTGTTGTTGTTGTATTGTGCGAAGTGGTTGAAGCGTTCAACGGAAGACGCGCCATAACACGAAAGTGGAACGCGTCGCGAAACGGCCCGCCGCCAAGAAAACTCTCTTCTCATCTCTGAACACTTCACGCAAGTACCTGGTACATAACAACTATGCTGGAGGCACTCTGTATTTTTGTCGACAACATACATACAAAGCTCTCCGCTATCACTGATCATATCACAAATCTCCTCACCAATCGCCTCAGCCTCCCAGCATACCTAATCCTCAGACAATTCCTACCCACCTCACCAGCACCACTACATAGACATTCATCTACCTATAATCCTATAGGTGCAAGATTGACCAGCGGGCCACATGTTGCCCAATCGTTAAGGAAGTCCGCATCGGAATCCTGCGGCGCACACCCGTTTCCTTGAATCTGGCACGGATACGTCTATCATGAAAAAAAAAACGAGAAGTTAGCCAACACCAGAATTTCTAGGTATAAAAATGTCCCTTGCCCGGCGGTGCGAGAAACAAAGACGAGGGGGACTGCTTACCGAACCACATCGAAGACTGGTGGGATTGTCACTGCGAATACACCTCTGCGAGGCGACGTCGCAGTTCTATTGTGTACCAGAAGAAGAATGGGAGCGTTAGTCTGGATGTGCAATTGAACTGGCTCGAGCTGTGGGGGTCACATTCTACGTACCCACCAAACTGGTGCGGCTCTTGTTTCGCTGGGGTCTGCTGCCGCCATTGCCTTTGCCGCTGGCTGGGCCAATGCAGCTGCCAGAGAGCCTGTGGCGAGGGAGAAGATGCTGGCTAGAGTGAGGAATTGCATGGCTGATGGGAATGTATCTTGCACGTTTCAGGTATGGAAAAATTGCAATTTCTGACGCGAGAGGAGGAGCACCTGATGCATCTTTTATACGATGCCACAATCATCAACCGCTGGACGGTCAACTTGATCGACCTGCTAAGGACCCAGGTGTGGTGGCACGTCAGAACATATAGTTTAGCGCTGTAGACAAGCATACTTTCACGAACGAGTTTGGTTCGTGTATCCTATTCTTGATTCGATCGCTACGTTCTAGCCTCTCGGCGCGTGCTTGATGCCAGTGTAAAGCCGTGGCTGTTTCGCGGTCGAATTCATGTCTTGGCGCATTGCTCCGTCTAGATGCGTAGCCTCCAGCGACACCACTGAGCAGTGCAGCAACTTGCTGAATTCGCGCCTGTCTAGCTCTTTGCTGAAGCTGGCAAGATCTGCGGTCATGGCTGCCAGAAATTGGTGGCCTAACTCAAGTTCTTCACGGCACCTTCAACCCTCTCGATGGTCTGCTGTAAGAGCCCGAGCTCCGCTACTGCTGTATCTTTCTTCTCACTCGCAAGCTCCCCACCGCTTTCCATCGCCACTGAGATTCTGTCCTTCATTTCCTTTAATGGAGTTAGGAAACTGCCCGCAATGTCATTGTTTTTCCACAGCTCAGAAATCTCGAGTGATTGCTGAATGTGCTTCGCACTCAGAAGCAGGTAGATCAGGTTCAGACTGGCGAGGTAGAACGAGATGTTGGTCTGGAATGTCATCCAAGCATCTAGAATTGGAGCTGTAATGAGCTCCGCTCGGAGAGAAGGGAACAGGCTCGGTGCGAGTCGATCGAGAGCCAGGGGACGCGCGAAGATAGACTTGTTTTCTTCGTGATGTGCAGCATCGGTATGATGGTGCTCTGGAACCCGCTGTGGATTTGCTTCAATCGTTTCGCCCTTGACCCAACCAACTGCAGAGACCTTCAAGTTTTCAAATGGGCAATGCTCGAGAGTATCCCGGATGAAGGACAGGCGAACCTGGTCGTCTGGCTGCGAGCGGAGAACTGTGCTTGTAAGGTAATGCGCATGACCTCTCAAGTGGGAGTTCGGACAGTTAGACGAAAGCAGAGCTACCACTTGAAGATACTCATTGAACTGTTCGTCATTTTGCGGCTCTCCGATCATGTCTCTCTCCAGGCACACCAGACCAAGCGCCAGAACAGCGTCTATCAGAGCTTCAGGTTCAGTACCAAGGTAGCCTTGTCCCATATTTGGTGAAGCCAAGCAATTCTTCATCACTTCTTGGTGATGCGGGAATAGCTCGAATTGAGATTCTGTTTGCATAGGCACATGTTCCGTTCCGTACAGAATGGTCGACACCTGTCTTGCCGTGTAGAGTAGCAGAGAGCCATGTCGAGATAGGGGCACATCTGCTGCGGACTCCGGACAATCATCCTCATCGCCATCTGGGTCAGACAACTCAGATAACTTCTCAACGATGGATGTTGCGGACAGCAGGGCGTCATTGGACAGACGTAGATCTTTCGCAAGTGTCACGAGCTGTCCAACAGCATCAGTTCTTCTGTTCAGTCTCTTTTCTGTGGCGAAGCGGTCCGCCATAGTCGTGTTACCCGGTACTGTACGCTCTGGATGCACCTTCTCCATGATCCGGCTGCACCAGGCCATTCCAGGAACTTCGTCATAGGGCGCAAAGGATAACATATACTCCTCGAGCACGTGGGTGATGAAGGCTTGCAGTAACTTTAGCTGCAGGGCTTGCTCCTCCTCACTGTATTCGACAACATCCGGACCTTCAGGGTCAGCAGCATTCTGAGCAATTGCCATGGCACTCGAACCAAGCATGCCGCTGCTCTTCCGTGCTGGTAAAGCAGGTCTTGCTGTTCCGCTGACAGCCTTTGTGAGCTTCACAATGGACTCAATCATCTCCTCGCGATGGCTCTGTGAGCTGGAAAAGCTTGACAAGATGGCAGCGAGCGTTGTGCTCAAAAACCGACTTGGCGCTTTGGTCTTAATGCGAGTTTGCAGAGTGCCGAGCATGGACAAAAGGGCCACGAATTGCTCCACTGGCAACGGTAGTGGAGGTTGAACCTCTCTGGCCTGGGTCGAGGCAGCTCCATCTTTGGACGCTGCAGTCTTGAGCGGGAATGTTCTCGAGTCGGCCTGTTCTCGCACGTCGCCGGCGCCAGCTACAACGCCGTCCTCGTCGTCGTCGTCCACCACATCATACTCGATGAGTCTCAGGCTTTCAGTGACTTTCAGAATGACTTCTCGCGGATTGCCTAGTCTGGCAATATCCTGCAAGCATTGCTCTGACTCGGGCAGAAGTGGAACTAGAAGGTGCACCAAGTCCCAGCCGATATTGGTTGTCAGCGTTTCGTCCTGCAACACGTTGTGTAGAATCGGGAGATTCTCAGGCGTCAAGTTGTATTCGATGATGGTCAAGTAGGTCAGATAGTCGGAGGCTGGTGGGAGCGCTTTGATCAAGGGGCTGTCCTTCTCTGCCATGATGAAAGGCCTGCTGCGAGTGTGGCGTGAATGAGTGTGGTCACTGTGGTGGAGAGGACAGGGCAGAAAGCAGAAAGCAGGAAAGATCGGGGTTGTGATTGTTTCATGCGGGCGGGCAGTGCTCAGCTCCTACAGTGGATGTCTATTTGCTGTGGGGTCAAGTGTGCTGTTTGTCGCATGTGTCGGGTTTGAGAGGACAACAGTCAACAGCACACAAACGCACAGTGGATGGAACCTTGCTCGAGCTCGGCCTATAAATACCTTACGCACTCGAACCAACTGGCAGTGCTACGCGACATTTGCAGTCTGAACGGAACCTTTGCTTGTGCTCTCTAGGTATACATATCTACACGGAGTATCTGCATCTGCACGTTGTCTACGACTGATCGCCTTGCTCCGATGGATGAAGTAGACTACTGCTCTACTCGTCTCTAGACACAGGCGGCTGAGGCGGCTTTGCAAAAGGGTCAACAGTTCCCTTGGATTTTGCTGTGTCCGGAGAGCCATCACCCTTCTTGCTTTTTTCAGTGCCCTGATCGATAGGGATGCTGTGTTTGGTATCAGTGTTCGACATGCCTTCCTGCTTCTTGGACATATCGCCGTCGCTTTTGCCAGGAGACTTGGCCGTGGCTGCCTACGAACAAGGTCAATGGTGAGCAAGAATTCTGAGCATCGCACTCTTACATTCGAGTCCGTTGCCCCCAGCGTCTGAGCACTAGGGGACTCCTTCTTGTTGGTCCTGTTCTTCGAGTTGGATTTTGTCTCTTTGTTCTCGTCCCCGGAGTCGGACTTCTCTTCAGACTCGTCCTTCTTGTCTTCACTGCTGTCCTCGGACTTGTCCTCCTTTTCGTCGGAATCGTCCTTCTTCTCGTCGTCGGAGCTGGCCTCCTCGGCCTCTGGCTTGTCTTCCTTCTTCTCTTCGGCATCATCTCCAGCCTCCTTCTCGGCTGGCTCTTCCTCTGCTGGCTCTTCGGCGGCCTCCTCCTTCGCCTCGTGATGGTCGCCATGATCGCCATGGTCACCATGACCGTGCGACGAGCTGTCGGGCCACAGATACCAGCAACTTGGGGGTGTAATGGCCAGTGCGGCTAGAAGCCTTGATGAATGTCAACCTCCGCTGGTTTTCGGATTCATCTTGCGACGACCCAGGAGTTCTACGTCTCTGCACATCCGTTCACTCACCAAGGCAGATCCGAGCTCTGGCCATGTCCTCCTCCGTGGCCGCCGCTGCTCGAGAAGCGCTTCGCGACGATTTGTGTCCGCGCGGGAGCTGTGCGAGCCGCAACGCGGGCGCTGGAATATCGCAGAGAGGACTGGAGGCTCCGTAGAGCAGTCGGACGGATCAGAGGCATCGTGTCTGTTGTCAATGGCTTCCAATGCAGGAGCGACAGTGAGGTGAGAAAATGGCTGGAGAGAGCTTCTAAGCTGTTCCTTCGCAGCAGCGGAAGTCGCGGTTCTTCCCGCAGTGACGTCCACCCGATTTCACCCATCCGTCCTCTTCGGCCATTTCCGAATTCACTACATGCGATACTGTGCCTGTCCCGTCCTGATAATGTTCCAGCCAGACATTTTTCGGCATTCTGTTTGTGCCGTAAGTGCTCGATATGATCCGTTATACATGGCTAGCCAAGGAGTCACCTCCCATTCTTCATCTCGGACGTCGCAACGCCGAAGTCACACCGCGCTCACTTGATGCGAGCACTTCATAATGGAGATTAGATCCAGATCTCAAAACACAGTGTTCAAACAGACTTCGGTGCTTTGAGATGCGTTGCCAACCGATGTATGCGCGCTGATGTACAGGGGCAACTGGACGCTTGGCAGCAGGAGCATATCCGTATACATTCTGCACGACGCCCAAGGCATATGGCTTACCTTTTCCTCCAGAGGAATTTTGGAGAGCGGCCTCTTACTGCTCTGACCGAACTTAGATTGAGCCTGGTTGCATCTCATGCTCCCTACGCTACTGAGAGCAGAGATGGTATGTGAATGTATTAGCCAGCACTTTCCGGCAATGCAATCTCCAGCCGAAGCCTGTGACAAGTTCCATTACGATGCTACCAGTATATTATACAGCCTGCAAAGACGTCGTTCTGTATCGTGTCAAGTCACCATTTACTCGGCTTCAATTTCTCAACGTAGTCGAGCAATGCTCATGAAGTCCATTGGCCCACCATCTCATCCTACAAGACACTGCTCTTTCGCCTGCCAAGTCTCGGTCTCTGCATCCCAGCCGGCTGCTCACTTGCCCCTTTCAGCTTCTCAATAAAAGCATGCTGTAGCTGTTGATGGCTGTTCCTCAGAGCACCTTTCACAAAGTTCGCAAATGCCCTGTTGACTGTGGCATCTGATACGATTTGCACGTACCAGCCACTACTCGTTTGATCGGCATGGAGCAACGTTTTCGATTTCACATTATCCATGTCTTTCTCATGCTCGAGCTCGGATGGTCGACCTGCTGGCTCGTTCCCTCGCAGTAGTCGCCATCGATTCGTGGATGTGAAGCCCCCGGGAGCGTGCACTGTGATGTCGCAGCCGTCGGAAGTCGGTAGGAAGTCTGCTTGATACTTCACACCGCCGCTCCATAGACGCTTCGGTACGAATGGGAGGTCGTCCTCGACTTCATAGTAGGTGATATTGTTATCGCTGGTCCCGTTCGCAGTGCCATTCGAGGCGTTCGCTCCTGACGACCCGTTGCTCGTCGGCGGGGCGGGTATAGGGTGGCATCCTCGACAGTCTGGACTTAGGCGTACGATACAGTCGAAGTCGCGAAGTAGTAGTAGACCAGTGTCGATGGATACATTGGGGGGAAGAGGAGTGGAAGAAGCGTGCTGGAAGGATGTCTCCCACATGATGGTCGTGCCTATGTGTCTCGCAGTCTTAGGCTGCGGTCTTGAGGATTGGCCTGCGTAGACGCAAGAATGTCATTGAGCTGCTTTCGAGTTAATGAGAGAAGAAGCTACTCGCGAGGCTCTCCGTATGGCAGGAATATTTTGTTGGACAGAGTCGGAGCCGTGTGTAGTTGAAACACATGCCCAAGGTACCTGCCTGTTCTGGGTGCACGATGGCATCTTGTTACTGGCCTGGCGACTGATGATCAGCCGCATTCTTCGTCATGATCATTCCGAATCTTGTGGCCGATATATCCGCACACAGACCGCCGAAATATTGTATGCACGGTGATGTTGACGCGTAAAAGGTTGATGGGATACCTTAAAAGATGACTCGGGGGTCTTCGGGCCTTCCGTTGGTTGTTTCCGCGGTAGGTCCCGGTCCCTTCCACCTTTCCACTTCCATCAGCGACTGTCTTTTCTATCAAGTTCACCATCTACTGCTAAAGTACCTAGGTAGCCAAAGGAGGTCGCACTTCCTACTCCAAATGGCCACAGGCATTGGATTCGTAGATGGGATGAGGCATGGACCGGCGCTCGCGGTCGAACGATCTAATCACGAAGAAGCGCAGTGATTTGGAAGAAACACTCATATCTCCGGTCCATCATGTCTGCACTTTCGATAGCCACACCACGCCACACCACGCCACAACGCCCGTTTCGCCATCCGATAAGCTTCATCTCCCTACCTCCTACCTACCTCCTATAACCCATATCCAAGAACTGGATACCGAACACATGGCCACCACGTTCAAGCTGCCAACCCACACACCCTGACATTGCTGGCTCACATGAGCAAGGAGTTCATCACGTCACACCGCCATTCCTCGATTCACCTTGGGACAAACGAATGCTCCCAGTCATTCTGGACACAGTTGCGGACTCTTCTCAGAAATCCCACGCTCGCCGTCATCATCCGCTGTGTGGTGATAGATACGGTCAAGCCGAATAGCTCGGAGGCACCGGATCCAGACGATAAATCGGCGTAGATTTCTGTTGACGTTCAGGTCTGACCTGCCGAGAATATTCGCGCCGCTTAAGTCTTTATGCTAGACCCCAGCGAGGCCTCACTGTTATCTTCGAAGCCTTGTGGCTCATACCCACCGCTGGGCAATTTGGCACAACTTAGATCCTTCGAGAAGCTTGGTGTGCCTGGTATGTGGTTAGGCGCAGAAGACGATGAGGAATATTCCGAATCTCGAAAGCCTGGGCCCCGCGAGCATTCTGCCCAAGTCGCTGCAGCAACTGCAGGCCTTGAGCTGGTACGAGCAGCGCGAGAATTACGACTTCACGGGGCCAAGTCGCCAATTGATGGGGCCGATGGCTCACCCTAAACTTCCGAGCCCTCTCTGTCATCATCCTCGAAAAGAGCGCGCCTTTGTTCGAGGGCGTTCAATATGCTGCGTTACACACGATTTTGCATTCACCTAGTCCATGTTCGTGTTCAACTGAGGCTATGAAGAGGACGTCCAAGCGGGTGTCGTACCAGTGTTATATTGTAGTAGGAGTAGTACCTGTAGGTAAGTGGATTACAGTCTACTACTTTATCATACTGCACGATGTACACGAATTGACGAACTGGTCCTTCTAAGCAATAGAATAGAGCCACAGAAGAGAATTATGGATTCTCTGTAGTTGAAGTTGTGAAGTGCATGCATGTACCGACCTCCCCACACCCTGGAGACCAGTAGATCTATCACATGCCACAGTGCCGGATACGATCGCAGCCCCGCATATCTCCCCATGGGACGAATTGTGGTTCTATGGAGACACAGGAGGGGTAACCACTCCCTCGGCGTACATTAGACCACTCTAGACCCAATCTTCTGTACTCGATCTCCGTGCCACCGTCGCGTGCTATGCTTTCTTTAGCCGTCAAAACGGCACACCGGTTTCTTTTTTCTCGATCTTAAATACCTGTACCTTCCTTCGTGCCTTTGCCCAGTACCTATCAGCTGTCCGATATTCTTTTCTGCTGCACTGTCATTGGCGATGTTGAATACCTCTGCCGACGAGCTTACGATGAATTCTACAACTGCTGTATGTTGATCAAAGAAGACATACGCTGATGTGGCTAATTGAGAATACCCAGCAGATGCTAGCTGCAAGTTCCATACATGAGAGCGACTCGAAGAAGAAGAAAAATGGCAGCAGCAGCAACAGCAAGGACTCCATCGATTTCGTCAAGCCTTCTCTCAAAGAAGAGTACAAATCGACACTAGACGAACCATCTACTAGCCACATCGAATACCTCGTTCCGTCCTCCTCATTCCCGAATGCTCGGTCTAGCACCGAGCTCGCCAAAATCCGCTGCCAAAACCAATCCGATTCCCCCCTTCTCCGCCTCCCTCGCGAACTCCGCGACATCATCATCGCTTTCTCCGTATTAGATCCCACCCCTCACTCCCCACTCCCACCTCTTCTCCAAACCTGCCATGCACTTCGCCCCGAAGTTGCGGAAATCTACTACTCTAAAAAACTCATTCTCGCTGGAGGAGCGCCTTCTCCAATGTATGAGAAGGGGTTCTTCAGAGGTTTCGATCCGGAACATAAGAGGCTTGTGAAGAGGTGTCATTGGTTGTGGGATGCTTACGGGACGGAGCAGGATGCGATGAAGAGAGCGAGGGAGTTGGATGGGTTGACGGGGGTGAGGGAGGGAGTGTGGACGGTGGGGTTTATTGATGTCTTCGGGGGGGATGCGAATGTTGAGAATGGCGATGGGGAAAGGAAGAGAGGGGCCAAGGCGGTTTATGTGAATTGTAGAGGGGAGATTAGGGAGCCGGGGAGTTGCGGGTAGATGAGGGAGAGACAGTGCTTGATCGAGGAGGACTTACTGAAGCAAGTCTCACTTCACTTGAGGGATGGATCACTTATCGCTGGCCGACAGCTGCTGGCTGCGGCCGAAGATTTGCCGATGAAGTGCGTGTTTACCTTACCTGAGGTGCTCTTGGTCTTACATCAGAGGTTGTTTTCTCCGACGGCCCTCGTCAACTCCCAGCACCAGCGCATACGAGCCCGCGGTCAAGGTCGTTGCTGCCGTCCTCGCCCAGTCTTTCCCACTTTTCTCCCGCTCCGATGAGAGAAGTCACCGGCAAGATCGTGCCATACATACTAGCTCCGCATCATCAACAGCCGACATGTTTGCTGTGTGTTGTTCAGCAGACGGCTGCATAAGAACGAGTTCAGACCTTGGCGATTGAGCTGCGTGAGCTAGTTCTTGGTCTGTGGGAAAGATGTATACCTACCTAGGTACCTTACCTGGCACTCTGGTGGCAGAGGTCGATGGGCGAAAGCGGAGGAGCTGTCGGTGGTCTACAACACCTAGGCAGTCATTCTGTAGAGATCGTGCGGGCTCCAGCTTTTCGGGCCTTGATGGCACAGAGTTCCTGGGCTGCAGCAGCTCCGTTACATAGCGACGCCACATGCGAGACACTCTAATCCAAGCAACGGCGGCAACCAGTGGCTCAACATGGAGCTGTGCGAATAGGTACTGCCTATACTTACCTACCTCCTACATATCTCGTCTTCGCGTCTCGCCGCTTGTCCAAACACAGTAGGTAATAGACGATGGCAGAAGGCACACCTCTCGTCCTCCATAACTTTTTAAAGTTGGGCATCTAGGATTCCAGGAAGCGTGAAAGTGAAACTTGAAAGGGTGACGCTGTCGCCGGCCGGACTTGATCGCTTGACAAGGATTGGGCGAACTCATTGTTTGTTGACGACTTCCTTGGCAGAGACGCTGCCATCTTGCGTAGAACACGAGCGTGCAGGCAGCCTTCGCCTCACATTGAGAGAAACAGCAGCCAGCGTGACACCGATCTCTCGTTCTTGCATCTTTGACGACCTATTGAAGAGCCTCTCTCACCACCACCACCATCACGACTCCGCATTCTTCGCCCGTCCCTGCCAGAGCATATTACGACATTCCTTCGGGGCTCCCTGGCCTTCCGAAGTCCAGATCCAGCTGAGACACACAGCCCGAGCAACCAGATCTCGAGTCTGCGACGACACTGACACCTGAGGCCACCGCACTACACACACACGAGCAATGCGGATGCGCATGAGAGGACCAGGCACGGATTGTCACAGCGAGAACAGGAGTCGTCGTTGAGTGGAGGCCAAGTGATCAGAGCCGTCTGGGCAGGTGCGTGTAAGCTCTCTAGTCGAACCGGGGTTTATGCTGCTCCACCCCAGCAAGCAAGCAGGCGACTTGATGATGCTGCGGAGCCGCCCAGCAGAACCCAGGCGTGGGCAAACAATGCTCTGCGCTGGCGGTGTTGTTGTGATGGCTGCTGGTTTGGGCTGTACCAATCCCTTCCGTGCCATGTAGCAGCAGCAGCATCATCATCATCGCCATGTTCGATGTGATCTCGCCCGGCGCGCAATATGCTGTCCAAACCCTATCTAACGTCTTGCTCGATTCACAGGTGCCAATGCCCGACCCGAACGATGCCGCGCGCAAGAAAACAAAGGTTGCCGATCTGACGACGCAGAGGCTGGCGAAGCGCAGGTCGCAGGACTTCAAGGACAAGATCGCGGGATGGAACGTGGAATCAGTGACGGAGACACCGCGGGTCAAGTCGAGGCCGCAGCAATCGCAGGACGAGATTGTGGTCATACACGACGATGAGTCTGTGGTCAAGAGCGGTGACATGGTCGTGGTCGAGACCGAATCTACAGTACCTGGAGGTGTAGACCAAGTGCCAGCTCGATCACGGCCAACCACTCCAAAGACTGCCCAATTACCCACTAAGACCACCCCCAAGACAGCACCAACAACAACGATCGCAGGAGACAAGAAGGTTGTACGTGAAGTGGACTTGGATCGCAAGGCCTGGGTGAGAAGGAAAAGTAAGCCGCAAGTCGAAGTACCTGCAGATGTCAAAGAAGCCATCGCGCCCAAGAAGCGTGTTGTTAGCGATGGCCATTGGAGGCGGGACCGCACCGCGCAGCCAGAGGCGCAGGGTACTCCGGAAAAGGAGAACGAGAGGACGCCAAAGCCAGTCTACATTCGTAAGAGCGTTGTGAACGTGGGTCTGAAAGTGCCAGTGTCCCACCAGGACTTTACAGAATCAGAGCCAGAGCCGGACCCAGTACGAGTACGGCCATTGAAGTCGAGATCACCACATGGACGCGAACGGATACCGGATTATGAGAGCAGGGGGACAAAAGTATACATTCAACGAAGGAGGCGATACGAGTCTGAAAGCAGCTTCACTGCTCCTTCCTCGGCGACAGACAAGCCCAGCACAGCAACGACAGATATCACAAGCCCTAGCAGCTCTCCTCCTCGGCCAAAATCCGCACCTCGCGAGCGACTGAAAAAGATGCGTAGCGGCGAAGATGAACCAGAACGGCCGAGTACTGCGAGAAGGAGCAAGACTCCTGTGGAAGAAAGCGTTCCACAACGACACCCCTCGACTACGGCTGAAGCATTCGCCAAACGTATCACACAGCGCATTCGTCCTACCGAAAAGCCGCCAAATCCAGTCCCCAAGGTCTACGGCCATCGAATCGAAGGATGGCTGAATGGCATGTCCGATCCCTTCGACGAGACATTGACGCCAGAACCTCTTGCTATACCTAAGAAAAAGGCTCCCACTCAAGATCGATCTGCGGAAGATACACCTGAGAGCCGCAAGAGCAGTGCCAAACGCCGCAGTCCACGCGATGAGCCCGTAGAGCTCCACTCGAGCGGGAAACGTGATCTCAAAGACGGGCTGGAAGAATCGTCGCCTTTAAGCCCCGCATCACCTACGTTAAGGCGGAGAGGCGCAAGGCACCGACCGGAGTCGCCACTAAAAAACCGCACGTCGAAGGATCTCCCGCCCGTGACGACCTGCTTTGATGATGCTACCATGAGTGGGGGCAATCCGGATGCACCCCGCGAACGACGTCGCGTGCCATCTACGAAGAAGGGCGATCGCTATAGAATACCTAGCGGGCATAAGCTATCCACTATTGCCTCTGAGGAAACGTTAGCATCGCGAGACCTTAGGCATAGCCGCGCCTATCCTGACGACGCCACAACTATCACCAGGACCAGTGATGGCGACGTGCCCAGACGGATCTCGACCAAACGGAGAGTCGCGAAGCACGATGACTTGATCTCTGTTCTCTCAATACCTCGCGACGAAGGGCGCCGTGTTGTGCCAGCAAAAAGTATTCGCCGTAGCAGACGGAAGCCTGGGGCCAGCACCGTCGCCGACATCATGAATGAAGTCTCCGCAGATGAGTTGAAATATCAACGTGAACTCCGAACGCTGGTCGAAGGAGTCATCCCGGTGCTTCTCAAGCATGTGGTCTCCGGTTCGTCAGATTCATCGCCAGGCTCGCGCGTCTCCAGTCGACCAACGACCGACCCATCAGTGACGCGGCCAATTGTAGACATGGGAGTTGCTTTGGAGAGGCTCAAAACAACACACAAGCACATCCCGTTGCATGAACCAAGCGAACTTCTCACCTGGGCTCAAGCTGCTGCTAAAGATTATTCAGGCTACCTGCAAGCCTGGAGACTAGGGTTTAAAGACATTGTGGTAAACTTGGCTCCTGCATCTGCCAGCCAGCGTGACGGTCCCTCTTGGGACCACGATCTTCCAAGAAACCAAGATGGCGACCTCGTTGATAGCGCTGGCGAGCGCGTCGATGTTGCGTACCTGCTGAAGAGACCACTCGTGCGCATCAAGTATCTCGCCAAGACTTTCAAAGATATCAGCCAGCTACAGCCTTCTGCAAATGCCGTGGACATGACCAAGAAGTACCAGGATCTGGTTTCGGACGCAAAGAACCGTATCACCGACGAGCATGCTCGCCTCGAGGACGAAGCAGCATCCAACGTGGATGCCACTAGAGCTCGAGACCCACGCAGTCTGGCGCCCATTACTGGCGTGAGCATAGATCGCACCCGATCTGTGCGCGCTAGAGACTACTTCGATATGGACTTGGTGCACTCGAGCGGCCAGCAGCTAGGTTGCAAGATCGAAGTCATCTACCGAGACGATGCCCCCAATCGAGGAAAGGCAGGTGATGTTCTCTTCTGTGAAATATCAGTTTCAGGTCGATGGCTTTTATTTCCGCCTCTACCGCATGCCTTGGTGTCTGCCAGGAAAGGGGACCGACCTGGAGAGCTTATTGTTATGATCCGTGGCTTCATGTCAAATGCGAGGCAATGGCGCGAAACCATGTCTCTCAGGTCCGAAGACGACAATACAGCAGAAGATTGGCTGCGAATGTTGGGTTCTTCACCAATGCCGCCGAAACTGGCTCGAAAGTCGAGCTTCAACATGTACAAGCAAAACAGTCTGCCCGTCGCCGGAGTGGAGGAGCCGAAGTTGAAGTCTATCACCGAGACACCTGAAACAGACACAAGTAGGGATCCCTCGCCGCGTGAGATCGAAGTGCCGATCGGCGAACGCTCAAAGGCGACCAGTCGCATATGGGACGGTAGCGATGTCAATAGCGTTCTTGATGATGGTCATTCGACACCGACCCATGAGCGGCCAAGGCCAAGACCCGCCCGGTATCGAGGTCAGACAATTTCATCTCCATCGGCATCAGACAGTATTCATTACACTCCCCGGGATCACGCTGCGGAGCCGCAGTACTTCTATGACAAGACTCGTGATGATAGTTCGTACGCGCCTAGCCGCCGTGGACTGAAAACCAAGCATGTGCGCTCACAATCAGAGTGGACAGGCTCGACAGTCTCTTCCGACCGAAGTACTGACTACAGTGTGTGGATGCCACCAGAGGACGCCTCGCGCTATTCGGACGAGTCGAGTGATGGCGAAACAATTGATCATCGACGACACCACAAAGCAATACGTCCAGGAATGCACCGACGCACCTCTTCGGTTCCGTCTTTGGATATGCCGTCGATTCCGAAGATCAGAGAGTCGTCTCGACCTGACAGTCCTCCATCAGACCGGGATGGTCTGCCGTCACAGAAGAGAGCGTACGAGACGACCGGGACCAATGATCCTTCCTCTGCGCCGCCTAAGCTACAGCAGCGACTATCAGTGAGGAAAAGGAGCGCAGAGGAAGACCGGGCTCGTCCAGCGACGCCGCCCCATAAAGAGAAGCCAAGACCGTTGTCACTCGGACAGAGCATCACGAACAAGTTCCCATCGTTCACACCAGCGTTCATGAGAAAGAATCGTCGGCCATCTTCTCCGTTGAAGCACGAGTACGCTCCATCCTCCGCTTCGGACTCGCTGTCAGATAGCGACTATTCTGACTACGATGACGACGAATCCATGACGTCCGAGTCGACTGCACAAAGCGAAGGGGTGCCAGAGGATGGTGTATCGACTATTGGCGATCTGCAAGGGTTCGATGACTACAAGCGAATGGGCCCCAAACGTTCATCTCCGCCGGCAACCTCGCCGGTGACAGATCCGAACACTCAACTCAGTACGCCAGATGTAAGCCTGGGGCCCTCGGAATCTGCCTCTCAGGCACCGTATCGTACAGTCCCAGCCACAGCGGTTGAGCCTGCGAAGGTTGTTGCCAGCATATCAGCATGGTCCGAACGTGGAGCTTGGGATAGTTTGCACATGGAAGAATGCCAAATCTTTGTCACCCCCGGGCTGATTGAGGCATTTGATCTGACGCAAGCCAACTCTGTCGCAGTGCAAACCGGGGCTGATGGATCGACACCTTCTGCAAAGGGCATCAAGCCTCTGATTGCATTGGAGTTGACACCTCTTGTTCCACTTCGAAGAAGCACTGCAGTCGATCTTACGGTCCGCTCGCCGCCGACAGCAAACTCTCTGTACAAACCGGGCCCCAACATCATGTTCCGCTTGCGAAGTCCAGAAGACTGCGAGAAGCTTTACACACTTCTGAACAGGGCTCGTATTGATAATCCAACGTACGTCGCGCTGCAGAATGCCCGAGGACCCATGCACCAGAGCAATTGGGGTGAGATCATGGACCACAACCGGAACGCCCAGATGGACAAGCGTCGGTCATGGTGGAACATGGGGTCACGCAAGAGCAGCACGTACCGTTCAAGTGGCAGTCGTGCACATTCCACGGCTGCTACAGAATCCTCTGTGGAGACTATGAACACCGCCTTCTCTGCGCTTCGAAGATTCAACGGTAGTAGCAAGATATTCGACCTGGCCAAGAGCACCATCGCCAGTCGGGAAGGTACGCGGAGCACCAACAGTGGCAGTCTCAACTCGGGAACAGCGACTCCCGATCTTCACTTTGATCCAGCAATGGGCACTCCACTTGGCATCACTGGAGCAAAAGTCCGACTCTACGTTCGCGAATCCGCTTCCAAGTGGCGAGACCTTGGTTCTGCGAGATTGACTGTCATGTTACCACCACGACGGCCCGATCCGAGTTCTCCTGCGAGTCCCAAGATTACTGGATTGGAGAAACGTATTGTCGTGTCTGGCAAAAGCCAGAATCACACTTTGCTGGATGTCACATTGGGTGAGAGTGCTTTTGAGAGGATTGCAAGGACGGGCATTGCTGTGAGTGTGTATGAGGGTTGTGAGCATGTGGGAGTAACGGGTGGTGTGTTGCCGAATCGGACTACCTGTTACATGATTCAGATGAAGAGTGAGAGGGATGCTGCCTACACTTTTGGATTGGTCGGAAAGCTGAGGTATTGAGCCTGTTTCCTTCCAAGGGCGAGAAGGCCAGGAGTCGTGAACGAATGGCGACTGCTGGTGGCGTGGAGAAGACGAGGTGGCGATGAGATTTTCCAGCTGTTCTTTCTTATGTCTTCTTTGTCAACTAGCAAGGCGTTCCGGGGAAGCGTGCATCGGCATGGGCATCAGCATGGGCATGCCCGACGGAAGAAGCGAGAACAAGAAGCGAATGAATGGGTGGGTGGGGTGGAAGAAGGATTCCCTCTCGTCACTTTTAAGCTGGAGTGGAAGTTTTCAGCAGCAGATTAGCAGCTATATACCCATCTCCCGTCCGTTTAATGTAATCAATATTGTAATGATATGAATTCGATGTCTCTCCCCTTCTCCACCTCTCATTCCCTCTGCATCTATATATATAGCAGAGGCTTAGTTATGAGGCACACATATATGTATTCATTCAAATGTGGCGCGATAGAGCGAAATGAGGTTGATTTGGACTGGGTATATATAGATATATCATTCATTCATTCACTGAAACTACATATGCCTTGGGCGATTACGGACCCCCTCTTCCCCCCACCCCCTCCTCGTCGTCAACAACGGTAGGTACCTAAGGTACTCAATACATTCCCTCAAAAGTATTGATTCTCTCATCCGCTACTTTGGCAATAGCCTCCTTGACAGTCAATGTATCTCCTCCGACCATATCAATCGCCAAACCCTTCGTACCGTCATTTTTCATAATTTCTACTACAGCTCTTGCGACGTCCTAATTTTTTGCACATTGGATGCGTTAGTTAAGAGTCCGTAAATGAATGAAGACTAGTTGAGTCGTGGTATATCATTCATCATAGGGCCCCCGGAAAACGAAGAAACAAGAAAAGAAAAAAGGAAAGAAAAAGAAAAACAACTCACCTCCCTCGCAATCATCCTCTCCCCAAAATGTACTTTCCCCGCCTCAATCCTCCCCGTCCCCTCCTCATCCCTCAACCCACCCGGTCTCACAATCGTATACTCCAACCCCCTCCTCCCATTCTCCCTCACCAAATCCCTATCCGCCTCAAATTTCGCTTGCATATAATGTCCAATCGCCCCCCACACCCTCTCCGACATGACTCGATCCTTCTCATCATACCAATCCGGTACGCGACAATTTTCTCTATCCCGCACATCCAAGGCCGAAATTATTATATATCGTTTCGTCACGCCCGATTGCGCGGTTGCTTCGGCGGCTTTGACTGCGCTGCCGAAATCTACGGCTGAAGTGCGTGAGGCGGGACTTCCGGCTCCGGCGCCTGCGGCGAAAATTATGGTGGAGGGTTGGGTGTTGTGGATGGTTTGGATGAGGTCGGGGACGCTGGCGGTTTCGAGGGATTGGACGATGGGGTGGCCGCCGAGGGAGCGGATGGAGGGGATTTGGGATTCGGAGCGGATGAGGGAGTGGACGGTGTGGTTTTCTTCGGTGGAGAGGATGCGCGTGATGTGCCGGGCGACCTGTGGGGGGAGGGGGGATGTTAGTTGATGTGTGTATACTTGGAAGAAAGGTCTTTTGTTTTTCTTGTTTGCTTCAAATTTCTTTTTTTTACTTACTTTGCCTGATCCGCCGAGGATTAATGTCGATGGCATGATTTGGAACTGATGTATGTATGTGTGTATGGATGTATCGTTCCTCCAGATATCCTTCTTCGTCAATTCTTGTTTTCTTTCTTTCTTGCCTGGTTGATATCGATGATGGTGGTATTCCCGTAGAAGCTCAATGAGAGTTTTTCACGACCTACCTTATATATCAAGAAGCTATCCATAGCTCCCGGACAGAGGACCTGACATGTATATATCCCTACCTACATGTAACCCATGCTATATGACGTCTGGACAGTAGTTCTAGTACACATGTAGGTAGGTGAGGAGGTGAGATTATTAATGTCTGCCGAGCCCGGCCAACCGACGGCAATTGAACGACTCCAATAAATCTACTCGGAACTCCTAGGTACCTTAAGAACTAAGTTATGCATTCATAGCCTAGCATTCATGATATAAGTTCGTGCCACGCCTGCATACCTACCACCACGGCAGCAGACACAGGCAACGAAAAAGGAATGACTCATTACTCCCTCAGATGGAGTCTCTTCTCTTCTGAGGGATACAAAACTGCTTCAGGTACTCATAATCCTTGACGTTGGCATCAACAGTCTTCTTGATGACGTCCGCAGCTTCCTGGCCGTACTTCTCAATCCACTCGGCGTAGAGCTGTTCATCGCTCTTGGGCTTGTGCTTCTGAAGGAACGAATATCATCAGTATATGATGTTGACCACGTCACAGAGCCTGCACAGCAGGAAAGGAGGAGAGAGAACAACTTACGTGGAGCCTCGGCTTCAAATCCGTCGAATTGATGGCATCATCATGGAAACCATTCCACTTCTCAAATTGCTCTCGAGCAAAAGCATGAGATTCCTCCGAGTCCCACTGCAGCATGTCCCGATCAAATTCGAGACCAATGGAGTCACAATACTGCCGCAGGATTCCCTCGGGGTCATCGAGCATATCATCGGCATCAATGACGCAAATCTCAACCTGACCAGGCTTCAATTCGCCATCTCGTGCGGCGACCTTGGGTCCGACGAGACCCTCATCCTTGAGATAGTCGAATAGACGTCTCAACTCGTCGTAGCCAGCTTCCTCGGGCATAAAAGGCGCAAACTGCGTCCTTTCCACGAGAGGTGGGATGCAACATCGGTAGTAGGATGGGATCGCACTACGGGGATGACGGATCAAGAAAGTGAAGTGAAATTTCTCCAGAATCTCGCGGGGAACGACAGTCGGGTTCTTGTCCTCTGCTTCCGAATTCTCATACGCTTCGTATGGGAATGGTGGAGAGCTGGGACGACTGGACGCAGGTGTCATCACCACACCCGAATCATGGTCAGCGGTGACTTTCTCATCGCCGCTGACGCCGCCGCTGAGGACGGACGACTGGTTTGTGCCGACGCCGCGCTTGATCGTGTGAAGAGAAGGGGCAATTCGTGCTGGCTGCGAGTTGGGGGGGAGGAGGTAGTGAGTGATGTCTTTGATAAAGACCCGCTTGCCCTGGGAGAAACAATGGATGTCAGTACATGTAGGTCAGGTACTCCAGGCTATGACCGTCGGGTGTGTGGAGCATTGGAGATGGGAAGCGCTAAAGGGTCGGATGACGCACGGACCTGCCATTGGGGAATGGCAATCACGAGACGACAAGAGCATATATGAATGTGATGATGGAATATGCTGCATTGCATACATGTCCGTAGCAGACACACTGTCAGGGGCGGGGTGAATTGCCATCTGTAAGGTCAGGTAGGCATGATAACGACCGACATACCTCGGCAGACTCTCGGTCAATGCGATCCATAATTGTCTTGAAGGTCGAGTTGGCGAACCCACTCTGCTGGCAGGCTTCCGTGTCCTTGGCAAATCGAGTTCCCATTCTCTCTGGGCCATAGTAAAAGGCATCGCCAAAGGGCTCATGAATCGTTTGAATATCGTGGCGACGGGTCATGAAGACCTGGCTTGCGTGGTTAGTCCAGGCTGTTGGAGTGTCGCTGGCAAATACTGATCATATACCCTCTCGAATGCAGTGGAGCATGCCCGTGGATGGGTTGCTACGAACACTGGCTTGCTCGACATGATGATGATGATGATGGGATGATCGTTCCTTGACCTGGGCTTGTATGTGTGTGGTCGACGGAGCTGTGGTCGGTATGGTTACTTGACAGCACCCAAGATGATTGCAGGTGAACAAGTGTTTGTATAAGGTACACAGAGAGACTTGCTCTGCACTGAAGTAGATGCGAGTTCTTCACAGAAAATGCCTGTTGCAGATAAGTAGGAATGACTACCTATTTAGGCTTGCAGAAGTGGAAACTTGCAGTCAGAATCTCAACGAGAACCGTCACTGCTGGGTACGGACTTACCCAAGCGTGAACCTAGCTTTGTGCGTCCCAAAGAAATCGAGTCTTTCTAAACGAGACCTGGGCACGGCACGCTCGCTCGCTCGTGTATTACCCGACATAGGAGCGAATACTATATTATATTCTCTGCTGTGCATATTCTATAGATTGACTCCGTCGCCTGAATGGCCCATGCTCAAGTCGTCGTGCACACTACTGCCTAAGGTATTCTCGGACTTCACTTTGCCTCATAGACATACACACACACACTTTCCCAGCAAGACCGGCCAACATGCGCGACCGTGGCTGGGCCAGGGAAGGGAGAAGAAGGGAAGGGAAGGGGAGGGAAGAGGAGGACAGGGAGGGAGGGATATCGTGCTCCATGCTGGTGCTGGTACTGGTCCCCCTCCGTGTCGGGTCGTTCAGGAACAAGACACAACGAACAGGTACCTTGCTCTCAAAGGATACCGTCGTCTTGCTGAGGATCACCATCACCCATACCTACGAGAAGTAAGGTGTATGAGGTGAGAGTACCATGTACACGTCTCCCCTGCGATTGCGGCCATTTGGCCCCAAAGTCAAAAAGCTGCTTTGTTGGGAATGGGCAATGTTCCAGGCGCAGGCGCAGGCGCACATTGGACGGCGGTACTCGAGGTCGCAAGTCGTCATTCGAGGTTGGCGTTGGCGTGCAATCCCTTAGTTTTAGTGGGGTGGGGCCACATCCCCACCATGCAGCGTCACTGGAACCGACGTGCGACATCTCGATGTCATGTCGGAGCAGGATTATGCGAGCGCGGCATCGAGAGACGTGTTTGGCACTGTTTGCTGGGGCTGCTCCAAACGACAAATGCGATCATACCGAGGAAAGGGAAGGACGGGGTGGAGGTGAGTGCAGTAGTAGTGAGGTAGTGAGTGAGGTAGCGGCCTGGCACATGCCACATGCATCTGGTCGGCCCCAGATGTGGTGGAGGTGATGATCGCCGTCCGATTCGCTTGCTGCAGTGAATGTTGCTCTCATCAGGACACTCATACATAGCCACCTCATGTATGTACTATGTACTATCGAGGCAGGAAACTATGGCGTGCTCATGACGCGCGCCATGTGTTTGGTCGCAAGCTCATTTGTGTGCCGCACCCACGAGCGCAGATCGACTGCGGCTTCCTGTTTCGACCACATACATGTAAGTAACTTCATGCGTGCTTTGCCGTGCTCACACTCGCGGACCCTGCTGCGCCGGGTTCAGTGGCACGCTGAACCGTCTGCTGCGCTGCAAAGAAACGACAAGATGCAGCCGCCGTAGCCCAAAAGCGCAAGTATTGGCGCAGCATGGAATGCAGAGACCACGGGCTATATGAGCACATTCAGCCTCACATGCGCAACCTTGGCATGAATCGGCAAATGTCAGGATCATGCAACCACATGTCGCTTCCCCTCTGGTGCGAGCTGCCGCTCGATTACCAGAGATAGCCCGGGAGATGCTCGCTACTGCGGTAAGACGATCTTCAGCCAGTGGTGCCTGGTTGCGGTGATCGTGCTGACTTTGGTAAAACACGCGAGCAGATGCCGTCGTAGGCGACGTGCTTCGTTCTTTGGATAGGCGAGCTCTCGTAGCCACGGCATCACGCAGCTCGTGGCAGTTGTAATGTGGTGATGGTGGTGGTGATGACGATGATGGTGATGATGATGGTGACGATGGTGCTCGACTGCTGCGTATTACCGCTCACTTCGTGGCGACCATTTGGACGGAGTATCCGGAATCTTCCAGTTATTCACGCCCCTGGTTGAAGTCAGCAAAATCGCCTTGGGGGGCATTTCACTGCACCGAGGCACAGACTTACCACCACCATCTGCGAACCTTGGCCCCGATAGACTGTCCAGAGAATTTGGCCGATGCGTTCGAATATCGCCAGCTGCAGCTAGTCAGCAGATAGCACTCTTCCTGGCAAGAATGAACATACCCAGCCACAATCAACGACCACGCCAGGCCTTGGACTAACGGCATCAAGACCTTGTACACATATCAGACGTGCCCTAACATGACCCTCTCTCTATAGCTCACCTGGTCCTTGAGCGTGATGTATGCCACAACTCCCCAGTTTTCCGCATTCTCGATGCTCTTGAGATAGCTTTGCTCGAATCGTAGATCAGGCAATTGTAGATGCCTAGGCGCGTGTCTGTTGTCCTCGGGCAGTGGCCGAAGTATACTCAGTGGCACCTCGTCCTCATCCACTTCCCCTGCCATGGAGTCGACATCTCCAGATCGATCAAATTCCACTGCGATCTTCTTGTCGACGGACGTGTCTGGCGCTAAATCGGCGCGTGTAGGGTTGTGGTTGATATGCGCAGTCTGCAATGTCTCTGCCGCCTGCATGGCGACATCTTCGAGTCCGCCGTCCATGATGACTGTCCTGTTTTCCTGAAGGCGAAGATGATTCTCACCCACGATGATGTCGGCGCGAGATGGTTGTCCATGCGTCGTTCGTTGCATCGGTCAGGAGGGCACGGGCACCTAGCCTCTATTCGGTTAAATTAAGCTCCTCATGCTGTCATTGCCTCAGGACACCACAGTTGCTACTACCTTGTGTACCACGAATCCAACACGGCCACCTACCACCAACCTGCCACCATTACCACCACCACAACAATAGCAGCAAGATGGGGAACGCAAATAGTGCCATGCTGGAGAATATCGTCCAGGGATCGAACTGTATGCCCTCCTCCCAAGAACGTCCTCTTGCCTGAGATCGAGGGGCACTCAGCTGAAAGATGGAATCTGACTTGATCGTGTGCAGTCGACAGGGACGAGGTGGATCGTCTGAGGAAGCGCTTCATGAAATTGGACAAGGTACGGCGGGCAGTATGGTGGAACAGTGGGTAGCACCTGACGTCTCCCAGGATAACTCGGGCACAATCGAGCGCGACGAGTTCCTCTCACTACCCCAGGTCTCCTCCAATCCTCTGGCGACGCGGATGATCGCCATCTTTGACGAGGATGGAGGCGGCGACGTTGACTTCCAAGAGTTTGTCTCAGGTCTTAGCGCCTTCAGCAGTAAAGGCAACAAGGAGGAGAAGCTGCGGTTCGCATTCAAAGTCTACGACATCGACAGAGATGGCTACATTAGCAATGGAGAGCTGTTCATTGTGCTCAAGATGATGGTGGGGAGCAACTTGAAGGACCAGCAATTGCAGCAGATAGTAGACAAGACTATCATGGAGGCGGACTTGGACCGGGATGGCAAGATCAGCTTCGAGGAGTTCACGAAAATGGTGGAGAACACTGATGTTTCCATGAGCATGACTTTGGGTGAGTCCCCTCAGGTGGCTGATTTGTATGCGTATGCATCAACTGACTTTGATTCCTTTGCAGACCAATTCTAGACACCCCTCCAAACAAACGAGATACCCGGCGTACAGAGCCAAGCGTCACAGCAGGACCTTGAAAGCTCTGGTACAACGTCACGACCACTCTTCTTGGACCGCATACCTGCCTCTTATTACAGGAAGGGACAGGCCTGAGTAGGACATGCGCCAGAACCTGCTACTCGACCAGCAAGCTGAAATTGTGACTTGACCAATTTCGACAACGACGAGGGCGTTCCCGTCGTTCCGATAAAGTCCCGAGCAATCCTCTTATCCTTGGGCAACAAGCCCGGCTGATACCCGCTCTGGAAGTGGGCTTCTAGCATATTATATATGAGCATGAAGCAATATGATATGAATGCACGCAGGGTCCTCCACTGGACCCACTTGCTCTCAAGAAGATGGCTGAGATGAAGAGCCACTCTTTATTTCTACCACAAAATCTCTTTCGCGCTTATATTCACTTGGTATCCGCACTCTTCACGTCCACCATCTGCTGCGGCTTCCGCCCGGACTTTCAGCCCACAAAAAGAGCATCAATACATGTCAAGATTTGAAGCCGCACCAGTGAGTTCCTTGTTCGACGAACTCGTAGTGCGTGCGGCGTCCAGTTCATTCGTAACTATAATGCGCCTGCCTAGAGCTTCTAGTACCGACATGACCGATAACAGAACCATTGAGAATCCTTGCCATGGAGAATGTCTTTTGTTTTGCGTCAGCTTTCGTGGTCGAATAGCTTGATGGGGGAACAAGTGTTTTGGAACGGATCTTAACATCATGAATTTTCACACCAAGACTGACGCAGAAGGGAGCTGTAGGACACACCCACTCACCTAGCACAGATGTCTCGTCCACTTTGCTGCCCGGAGAAAAGAGGATGAGACGAAACAAGCGACTCACTGTCACTGTCGAGGAGACAACAATCATGAGTGAAGTGGTTACAACTATCTGCCACTATCGCAGCTTTCACTCCGTACTAATACCATACACATCACACATTGCTACATCTATTCAGCATCACAATCAGCATCCCACATTCCCATGTAACAATAACACATCCCAAACATCAAGTGCAATCCCAAGTGCAATCCAACCCAGCCAAAACGCCACCAAAGAAAAAAGAACAGAAAGAAAAAAAGAAAAGAGAGAGAAAAAGAAAAAGACCCACAATCATGCCCCGAACTCTCTGCCCCCTCTTCTCCCTCCACACCCTCTACCAAACTGAAACCCACTGGCTCTCCGCCTGCTGGAACTGTGGTCAAGGACTTTGTAATCACTGGTACATGTGTGTCGAACCCACGTGCCACGTCGACGTCTGTTCTACGTGTGCTTCGGAACAGACCAGTAGGAGGAGGGGAAGTGGTGGTAATGGTGATGGGGATTGTGATGGTAAAGGTAATGGTAATGGTAATGGTTGGAGGAGGGGAAGTGGGAGTGGGAGTGGTGGGAGATGGCATCGAGCGAAAATTGAAGAGGCGAGGTTTTGTGATGCGAGAGTTCCGAGGTGGTTGTGATTGATTGGGAGGAGATGAGGAGAGGAGAGGAGAAGGGTGTAGAAGAATGATGGATGTTAGGGATAGAATAACGACAAGGTACCTACTAGGTGTTCATGGTTGTTAGGGGGGCGCTGGAAAATCGGAAGAATTGGAGCGGCGAACAGATAGGGAAGGCACAGGCATTGGAGTCAGGAAGGAGCTTTTAGATCAACTCCTTTCTTGGCGCGTGAATGAATAGATGGGTGATATTGATACTGGTAGTAAGGTAGGTATTCAACTAGCTAGCTAGCTATGACCGACTCACTACTAACACCCTCTTCTTGATCTCTATCTTCCACTTTGCTACCACCATTTGCAGCTCCGCTATAGGAAGCTCGGGTCGAACAATGTCAAATCTGTGCATGATTTTGGCTCGACAAGCGAGTGGTTGTCGATTACTCTTCTAAAGCGTAGCGAAAAAAGAGCGATAGCTTCCAGTAAAGTACTAGAGGGGGGCAATCCTTCTGTCTCCTACGAAAACCAGACTCGAGTAACTCGCCTTGGGGCTATGAATAGAGCTGTGACTAGAGCTGTGAGCAGAGCTGTGAATATCGCTTTCATGATAAAGATCATCCAGTTCTCGTCGCTTGTCGACGAGAGGAATGGAGACAAGGATTGCACATTGCAGAATGCAGGTAGTGGTTGGAGGTTGATTTTGGCAGGCGGGGACATGCGGTTGTGGTCTAGTAGCAGACACATCTGCCAGGCGTAGAGAGCGTAGTTGTCCGCATTGACTACCGCAGCGGATGAGGACCAGAATGCGAGCTGCTGGGCCCTGAAATTGCCGTATGCGCCATGGTCGGAGCCCAGTATGTTAGGGAGTTGGTAGCATGCCCCTGGCTCACTATATTCAATGTCGACGACTATTCACCATGTTAGTAACCCGCTCTCCAGGGGTTGCGCATCCTGCATACTTACTCCGTCTTGGGCCTCGAACAGCAGGCGTGTGGGTCATCTCGTGAATGAGCAGCCGAGCTTCCAAGCTCCGTCCACGCAGCTGATTTGGGCAGAATGTGACTTCATTTGCGTCGCGAACGAAAGCCCTAACATCTTCATGCTCGCAGTGAACGCCGTCACGAGTACCAGGGCCTGCGCAGTCCCAGGTAGTCTTACTCCACTGTTCCTGCATGCGGTGGAAGACGCCGTCCACATATCTGTCGTGGTCCTTGCTGAGATCGCCGAAGTATCGCTTGCGAAGCTTCTTACTGCCTTGGGGAACCTCAGAGTCGTTATGCCGAATTCGATTGTGTTCATTCAAGACCGTTGCCACACAAGCTTGAGCTTTCAAGACTGCGGCTTCCAAATGAACCAATTCGTGGCCTCTACAGGGGCTTGCAAGAACGCCTGTTGTGTAAGAGCCTAGTGCTAAGAGCGCGTGTACGGCTGTGTTGGTATGCATTATGGTCTTCTGTAGGAAATTTATGCCGCTCTATTGTAGTGAGTTGTGCTAAGACTGGCTTCGTGGGAGATGAGTGGAGGATGCACATCTTTATAGCAATTCTCGTCGATGCTGCGCATATCACGCAGCATTTCGAACATCTCAATCTCCTTCTGCTGTTTCTCATGAAGCAGTCTCGGTCACCAATCACAGCTCACGACTGGAATTACTGCGAGAATATCTTGTCCTGAGCAAGCCGACAGCACACCCTGTGTCTCTCCAGCTAGACCCAGCAATCCAAGTGAATGGGCGGCTTTGCAACCTTGTCTCGGAACCTTTGCCGCTGCTTCAGGAGTGTGCGGAGCAGATGCTGAAGTTGAATCTTAGAACAGCGTTGAGCTGACCAACATATGCCTCGCAGTCGCCTCTGATAGCTCTTGAAAGGACTACTCCGGTACGGACGACTCTAGATATAGCGAGGGCATCCACAAGCCTGTCCACCAGAACAACAGACACTGGCTAGGCATATTTATCAGTGCGTTTGATACTGGTCTCCTGGATTGGGAGCAGTCGTGCTTGCGTGCTGGCGCAGGTATCATAGCGCATGTCTGACATGGGGATATCTGATGGACGTGTCTGAAGGAGCATTGAAGGAGGGAAAGTAAGTGAAGGAGGGGAGGGAAAATGAAAGAGAAAAAAGTGGCTGCGACGGCGCCAAGGCCATCTCCACGAAATGACCTAGAGGCTAGGTTCATAGGTACCGGTAGGTGGTTCGAACATGTGGTCCTTCTACATCCTACATACACTCAACATGTCCAATGCACAACTGCTTCCCCTCACATGGGACACACGTTGTCGGGCTGCGTGGTGGAGTTGCAACATGAAAACATACGAGCAAGAAAAGTTCAACTTGAAGCAATACACTGTAGGCGAGACTAAAATCATCCTCCCTGGGGGTCTTTGAACCAATGTCTCCAACTGGTGCACTACTGATACGGCTTCACAGCACAGTATGTCAAATTTGGTATCTTGCCTTACGCCGGCTCTGTCCGTCCCTGTCCGACTCCTGCAGCTGCAAGACAGAATCGCCATCTCTCGCTGCATAGGTCTATCGTTCGCATTGCGCCAATCATATTCCCGTAAACATATCCACGGCCGTCCGCAGTCCCAAACGCCCGATGCTTACTTCCATCAGCTCGTAATGCTGGTCCGTCACTGATCAAAACGGCAACTAGCGATACTGATTGGCAGCAGGACCAGGTACGGTATCACTGGGCATATTGTTCGCCTTTCGCTGCTCCATTGCTACATGCTCCTCTCGATGCTGCTTGGAAGCCTGCAGGCGAGCTTCCACCTTGGCTTTCTGCTCATTCTTTAGATGCAATTGGCGCTTGACGCTCTGTTGAGTCTTCTGTGCTGCTGTGGCACGATCCTTGATAGGCAGCTTGGCTGCAGCCTTTGCATGCTGGCCTTTCTCCTGGCGTCGAAAAGCCTGCTTAAGGTTCTGGACCCGCTGGCGAGAGAGCGCTAAGGGTGACTGAATCAAGGCCTTTGTGTTGCTCTTGGCTGCCTCCACTCTGGACTTGACAGACACCGACAAGTCTCTGGTAAATCTGACAAGATCCTTTTGGACGACGACGAGGTCTTTGACTAAACCCTTGGCGAGCTCCTCGTTCGCGCGACCAGCTTTGTTGAGCATGGCATTGGCTGTCTTACCAAAAACCTGGATCTCGCGTGACACCGTCTGAAGCTCATGGCCCACATATTTTGCGAGCTGACAAGTGGCGTTGCGACTAGCCTGGACACTCACACTCACTTCGTTAGATAAAAGATTGTTGATCTTCCGCACAGTCTTGCTCATGATGGCAAGGTCGCTCCCAACCATCTTACCAACCTCATTGCCGGCCTTTTCATAGGTCTTGAGCTGAAAGTACCGCTTGCCATAGTAGTGAGAGGCAGTGATGTTATAGGCTGGCTTCTCGGTGATGGTGTTGATGACGACTGTATCATACGCCTCGTTGGCATCGAATGTGATGATCGATACGCCTTGAATCAGCTGAGTCGTGCTGAAGGACACATTGCGCCCATCTGCTTTAAAAACCTTGGTAGAGACAACTTGAAGATGTGCTGAGTTGACAGGAAGAGAAAGAACCATGTGATTGGGTTCTAGTGCTTGGTATCGTGAGTCGACTTTGCACTCTGCAGTATTGAGCACACGCCGACGGCCAAACCACGTCTTCTCGTAGCAGGTAGTCGGCAGAGCTGGTAGCAAATGTTCGACATCTACTACGCTAGTAGAATTCTGTATGCTCGTGACCTTCTGCAAGGAGGTGGAAAGTGCTTCTCTACGAGCAGGAATGTCGATTATCTGGCTTGAGGTGGAAAAGATCATGGAGCATAAAAGGAGAAGCGCAGGCAACGCCGTGAACAAGATTTTGGCGACGTTGACCGCCGGCGGAATGAACATACTCCTCTTGGCCTTCGCTGGCTTACCATCCTCGGACTTGATTCTGTTCATTGCCAATAACTCGCCAACGGCATGCGTCAGTCGAAGACGATCCTTGGCAAAACAGTTGAAAAAGTCGTCTGAACACATCGTGAATCTCGAGCATGCAGGCCGGCGGAACTCTCCATCAGTTGAAACCGTCTCTCCAACGATGATGAAGGCAGGCACTTCCATGCTGTCGATGACGTTCAGAGCAGGTGTCAGCGCAAGTTCATCTGTCCGGTTTGGAATATGGAATATCGCCAAGTCGGGCTTGTGTAATTCGGTCTTGCCTTGTGGTCCAACAGTGAACCAAGAGCTGTGAGAGCCGTCGTGATCGAGGATGCGAAGACCATAGATGCCTGAATCACGTTGCTCGGCCTCAATGCAGTGCTGCACAGTGGCAGAGATTCTATCTCGACCACACACAACAGTAGCTGAGGCAGGACTGATCCCAGTGGGAGTAGGATGCAATCGGATCATCTTGTGATTGATGATTGCAGTGGTGTCCGAAGCTGGAGTTCGCATAGCACCCGTGATCCGGGAGACGATCAAGTCCATTTCGCTCTGTAGTGTATCTCTGCTGGAGACGAAGAGGATGTGCCTCGGGTTCTGATCAACCTCGAAGGAGATTTTGGGCTCTTGAGCTCGATTGATGGTAGTGGTAGGAGAGTAGCGCATGACGGATTGTCGTGGTGTGTCCAGGTCTTCCGACATGTAGCTATCGATCAGCCTATTCTCGGCCTTCACTTGCTTCAGCTGCTTGGCTGTTGTAGACATGTCCACCATAACAACCGAATCTGACGGCGAATGTGAGCGGGCATTGATCGTAGAGACTTCCTCGAGCTCATCTTCGCCTTCTTCTTCCTCTTCTTCGTCGCTCTCTGCCACATCTGGTGTGAGTTGGGCCTCGTGCTCGTGCTCGTTCGAGGTGATGCTGGCCGTGTCGTGATCGTCGTTAGAGATCTCGGACAGGTCGTCGTGATCAATCATGTCAAAGGTGTCAGCGAGAGAGCCTTCTGACTCGCTCGCGTGGCCGGACTCGGCCATGACTTGTTGACCTAGGGCACTCAGAGCGGCGGGCGGCGTTCGATATCGGCGTGTTGGTGGTCTCGTAGGTAGGTCTGACACAGACCCGTCGTCATCCAAGGTGGGAAAGTCGAAGTTGTAGCGATGAGGTGCGGTCGTGGAGGAGGGGGAGGAGGGGGATTGAGCGGCTGCAAGAGTAGAAGGAGGGTTGCTGTCGGGCTGCTATGACACGATCAGTCAGCTGGAGCTCCTCGTGAATGCTCCGGTGTCCAGCACAACAGAGGAAGGAGTGCAACGACCTTTGGACTCGACCTCATGTTGATACGAGATGCGTGGAGAAGGAGGAGTGAAGCCGCGAGGGGAGGAGGAGTAGGAGGAGGAGGAGGAGGAGGAGGAGGAGGAGGAGGAAGAAGAAGAAGAGGAAGATGAGGAGGATGAAGAGGAGGAGTGAAGAGAAGGAGGTAGGAAAGTCAAGGTCGGGCAGAAGAGAGGCAGAGCAGCCCGGTGGTTTGCTGGTGGGCTCGCGGCTCTCAGTGACATGAGGTTGGTTCGAGAGGAGAGAGAGAGAGAGAGAAGAGGTGCAGGTGGGGGACCTACTCTTGTATCGCCGAGCTACAGGACTGCCGCCTGGAGGAGATTCACTGCAACGACACGACACGGTGCGGTACCAGGTGGAGGTGAAGGATAGAAGTAGTATGTAGCTGTAAGGTAGTAAGGTAGGTACAGGTATGCGGCGAGAATACGTGTTGGGTTGTGATGCGTGAGAAAGTGTTGGACTGGACTTCACTGAGGTGTGAGATCAAGTAGCTCCAGTAGTAGGTACATGTACATGGAGGCCGTCCTTCTAGTCATCCAGTCACCAGACGACGACTGAGAGACTGCACCGTGACTGGTGACTGGTGGGGGCACGCGATAAGATAGCTGCCCTGTAGCGGTTGGCGGCTTCGGATCCCTCCGGCTACCTAGCATGTGATACCTCTCTCCTCACAAACGAGATACCTATACCTGTAGGAGGTAGTCCTTCCTGTACATATATCTGGGGGAGAGTCTCACCCCTCTGCTTCTCTTCACTCCAGAGCCACGTCAAGTCTGATTACTACTTACCTACTGCTTGCGAGTGACTTCGAACTACCTCCATTGGATATGATTGCCGGACATCTCTGGAAGATCGTTCATCCGGTCATCCGGAAGGCACGCGCCGGTCCTAGCGCGAGAGTGTTTCTCTGTGAGTCTGTGTTGTTTTCCCGTCGCGTGAAACGAAGCCAACCAACCTCACCACAGGTACCTCCTAGCCGCCACACTTTTATACTGAGAACCAATCTGCAGATGTTGATGATAATAGTATAAAGTATGTAGACAACTCAGCGTATACCCATACTAATATCGTTTGCTCCCATTCGCGCAGCCGTCGCCGAGAGCAGTAGGTTTGAAATGTAGTGACAACCGCTCGCGCTCTGCGGTTTGTATGCACACCTCAACTCAACTCAGGGAGGACATCAGCACTCATATGTCATATCCAGAACCGGCGCCCAACGCCACGCACATCTCGTGTTCAAGAAGACCCATGCAACGACACCTCTTCATACCTACATGTATCCTTGACATTATTCCTCCCGCAATGAACTCCAAGGCATCAAATGGCAAGTTTGCCGTTTGTCGTAGTGACATTACCAAATCTTATGATGCAAGGCGGGGCATCTTTCTCTTTACCCTCCACCAGTTCGGGACAACAAAATGATCCATCAGCTCCTTGACCGTGGCAGCCGTCTGCAAAGGTTTGAGCCTTTTGATATGCTTGGTCGTTCACGCACTACAATTCTCAGTTAACAGGTATCTCGGGTTGATAAAACTGCACACGTACGTGCGCAATTTGTCCGGTTCCATCATCGCCAATTGTCCAACTCAGAATATCACAGAGGTCTCTAGTACCGTAGTTGTACGTGGTATATGCGCCAGTCGTAAGATTCATGTCGTTGCAACACAAACAGAAATTCCTTTTGTCAAATCCATATGGCGGTGGAGCGACAACAGTGCTACGGACGGTGATCAGTTTCTGTTTCCTTGGGCACGCGGTTGACTGAATTTCTTCAGCTTACCTGTACATGAGAGTTGAGATCAACGATAGAGCGAGCATCTTGTATGTTTGCTCGGATTTCCGAAGAGAGTCGTTTGTAAAGGTACAAGTCGATTTTCGAAAGAGAGTTGTTGGTACGAATTGTCACGTCGGAAGCCGCAGACTGGTCCGTCTTAATACAATTCGCTATACTGTAGTATGGGGGCAACCAACATCTCAGTCAGCTCTGTTGTTTACCAGGTCCTGGCCAGGAGCTACCTCACACGGTCAGTTGGTCAACGATCGGGGGTCGGGAATTCAAGAGTTTTCTACAGTAGAATTTGCGTCCCAAAATCTCATTCCTGGTAAGGGTGCGCCTGATCGGGCTACACAGAGTGAGACTGGTGCGAACAAGGTTAACCTTAGAGTTGCATGTTTGTTACCATTTACGCAGTGTGGTCCCCCTCGCACACGATCGTTCTCTCGAAGCAGTTAAAGCATAGTAGATGGATCCGATAGATGTTTGACACGCTCGGTCGTTGATCATCGCGGCCAATACCATCACTGTATTTCATCAGACATAGAAGCCCGCATCCTCCACGGGATACCCCAGACTTCGTAATCTCCGACTCTCTACCATGAGCATTAACTTTGTGAGATGAAGCTACCTGTTCTTGTTATAGTACATAGGACCAGGGTTGTATGAGTCTGGAGTAGGTACGTAGCTATGTCACTAGGTAGATGGGCATAGCCGTGCTCGCAGTGTTCAGCAGTTCCGCTATATCGATGGTAGGTCACGTACGGAGCGTCCACTTTGTCCCCCAAGTCCGACAACAGTGTTCCATCTCCTGTAGATACATACGGCTCTCGCAGAGCCATCGGAATGTTCTTGGAGATTGTCTTGATCGCCTTGGTCGCCGATGCGGCAATCAGGGCAACCTCAGCCCCATTCCATAGTACAGTAAAGAAGCCTCGTGCAGTCGTTTTGAAGTCGTCTTGATGATACATATAAGGGCAATCCAACACAACCCTGGCACGGCCAGTCTGCAAGCTGTTTGAAAATAGGTAGGTTAGCGGCGTGTAGGCTGTAATTCAGAGTCGTAGACCCGTGGAGCTTACAAGCAGAGTGAATCCGCTACCTCCTAGGAGGTAGGAGGTAAGGTAGGAGAGTTTGCATCTGCTTAGTCATGCCCTGTTTTCAAGCGCGAGGCGGCGCGGCGGACACTATAGAACGACGTCGGTGCGCTAACGCCAGCATGCATGGACCGTATAACAACAACACCTCTCCTGATGCGGTAGAGAGGGCAATGGATCGTGGATGGCGGATCGACGTGGTGTCCTACTGCCGCTGATCTTCTTCACCTGGATCTACTTCAACTCCCAAATCGCTCAGCCATCCTCGCGCTACAACTTTGGCCCGACTATCGAAGATGCTATCGCCGAGGAGCAGCGTCAGCTCTGGGCGATCGGAAACTCGTCATGGGATGCGGACTTTCGGCGCGAAGGGGCGGCAGCCAATTTGACCGGTCTTGAGGCCGACAGAGGATATGCTTGGGATGCATTGCCGGTCATCAGAGGCAGAGCGCAAGAGCAGCTGGAGTACGCGTTGGGAGACTGGGGCAAGGCGGCATTGGAAGGAGACGCGCAGGGACGCAACCCTATACCGCTGTATAGCAACGTCACCGGATATGTGCTTGGGAAGTGGAGGCACTCTTCTTTGCAAGAAGGCGTGTCGATACCGCAACTCAATCTGACAGAATACATGCCAAGGGACCCTTTCGGCCAGCCTACCTTTGCTCGAAATTTTGAAAGGAATGTCACTGGACGGAGTGGTGAGGTTACAGTCCGGTTCAAACAGTATGAAGGCACATTTATGGAACATAGTACAACCGAGATGGGCGTGAGTCTCGCCTTGACAGATGACGAGACTTATGACGAATGGCAGATACAGCTGCACGGTACCTATGATATCAGGACTGGATCTGGAGTGTTCGTAACAACAAGTGATAAGTTTGGGGGCATTTTCGCTCTCCCCTACCTCGCCCTGTCAAAACACACTTTCGAGGTTACCCGCAGTCTGCTCAACAGCTCCATCTCGCATGAAATCTCCCGGCAGATGTTGGGTCAATCAGATCAGCTGAATCCATGGACTTCCAAGATTGCAGACATTGGCACGGACTTCGTCTGGCCCAAATGTGAGCTAGTGCTGTATTTGCAGCAAATGGCCACAGCAACGAATATGGAGTACGGATCAGCCGTGCTCAGATCTCTGGAGCGCGAGCTTCGTTTTCCCACCGGCGCTATAACACCCGCGGCACCCCCACTTCGCTTCTCGATGCTGGCGTTTTCTCCGGATTGCGGATATGTGTTGGAGTCGCAAGGCCCACCCAACGCATTTGCACAAGACGGCGATCATTTGGTTGGGCCGAAGCTCGAGATGAGGTTCAAGCACACGCGGCGTCACCTACTCGCCTACACGTTTGTACTTTTTGCCCAGTTATTCCTCCTCATGAGACAAATGCGCGAAGCCAGCACGCCTTCCACCCGCAGCAGGATCAGCTTCTACACTACAGTGCTCCTGGTACTGGGTGACGGCTACATCACCATGAGCTTAGTCGTGGCAAGCTCGGAAGTTCCTGGTCTGGTCGTTCAATTTGCCGGAGCTGGCTTTATAGCCTTTATAAACGTGGCTCTTTTCGGCATGTCTTTCGTCAGGAGTATCTGGTTAGTTCAAGAGCCGGAACGCGAGCGTGCTATGCGAGCCGAAGTTGAAGAAGAATTGCAGAGGGAGCAGAGACTGCTCGGTGTACTTAACCGCATTCGAGCGGAGAGACGAGCCAGGGAAGAAGCTGCCACCACGACGACAGCAGGGAACGGCGCTGACGTCGCCACAAGTGCTGCCAATGCCGATGCAGCCCCGCCAACGACGGTGTCGCCAGATACACCATCCCCAATGACAGAACAGCCGACTCCAGGCACGTTTCCACAGCCAGCTCCTCCAGCAGCCCCTGTTGATACAGGGGCGACGCCGATCTTCTTCATGCCCTCGGACCAAGAAGGCCTCCTTCCCGTCCTCGAAAACGCTCCACCACGAAACGTCGATGCCATCGTGGCTGCCCGTATGCCTACTTTCGGATCCATCTACGTAAGGACATACGCGCTTCTCGTAGCAATCATTTTCCTCAGCTTGTTTGCAGGATCCTGGCCCGCGCCCGTCCGCCGTGTATTCTACACCTTGCTCTCTGTCTGCTCTGTGAGCTTCTGGATCCCTCAGATCGCTCGCAATGTGCAACGTAACTGCCGACATGCGCTGCAATGGGAATTCGTCGTTGGCCAAAGCGTCCTACGACTAGTCCCATTTGCCTACTTGTACATATACAAAGACAACGTCGTCTTTGCAGAGCAAGACTACTACAGCATGATATTGCTGATTCTGTGGGTCTGGATACAACTCGTCCTTCTCGGCTCGCAAGAGCTTATAGGACCTCGCTGGTTTATCAGATCGAAGTGGGCACCTGACGCATACGACTACCATCCGGTGCTGCGAGAAGATGAGGAGGGTGGTAATATGCCTATTGGCTTTAGCGAGGCCGCAGCTGTGGCGAATGACACTGTCTTGACACCCGCATCACCTGACGATGAACGCACACCTTCTCGAGTGCGTCGCGCGAGTGTCGCGAAAGAGACAAAGGAAAAGGGCAAACGTGTGTTTGATTGCGCGATTTGTATGCAAGACCTGGAAGTGCCAGTGGTCGAAGCTGGGGCGCCCCGCGACGGCGGTAGTCTGGGCGCAAACATACTTGCACGCAGGACATATATGGTCACGCCTTGTCGGCACATCTTCCACAGCGCGTGTTTGGAAGGATGGATGAAGTTTCGACTGCAGTGTCCGATATGTCGCGAGACGCTGCCAAGTCTATAGTGAGACCAGACTGTACACACATACAATCGAGAGATCCCGACAATGTTTCAAGTCCTAAATCTGTCTCTGAAGCTAGGTAGCTGGTTTGAGTTCCACGTCTTTGTGCTATAGTCAAAGATCGAGATCGGAGAAATCTCTTGTTACAGGAGTGACAATTATATGATCTACCCTATCGAAGCACCGCGCACGCAGCAATCAAAACTCCTCTCAGCCAAAAACAAAAACAAAAAAAAGGGGGACAGTGACTTATAATAACCCAACCCCCTCACTCCACAGAACCCCTTTACCCCAAACCTCCTAACCTACTACCACCACCACCACTATGACATCCTCTCATCATCACCACAACCTCCCCTCCTGCCTCAACCACCACCACCATTCTCCCTCCTCCTCCTCTTCCCCCTCTTCCCCATCCTCCTCTTCATTTACCACAACCTCATCCACTTCATCCACCGCTTCATCCACCACAACCCAACAACCCCCCACCGTCAACTCGGCTCTCCTCCAAGTAGCAAAAACCGTCTCTCTCCTCGCCCACAGCGGCCCGGAATTCCAGTCTGCAAGCGAAGTCTTTTGGCCGTTTTGCGCAGGGACTTGGAAGAGGAGGGAATTTGAAGATGCGGTGGAGAAAGCTGGGAGGGAGAGGAAGAGTGGGAGGGGGAGGTATGTCATGTGGGAGGGAATAAGAGGGGGGGGGTTTCATTTTGCTGACTGATGGACAGATTGATTAAAGGGGAAGCAGCGACAAGTTATGGTTGTGGTGGTTGTGATGGTGTTGGTGGATTTTATTGTTGTTCTTGTGGTAGTAGTAGTAGTAGTGTAGAAGAGGATTTGGAAGAGGCAAGAAAAGCTGTTATGGAGGCCGTGGAGATTTTGAAAAAAGTGGATGAGAGGGATGCAGAAGATTTATTGTCTTGTGTTGGGGTTTGTGGGATTTGGGGATGAAACTCGTGTTGGTACATTATGTCTACATAGGTGCAAAGGTGTATACAGGTACCGAATGGACTGACAGTGTACCTAATGTCGACTCACACCTCCTCCTGCTACTCCTTTCGGCTCGCCTGGGCAGCCCGGTACTCGCGTTGTTTGGCCGTCGCCCTCTGTCTTCGGAGATCTCTCGCCGATGTGAATGGATCGGGATGTTCTTCGGGCTCTCCCGCTGCCCGTCTCTGCTCTGCCACCCGACGCGCCTGCTCCTCCTCCGACAGCTTTCCAAAGTTCAACGTCGCCGCATCACGTGCTGCCTTGGCGGCCTCGTGCTGCGCTCGAAGCCGAGCCCTTCTCTCTGCCTTGGTCAGCGGAGCGGCTTGTGGCTGCTGTGGCTGCTGCTGCTGCTGTTGTTGCTGCTGCTCCTGCCGTGGCTGTTGTGGCTGCTGCTGGTCCTGCTCTGGCTGTTGTCGCTGCTGCTGGTCCTCCTCCTCCTCCTCCTGCTGCTGCTGGACCTGTTGTTGTTGTTGTTGCTGCTCCTCCTGCTGGACCTGTTGTTGCTGCTGCTGATGGTCAGGCGGGACGGCCGATGCCCTCACCCTCGCAGCAGTCGCTGCGAACCTGGCTGCCGCGTCGACCTGCCCTGGCAGCTGCTGGCGCATCGCAGCGATCATCGCAGGAGTCGCGACCATCGGCTCCTTGCCCTTTCTCGATCTCCGCCTGCCTGCTGCAGGCTGCTCGGCTGGCCCCGGCGACTTTGTTGCTCTGGTGGCCTCGTCGCCGACAGAGACAGGGCCCTCACTCCGCGCTCGAGAGGCCCGGCCACCCTCACTCGCCGCCGGTGTCATGACTGGCACCACGAGACGAGAAGATGCGGCCTCCGGTGCCGCCGCCGGCAAGACAAGACCGGAGGTCACCGCCCTTGGTGCCCCGGTCGGCAAGACGAGACCGGAGGCCACCGCCCTTGGTTGCCCGGTCGGCAAGACAAGGCCGGAGGTCATCACCCTTGGTGCCCCGGTCGGCAAGACGAGACCGGAGGCCACCGCCCTTGGTGCCCCGGTCGGCAGAGCGAGACCGAGAGTCGCGGCCCTTGGTGCCCCAGTCGGCAAGGCGAGGCCGGAAGACGAAGCCTGTGGTGCCTGTAGGGTCTGGGCTGCCTCAGGCTCGTCAAAAAGAGGGTCAGACTCCCCCTCCTCGACCTCACCAGCACCAAAAAGAGGATCCAAGTCCTCGTCACCGCCAAACAGGGAAGAAGTCTCCTCCCAATCAGGAGACAGTCTCAGACGCTGGGACTCGCGCTCTTCGGACGTCTCCCCATCGGACGAGCGCTTCGACCCCATTTCTCCAAAGAAAGCCGACACTGTGATCTTGCTTGATTCTTCTCAGGAATCAAGCTGTGAAACACGGATGCCTCTGGTCTGACCCTGGTGGCGTACTGACTGGCTTGGTTAGCGGAAGGTCTTGTATGTGTATGTGCTTGATCTGCTTACCAGAAGTCGAGCTTTGAGGGTCAAGTGCTTCTTGACTGTGCCTAGTAGCTTGGCTACTACTTGATGGCAGAGAGAGAGAGAGGTGTGTGCGGTGTCTGTGATGTCTGTATAGCCGAAGTACGAGTACACGAGAGCAAATGGGTTGCAAGCGATGGTCTGATGCTCAAAGTCGCAGTTGGAATAATCAATACCAGAAGAGAAGACAGGATGGCCTTCGATGATCTATATGTAATTCATGCACAGCGAGAGAGAAACACGGCCCCGACACCTATGGTCAGCGATACGAATACCGTGAGTGGCCGTACCACGATATGAGAGAAAAATGAGGACACCAGGCGCAAAGACCCATCTTCGTATGAGCGAGAACCAGTCTCTTACCAGCTGGAACCACGGTCTGAGAGAAATATGGTAACACCATGAGCGAAGACTCCTGCTTGCGCATGGCGCGAGGTAAAAATTTCCATGGTATGAGAAAGCAAGATGAAGACACCCAAACAGCGAAGGGAATCATGTTTGCGCATGGTGAAAGGTAAAAATTCCCCATGGACAGTCTATCGAAACTTTAGCTCAGCACAGCCTACAGCCTGCCTCCAGAAAACGGACGAGCGACGAGGCAACCACAATATCTATTCCCAGAATGGAACAGAATGACCACTTGCCAATCGCGGCGATACGGGTTGCGTTCACCCTGCTTCTTGTGGTTCTGGTTCATAGAGTAGAGTGGAGTAGAGTATTACGCATACTGTTTTGCGTGTGGTGACATACATACCTGGGTAAGTTAGATTGCCTGTTTCCTCGACTACACCCACCTGATGGAAAGCCGTGCTGCCATTTGCGGCGTGTCCATTGTTTTTTGCGGTGGATGGAAAAAAAAGTGAGGACGTGAAGACAATTCTTCAGGGTCTCTTTCCACGTTATTCGTGCAAAACGTGGTTCGGGGTAAATAGAGTATTTGACTTCACTGTTGTTTTCCGGTACGTTTCCACGAGCTCCAGTTCGTGACGTCGGTTGCGTTGAGTTTTGGTGGGGAAGGAGTATTGGTCGTAGTCGGCCCCGGAGGAGCGAATTCTTCTCCTGTGCGCTGTTTGACGGACGGGATGCGAGTGTCGGCTTGGCTTGGCTTCGCTGACTGTGAGAAACGTATGCGTTCATGCCACTCACCAATCGATCTCGCACTCTCGAGGCCATAATGCCCAGATGGGATTTCTTGAGACAAAGAAATTGAGGAGATTCCATCGCGTTCGACGAAAGAGGATTCGAATCTAGATTGGTATTGGAATGGTAGCGGAGAAGCTAAACGGGACGGTAGGAAATTTTGTACGGGGATCAAAATACGCACCGGGTATATCCTCTATGACGCCAGGAAAGACAAACATCCACACCCACACACACGACACACGAGGCCTCCACCTCCGACTCACAGCCACGCTCGGAAGACTGGCGCGCGGCTTCAACGAGGCAAGACGGCCCTCCCACCCTCATCCTAACACTCCTGCCCTCCGCATCACGCCCTCAAACTCCTCCTTACCCACACCTCCCAACCCACCGCCTTTAGCCTCCCTCACCATATCCCTCAGCACACTCTCCGGAACATCCTCTCTCAATTCCGCCGCAATCCTCTTCAAATCCCCCAACGTAATATCTCTCTCCTCTCCTCTCGTAAATAACGCAAAAGCCTTCTCCACCTCGGCACTCTGCTGCTCTTCATCTCTTTCATTTTTCGCCCGATTCACCTGCAACGCCGCTACAGGTAGGAAATGCTCGTAATCTACTACTCCATCTGCGTCGGGATCTGCAATGTCGATGAGTTCTTGCAAGTCGTCTTTGTTGCCTGGTGCTGCGTTGAGCGCGATGAGACTGCGGCGGATATCGATGGTGCGGATTGTCGCGGGGGAAGAGTCTTTGCTGTTGCTGTTGCTGCAGAAGAGTGCAAAGGCTTCTTGGATTTCACTTTCTTCTTCGGCGGAAATGTCGTTTTCTTTGGCGAGTTTGGATCGCCGTTTGGAGGTAGAAGCAGAAGCGGCGGCGGGCGCTTTACGTTTGGGTGGCTGTGTGATTGCTGTTAGAATCTCTGATGACTACTACGTGTGCTTCGTGCGATAGGTATGTTGCTGACTTACCATGATGTGTGGCTGGGTATCGATACGATACCCAAACGTGGTTCGAACCGAATAAAAGATGATGTCGGAGTATCGGTATCGGGCTGAGGTGAACCCTCTGTAGCCACTGGCCAGACGGGAATCCTTCCGGTTCTTTGACGACAGGGCGGGCTAGGAGGTAGGCTACAGCGTCAGGCCGGTAGTCAGCCGCAAAATTCGTCTGCCAAGAAAAGTCTCATCCTCTTCTTTGTGCGCGAAATTTCTCTTCTCATTCCTTCAACAACATCAACACCACCCACCATCATCACCTGATATCCATCCCATCATCTTCTACAACACCAATAAATGGTGCGCTGCAACAACCAGTATCGTATAAGTATACACAATACATACCATACCATACAGTCATATCTCCTTCTCCCCCATCCCCTCTTATCCCCCCAACGCCATGATTTAGCTAGAGCCTCCAACCACTATAGACCGAGAGGTCGACCCCAAGGATAGGAGGTGTGGACAGCATTGGCAAAATTAAACCCTACATGTTCTCCTTTTTTTTTTGAAAAATCAAGAAAAGGAGGGCAGGCTTCATCATCTCGTTTGGGTCTCTTCTTACCTACCTTTTTGGGGTGGGGAGGGGACTTGAGATGTGGAGCGGACATTTTACTTTTTCTTATTTTTTATTTTCGTTCTTGTTTTTGTATTTTCGGTTTTTTTTTTCTTTTTCAACAGATGGGCGAGTTCTTCTTCTACGGAGAGTACTACCTTGGGTACTGACTTACCTGAGGTGGTCTTGCTGTTGAGAGAATATGTGAGGAGGGAGATCTTTCATGGTGACAAATTGTCATCTAGACTGAGATGGGAGATGGTTCCATTCTCATGCAAGAGGTATACATACCCATGCACGAATTTAAAACTGTTCTACTCTACTCATCACTTCGCTCATACACCAATGACAATGCCAACTATACAATGCTCGCTCAAGAATGCTCACTGGGTATCTGATCCAAAGTGCCTTCCCATGCAACTCAAAGAATTCGCGCAAGCCTAGCAATCATCCTCGCCCTCATGCAACGTCCACAATCTCCACAAGTCTTCTCTATGCAATCCTGTCGAGCGCGCCCTGTCCTACAGCCCATTCGCCTTCCGAAATCTCTGCATAGGACCGGGGTCCTTCCTCGCAATATACCAATTGCCTTGCGCAGCGCCCCAACTGACGCTGTCGGAAAAGTATTCAAACTTTTGCTGGACAAACAAGTTTACCACCGAATCGATGTTGCGCGTCGACATCTTATGGCCATCTGGCACGAATGGCTTGAGACTCACTACCTGGCACCCATCTTTGAGATCCAGAAACATGCTCAGTAGGTGGCCGTTGAGGTCCGACGAGAATGCTTGGTTGTTAACCAGCACCACATCAGCCTCCTGCAGGATCCTAGGAACTTTGGGATGCTCGAGAAAGTCGCCTCGTAGAAGCTGAATCTTGCCCGCTTGGACACCCCATAGCTTGGTTCGGCCAGGGAACTCCTTCTCCTGCAACTCGGCAGCATCGCAGGGATTGGGCATCATCTCAATTCCAGTACTGTCACAGCCAACTTCCAGTGCGGCCTGCAGGACGACATTGCCGACACCAGATCCCAGGTCGACGAATTTCATCTCGTGAGTAAGTTTCGTCTTCTTGAAAATGTCGCTGCAGAATCGTGGGAGAAGCTCGCCATAGACGTTTTCACTAAATGCCTCGTATTTGCGCAAGTTGTCGACGTTCGGCGATACCGTTCGCGAGTACGTCTGCTCCAGAATTCGCCTCACCCAGTCCAGGGATAGATGGCTTTTGCTTCGAAGCACCGTCTCGATTGTACCGTCATCGATCAGCGACTTCATGAGCTTGTTGTAATCCCGAACGATTTCCACAAACTCCACAGCGTCCTCCTTTTGCCATGCGAGATTGAAGCGTCGCCGAAAGCCCGTCTCTGGGTTCGTGTACTGTGCAGCCATGTCCTCTGGCAGGTAATTCTGGCAGACGGTGTCCACAGTCTCAATGATATCCTCCATCGGCCTGTAGTCTTCCTTCTTTTCGGTCTTGGGCCACTTGAGCTGAAACTTCTCCCTTTGGCCCCTGCTAGGGTACTGAAGCTTGCACGATTCAAACTCTTCCTCGCCCCAGGGATTCTTGAAGTTCTCGGCATAGCGACCAGAGGTGGCATCTGCGCCATGCACAATAGCTAACATGGTGCCCGCCTTGAAGGAAGTGGCAGAGAGCAGCGGTCTCCTCGAGCCATGGCTGTCTAGTGAGCTGACACTGCTCTTGATGCGCTTGCGCGACACATCCGAGTCGCTCCCACCAATATCACTACTGTCGCCCTCGTCGTCGCTCCAGATGTGTCGGTCGGGAGTAGCGCTCTTCCTCTTCACTCCTCTCGCGTTGGCGACAGCTCGTTTCGCAGGGTTGGCAGGCTTCGTCCTCGTGATGGGCGTGCCGGTGGGCCTGAATCTGTTTGGATCGTGTTCCCGAACAGGCGCTGGCAGTGTAGAGCCCGTGCCCGTGGACAGCGCAGGCCTGACCGTCTGTGTGATGGGCTTGCGGACGATTGTCTTGCGGATGACAGGAGCGCCAGCGGGCTTGGGCCTGTTGAAATTCATGGCAATGCTGGTGCAAGGCTAGCGAGGGGTGTTGCAACGGTCCGGGTGCATGCTGCGAGGAACAATGCGAATAAGGTGTAAAGGATGGTGGGGTGGATAGGCCGACGACGAGCGTGGAGTGGGTGTTGTACAGTAGTGCTGGAGTAAGGTATGATGATTGATTCGTGTACAATGTCAACAAGTCGCTTTTGTCAAGTATCCATGTCTGGCAGGTCGAATTAGAACAACCAGGTTCATGTAGTGCAGGCTGCAGAGTGGACGTGTGAAGAAAGAAGACCCCCAGCTCTAGCGCTGTTTTCCCGCAGCCTTCGTGAGAATGGTGACTTTGGCCTTTCGGGACCACTTCAGGTTACGACAGCCCGGGAACCGTTTTCAACCGGCGAGAGCCGAACGGCGAAACATACATACAGTACACAGCGAATGTCAAGGGGGAGGACAATCTGAAAGGACACTCGGAATTAGTCAGCAGGTGTGAGTCATACTCAGCGCGGTGTGTGAGTTATACTCGGCGCGGATTAACGTTATTCCGGTTAACCTTACTTCCTACGAAGACTCTTCCTACAACGACTTTTCCTACGATACGATCGATATATCTTTACTAGACGAACCGATACGTATATATATACCTCTCTAATCGCTCCTACTTACTTACACTTATACTATACTGCGGTAACGTCGCAAATACGCAAGATACAGCGTAATCAAGTACTATAAACCAATTAAGTACTATAAACTACGATACGAGCGTTACGAACGATCCGAACGATAGTCTATTTATTACTAATAGTAGCGATACCAATATAGGCTCCTTACTAAACTTATCGGATCTATTTACTATATTACTATATAGATTCCGCCGTATCCGGCCCCTATAAGAGCTAGTACTAACTATTTAAGATAACGATAATACCTATAATCTAGTATAGAATAATACTAGTATACTTAATAGTATACTAGTACCGGATACTATAGAAGGAACCGAGCCGATTAGTCCGAAGCTATACTAAGGCAAGCGTACCTCTAACGCTATTATAATCGACGATACTACTATCGACGATATCGATAAGAATACCCCTATCGACGACGCTCGTAATACTATAGCCTTATTGCCTAAATACCCTACTTTATAGTAGCAGCCGGCCGCTATAGCCGTCGGCAAGGGCTATAGTAGTAAGAAAGTAAAGATATAGCTACCGTCTATCGTCTATATAGAACTGCCGGTACTACGGCTATATCCGACGTAGGCTCCGTATTTACTTCTCGCCGAGAGCCGTATACCGGCTGTCCGCGAGTTTATCGATACTATAGATCTACGCTATTACGAGTATCTGCGAACCGGTAAGGTATTCTGCAATCCGGACTATTATAAGGCTAGGCTATAGGATTACGCGTTTAGTAAAGGTTTTGCCGTCGTCTATATATCTAGTAACATTAGCCGAGCGATATATAAGTATATTTACTATAGAATTACTACTAAGAACACCGACGGCTTTAACGACTATATAGGTAATAATAGCGACGACGAATTACTTACTCTACGCGTTCGTAACGCTAGAAACGTATAGTAGAGGGGCTGCGGCTAGAACTGCCGACTAAGTTATATACAAGTAAGGCAAGGCGCGGTAATCAAACAATAGTAGCTAACTATTAATTTACTCGACTACTTGTACGAATTAGCGCCGAATCCGTCCGTTTATACCGTTTACGAGATACGTATACCTAGTTTCGGTAAGGCAATCGCGTAGGCCGCGTAGTATCGACTTACGAACGAATTATATAGTACTACGTACCGATAGCTATTATTATATAAACTCAAGCTCAATTATAAGCGCTACTATAACCTAGCTAAGGGTAATACCTTCTACGGCTCTAGCGACGCCGATACGGTTATTAACGCGCTGCTTAGTATTCTCGTTATATTTAGGTTCGAGTATAAAGGCCGTTAGTCGTTTACTACTAATAAATAGACTAGTAGTACTATACGGGTATTACTTAAGCAGCTTGTTTACTAGTAGCTACGTATAGCGCGCTTTACTACGCGATTCGTACCGGACTATAGCTTCTAGATAGACGCTACGTTTAGTACCAATCGTACCGGCCTGTTACTAGGGGTATTTATAGGGATTACTAACACCGGACGGTTATTTCTAATGTGTTATTTACTAATAAAGTTAGAGAGTAAGGATAATTAGCTGTTTATACTACTTGTCGTATTTAATAACTATCTACGTAACTATCGGCTTAATAAAGTAATTGTCTTAGATACTAGGGCCGGCCTAATTGCGGCTATTCCGGAGTTACTATTTCAGCGCTATATTTAGCAATTCTATTAATAGTACGTAGCTTAAAACCTTTATAAGCGTATCGACAAGAGGGCCGTATACGTAGTACGTACCGAGGCCGCCGACAGTAAGGTACGCTAGGCTACTATCGTAGCTACTAACGACGTACCTACTAACGACGAACCGACTATACCGACCGAATCTACTACGCTAAGACATATACGAGCTCGTAAACCTAGCTATACCGCCGAGTAGAAGACAGAGCTAAAAGCGCTTATATAGCCGTAGCTACAAGCGGATATAGCCGAGGTAGTAGACGAGCTCGAATCCGCTATTATTAACGGACTTATAGCCGATAACGCCGAGTACTTCCGTAGTACGTACGTTACTATCAAGCAACGACTGCTTATATATTATATTAAGTACTTACCGAACAATAGGGTACGCTTAATACAACGCATAGAAGGTAGTAATCGTAGTATTAAGGGCTATTTACTACCGTACAGTCCGTACTTATTACTAGAATAGTCTAAATAGTATACCGAAGGTATTAAGCAGTATCTAGATAAGCTGTTTAATAAATTAGAGCGTCTAGAAGAAAGTATATATATTAGTTTACCGTTATAGGCCGTATTAGCTAATAACCTCGGTTACTTTACGTATCTTAACGGCTAATATACTATATAGACAATCGATCGACTACTAGCTTTATAGTACGACGCTCTCGGTATAAAACGTACGGTAGACAAGGCTAATCATACGCGCTCGGTAGTAACGGTAGAGCTATATCTAGTACGCGATTACTATACGGAATACGGGGAAGTTAAACAATATAGATTGCCGTATAGCTATATACTATTACCTATAGTAATTAAGCGGAAGGCAATTGCTCGTAGTATACTATACCCCCGTTACTTTGCGAGCAATCGTTCCGTTTATACTAGTAACGCCGTATAGTAGATACTAAAATAGCAGAATTAATACGACGCCGCAACGGATAGACTATAGGAAGCATTACCGTAATGCACAGACAGTTATAATCGTATACAGGCTTCTATACTACGCTAGTTAAGTTACTTACTATTACTACGGGCTACGGACTATAATACCTACGTAGACAAGCTCGAAGCGTTCGAAGCCGTCTATTTAAGCGGCCTACAGGCTACTTAAAGCGACCGTTCTAAGCCGGAGGAAGTACTATTTATAGTACCTACGAAGCCGGCTTAGTACCTACCGCTGCCGAGGCTACCGAAGCGGGGTAATAAGACGACTAATAGGCTTATAACGAGCGCGGAGGTAGCTAGTAAAGATATAGAATCAGCCGAGAAGGCTACTACTATTATATTACGCGCCGAATTCGCGGCTTAGCAACGCGCTATTAACGTACTATAGACAGTCGAACATAACGAGATAGCCGAACGTAACGAGACAGCCGAGGTTAATACTAAGCTAGCGGCGCGTAGCCGTAGACGTAGGCGTAGGCGTAGGCGTAGACGCAGCTATAGGCGTAGTGTTATACGTAGTATTATATAGCAATCTGACGACTTGGCGTTAGGTAACGGTCGTATAGTTCAATCTAACGACTTAGCGTTAGGTAACGGTCGTATAGTTAAGAGTAAAGCGGCTAGGGGTCGTTAAACGCGCAATATAGAGCGTAAAGTAGTAGATTATACTGTCTTAAATAGTGCTTCGCGTAGGTAGTTAATATATATATATTAGAAGCAGTAAGTAATATTTAACCGGAGAAATAGTTGATCCGCGCCGAGGCTTACTAAGCTTCCGAGTGTCCTTTTAGATTGTCCTCCCCCTTAATATTCGCTAGTATATATAGACGGCGATCGTGTTCTATAATAGTTCTGTAAGCGTAAGGGTATACGTAACAGAGGTCTAAGGTATAAAAGGTATAAACAATATACGGCTTGCTAACTAAGGCATAATAACTCTACCCTTCCTTCCTAGAGGAGGGCCCTCGCTATATATACAAGCTATTCTATTATCTACTCCTCGCTACCGGCACCGCCTCCTCTTAGGTAGCAGCCGATAACCGGTTCCCTTAGGAACCCTCTTAATTTAGAACGTCTCCGATCGGTAGGGTATCCCTTCTATACCGGATCGCCGGGGGTCCGCGAGGGCTTCCCGTCCCGCGCGGTACGCCCCGCCCGCCTCGCCGGGGGTTCGCTAGGGCTTCTCTGCCCTAGCGTATTACAGACGCCCCCTCTTAGGGCTGATATCCCTAGTAGCGACAGGTTATTAGTCCCCTACGTATTCGCCCTACGAACGGGGGTAGACGTCTGCTCTTATCTAGGTACCGCGTAGAGCTAGCGTATACCTGCGGAATGTCTATACCTTAGTATTAGTAAACATTGTATACAAATTCCCTCTTATGTTCGCACTGTTGTAAAGCGTCGCTAAGAATATTTGCTTATAGTCGCGTCGCGAATTCTGTAGGTAGTAGTCGGGAGTACGCGGTAGTGTCGCTATAGAGATAGAATATTTCAATAGGTTCGTCGCGCGTTCTGCGATCCTCTTATTCCTTTCCTATTAACAACCTACTACGTACTAACATCCTTACCCGCCTGCAGCTCTATTACTACTACCGTATCTAGATAGCTATACTTCTACTTCTCGTTCTTCGTTTACTCTTTATAGCCCCGCCTCGTCCCTTAGTTTCCCTCGCCGGCTCCGCCGCTTTATTAGGCCCTTCCGACTATTATAGCGTTTACCCGGGGGTACGTAACGATTCCTTTCTCCGCCGCGTATATAAAGGATATAGTGCCTAATAACTAGGACTATAGCTAGTCGGACGCCGACTAAGACGAAACCGGGTACGTAGCTATATACCTACGGTACGCAAAGTCGATCGCTATAGGGCG